CGCGGCGGGCGAGGGCGAGGGCGCTCGAGGGAGGCAATCTCGGTTTGGCGCACCGCGAACGGGTACCGCCGTCCGACCACCCGCTCCTCCCCAATCCACTGGACGCTCGGCGTGGACGTGACGGGGCTGGGAACGCACGCACGCACGGCGGAACCAGGGCTGGGGCCCTGGGGCACGAGGATCGTCGCGTGGCCCGGGAAGGAAAGGGAGTGGTTCGAGGCGTGCTCGCGTAGCGCGGGTGGTTCCGCAGCGCCCCTGGACGGTCTCCACCTCGGCGACTGAAGCTTGAAGTGCGGAAGCCACACCACAGCCCCCGTGCGACGCTTTCCAGGGCCTTCGTGGACACTCCGGTGTGGCGGGGGAGTCGTTCAAGGAGCGGGGAGAGGGAGGGCTGTGGCTTGGGCCCCAACACTCGAATGCATTCGCGGTGTCGTCTTCGAAGGGAGAAGAGAGCGGCGTCGACCCGTCCTCGGGTCGCGCGAGCGGTGCAGGAGACGCTTCCCCACCACCGTCCGTCTGCCCCGAAAGCTCGTCGTCGCTGTACCCCCTCCAGCTTCTCGCCCTGCTCCGCCGACCCGCTCGACCCGACTAGACGCCGCATCCCACGGCGACGCAGGTCTCAACGGACTCACAGCCGACGCACCCCGCCGCCGCCCACCGCCGACGCCCACATCGCAGCCCGTACAGCCGTGACTCTCTCCCCCACGACCACCCTCCTCCGGCACACCGTGAGCCTCATCAGGCTCCTCCTTCACTCCCGCAGACGTCCCACGCCCGCACGACGCACTTCGGCTCCCCGCCCGCCCAGGCCGGCGCCCCTTCCCAGTCTCGAACGGACGACGGGTCGCCGGAGCCAGCTGTGCGCCCGCCCTCGGCATAAGTACTGCGACGCACGAATGTTCCCGTGGCGGCGGCGGCGGCGGCAGGGTGGTTCCCTCGACGTCCGCGGCGGCGCGGGCTCGGACGCCCTCGACACGGGATTCGGGAATGCCGGGACCCGCCCGAAGCGACGCACCTGGTGCCGGTGAGGCCCTGAGGCCCTGAGACATGACTCGAGCCCTGTCGCGCACGTCCGCGGGTGCGCCCGTGTACGTGCACGTCTGTCGTCGAGCGGATGCCAAGCGGAGAGTGTGGCACACGCGCTCGGGGCGGAGGCCCAGTAAGGCCTTGAGCTTGTGGAGGGGCACGGGAGGCGGTACGAGGTGCGTCGGAAGTTCGGTCGTCTCGCGGTTTTTTATTCGCTCAAAACCCACCTCGGTCCTCCTCGGTCAGCAGCTGAGTGAGCCTGCGATCGAGCCCGGACGAGGACGAGGGCGGCACGCCCGCGGGCGGGGTAGCCGTCCAGTACGCAGCTCACGCCCACTGGAGGTCCTCTTCACTCGTCATCGCCTCTGCGTATTTGTCGACGGCAGGACGACCGGACTCCCACCTGTCTCCAGCACATTCGCCGCGCCGATTCTTCGAGGTTCGCGTGATCATGATCCTGCGAGGCCGGAACTGCCGCTCGGTCAACGTCGTTCCTCAGGCCTCTGCGTTCGTCCATCTGTCCTCGAGGAGAACCCGAAGGATCTCGAAGGCCCCGCAATGGCGCAGTCCCACTCGCCGACGAGACGCGGCCGTGCTGCCAATACCACTCGAAATTTTCGACGCAAATTTCTTTCAAAGCGCTATAAGCTTACAGACCAAACCGCTCAAGTCCCCCACGGTCAGGGAGGCGCAACCGCAACAGACCCGGCGCAGACGACGCATGTTGAAGATACCGCCCCGGACTGGCAGCCGTCGTCGAATCTCCCAAGTTTTTAGTTTCATCACGAGCGCCCCTCTTCCCTCCCCACCGCTCCGTTGCGGCTTCCCTCAAGAGACTTGTCCCCCAGCTCTTCCACGCCCGCCACGGACCCGCTCTCGAAATACGCGCCCGGTCGCACGACTCCTATCCACAGAAGCCAGGCGTCGGACGACCATCAGCGGGATCAAGTCAAGCGTGAAACAGCTTCTCCGCCTTCGCTCGGAGAAGAACTTTGTCTCGACGAGCGCTTGATCTGGGATGGTTTTGACGTCGCGCGATGAATCCACGCTGCCTCCTGGCGCGAAAGAGACAGCCGCATCCGGAAAGGACGACAGACCTACGAAATCGTAATTACTTGGCGCGCGTCCTGGTTTTTCGTCTGCGGTTGGCGGAAAAAAAGCTTGGAGCAAGCATTGAAGACGCGACGCTCTATAGCGCGAAGAGCGAAGCAATCTGGTCGTGCCGCAGCCTCGCGCGTGTCCGGCCGCGCACCTCCGTAGTACTGCGGGCGCGGTCGCCCGGAGCCAACGCGTGCGCCGAGAACTCACTCGACCCCCAGGCCGCCAGCCCCGCTCCCACTCGCGACAACGCCCCACCCCGGTACCCATGCTCCGGCCTCCTCGAGGGCGACGCCGTCCCCAGGCGAGGGTCACTAACATCCGCGCCAAGAGGGATAGAAGGGCCCGTCGAAATTTCGGGCGCCGATGTTGGGTCAGAGTCTCCACCGTCGCCATCCGAGGGGCCGTCCGTGGACACATCGACCACTGGCCACTGGCGCGAAGCACTCCGCATCCGTACGGCACCGCGCGATGGCCGTCTGTCGAGCTTCTTCTGGGGGAGGTTCTGTGCCTCCGATCCGTCCCGGGCGGAGAGGCTGGCCAGGGTGCTAGCTAGAAGCACACAGCGGGCGGCGGTCGGCGGCTCGCCGAGCGCCGTCCGTATATTCCGGTGACCCAAGTGTCTCGAGCCATCCGTTTTTCACGCCCGCGCTCTCTTCTCCGCTTCATTTTTCTCTTCTTCCTTCGCGTGGGCGGTGGCTGCATCCCCGTACGTGTGGGGCCCGGGGGAGGACACCTTCCGAGTTCGAGACCATGTGCACCGCCAGGGTCCCGGACGCGGAAAATTGGGAGGACGCACGCGCGCAGCACCGTCCACGCGCTCGTCCGCGTCGGCCAGGACTGGTCCCAGGACATTGTATCCTGCACTCGAACTCCCCGGAGGCATTCCCGGGCTTCGGCGGGATCAGTGTTTTAATGTCCCCAGCTCAGTCGTGCTCGATATTTGGCCCCAGGCACAGGGCCGGCCTGCGCGGACCCATTCGGAGGAAGTACTGTCGTGCGTTAACTGCACGCGGCGGGCTAATTTTGCATCCCGACGCGGTGGGCGGGGCGGCGACTCTGCGGGGCCGATGTTCTCTCCACGACTACCATTCATCCTCGTACTTACACTGAGACCCGAGGTCCGTGAATATTCGCGGCGCACGCCCGCTTTGGAACGCGCGCCACCGCGGGCCTCGCACCTAGCTCGTCGCAAGCCAGCGCGCGTTCACGTTCAATATTCAATAGTTCAATGCCAACGCACACCGTGGTGGCTGTGACGCAGAAGCGGACGACGTCGCGCGCACGCACTACGCTCTCCCACCGCGCCCCTTCTCCCGTCTCGCACGGCCGCACTAACACTAGTTAGCAGCCTAGGATTGATCGGACTCTCCTTGTTTGCAGTGAGCACTGTGCGTGATCGCGGGCACAGGGCTCGCCCCCGTTCCCCTGGCTCTCGCCCCCGCAAAGCCCGCCGCGGCTCGGAGCTCACAGCGCCGCTTCGAGCAGGCGGGGCACGGCGCAGCGGCGACGCGCGGGCGTGGGGCCGTTATCAGCGATTCCGCCGGCCGCGTCGGGAGAAGCGGAGCGCGCGCCTTCAACTAGTGTCCACGCGCGAGTAGGCGCGCTGCGCGCGGTGGGTCACGGCGCACTAGCCTGCATACGAATCGAGTGCGAACTTCGAAGGTGCGCGGGTACCGGATAGGACCACATGATACATAGTCTATAGACACTCGGACCGAGGAGAGCACGCGAGGGCTGACGTCGGTTAATTAAGCTGAGGGGGAGGGAAAGCTGTACATGGGGTGAGATCCGGCGTCTCTGTGTCTGTCAAAGCGCAACATGGACCTCGCGACAAGGGCGCGCCCGGTTCCTAGGTTTGTGGATTGGAGTGGCGCAGCGCGCAGTGCGGGGGGTGACCGGTGCCCCACGAGCTCTGCGCCGGGTGGGGACGCGGAGCACGGAGGTGACGCGAGGCGCCTTGTGTGGCGGACCGCACCTTTGATTTCGTGATTTTGAAACACGCTGGGCGAGAGAAGGACGACCTGTGTGGGCTTGTGCACGATGTCATGGGCTGTAGCGGGCGGGCGGCCAGGTCATTTGGCTTACGAAGTCACTTAGACAGGTGGGCTGGCAAGAATCCATCATCATCATCGTCAGCCAGGTTCGCGCAGCGTATGTGGTGCACGTCAATGCAGCGGCGCAGAGACGACGTGCACGGCCGCGTTGGTGAACGAAAGGGAAAGATTTGATGGATTTTCGGGATGCCCGCCTTTTCTGTCGCGGAGCTGACCGAGGCCGAACAATATCGGCATTCCGAGGCAGCGCGACATTCCAGCTGAAGGCGATGGCTCCTTGGATCACTTCGTGAAACCGTTCGCGTTGTTCAATCTCGTGCGCTACTTGGTCCGCGTACGGTAGCGTGGGGTCGAACATATACATCCGGGGCCGTCCTTTCGTTCTCCACGCAAGTTTCCCTGCAAAGCGGAAAGCACGGCAAGCACGCGGAGGACGTGAACGCGCTTGAGCTCACACAGTTTGTGGCGCCAGACTGACGTCGTTGTTCCGAGGCCGACGAGCCCTGGAGCCTGAAATGTTGAAACGTTGTCGGTGCCGCCATCTTGTCGAACGGGGCGTCATCACCGTGCCCGGCATTTAACTATTTCACGCTCGCCGGGCGGTGAGTATGTAGTGAGTAGCCCCGTGTAGACGGTGCGCGGGAACGATCTCGATGATCGCCCGGCACCCTCGGGCCGCATCGCGCGAGTCAGAGTGCTGGCGGGCCCGCGACCGTCCGCGCCGTTGTCGACAGTGCGCTCTTCTGCCCTCCCGTTCAGCGTCGTCTCGACCATCACCTCCTCGCCCCATTCCGTCCGCATCGAGAGTGACAGCTGGCCATGTCTCACACCGCCTGGACATCCGACAGGCTCGCGCCCAAGTCGAGCACCCCGCCCCCGCGGAACAAGCCAAAGCACAGCAACAGCAGGGCGGGAAGCAACCGGCCCACCAAAGAGCGCGGAGGTGAAGAAGCTCGAGAGTTGCGCGATGGACTACAGAAAGCGACGGGGACACCAAGGACCCCAAGGGCGGCTGCTTTTGTCTAGGTTCGTGCGCACCCGACCTTCCTACTACTGTGCTCTGAGCGAGTATCCCCCGCCCCGCACCTGCGTATATGCGCCGCCAAACAGCGCGTGTGCACCCGCTCTCGCAACACACGCCCATCTGCCGATCATGCGCGCTCGTCCTCTGCGAGGTCAACCTCCCCCAGTTCGCGTGTCCCCACTGCGCCGCCGCCCTCCTCAGCGACGCGGCCCGCGCCACGCTGCTCGAAAAACTTAACGCCCGCATCGACGACACGCTCGCCAAGGAGGAGGCGGAGCGCCAACGCGTCGTCGATGCGGCGCGAGCAGCCCAAGGCGCGTTCCCTACCCTCGGCCCGTCCTCGCGCACCGGCACTCCCACTCCCCCCGCCAACCAGACGCACAAGGTGCTTTCGCTCGACTCGAAGACGCGCAAGGTGAAGGTCGCGACGTACACGCCACCGTCGATGTCGCGCACGGCGTCGCTGGAGAGGGTCGCGAAGGCGGCCGAGCCGGAGTACACGCGGGTCCCGGCGCCGTCTCCGGAAGTCGTCATCGCTCGGGCACCGCCCAAAGACAGGCCGTGGGCGAACATGCGCGGGCTCAACGTCACGTACGTGCCACCCACGAGGGTAGCTTGATGACTGGTGAGCGTTGTCTCTTTCTCACTCTGAGGCAGTCCAATGCCGTGGTCTTCGGTGTGGGATGTGTGTATATGCTTGGAGGCACTGTATATGCAGATACAGTGTTCTTCGGTACTTGGGTCGTTTCGAGGGCCGTGGAATCATCAACTTCGCTCGGCCCTTGTGTTCAGTAGGCAGTGTCTCGGAAGCATGGTCGCTAACCGCTCGTTTTTCAATAGGAACGCTCGACTGGCAGAAGTCTACTTCTCGACGTCTGCCGACAACGCCACCAGATTCGTCCTCGACCGACCTCCGACGACAAGGTGCACCGGTTCCTCCCGAATACAAGACGTCACACCTCCGCCCAGTCAAGCTCCGCGCCCCGCACGCCCGCCGCGTCTACTCTCAATGACCGTCTCCCAATCATATCCGCCGACTGGAAAGAGGGCCCGAAGAAGTACCACGAAGATACAATGCCTCTCCCAGAACGGACGCCAATGGCCCTTTAGGCCAAGCCATCTTCCGCCACACTTCTTTTGCGTTCCACCCAACAATCAACATTCAGCCCTCGACGGTGAGAATCGCCCGCAGGAGACGTCGCATCCGTCACGCGCCGCCCAGCGTTGGCTTCCTCGAGGCGGTGACGCGTGCGAGGGCGGGCGGAGAGCAGTCGAGGCCTGCAGCTGGGACCCGCAGCCTCGGGCGTGGAGAAGAGGAAGGCGGACGATGACATAGCCCGTGTACTTGGTAATCTGATACGGTGCTGCTGATGCAGGGAAGGGTGCACTCGGGAAACGAAGCCCGTGTTCGAATCGCGGACCGCTTTGACGGCGTGGGGATTGCATTGCAGCGGTCCGTCTAGGCTCGATCATCCAGCCGTCATCGTCGTAACCTCCTCTAACGGCTGGTCAAACTCGTAGGGGAGCCTTGCGTGAGTCCCATAAAAGGCAGTCACGTGATGGGGATGCCCTCCCCTCGCTCCACTCCCTCGCCCAAACGGGCTCGTTGGGGTACGCCGCCCTCCCCCCAAGCCCTGCGCGCGGGCTCATGCGCGAGCTCCAGCTGTGCGCGCGCGCTGCTGGTTGCACGCAGGCGCGTCGCGTCTGTCGCCCGCGATGCTCGACTCGCTCTCCCATGTCGCGTTTACAATCCAGCCAACTCTCCAGCCTTCTGGAAGCTCTCTGCTCTCTGAAATCTCGGGAGCCGCCACTTCGGCGTCAGCAACGTTCTCACCCCGGCGCGACTCGGGGCCCCTCATGTTTCCACACATGAGTCTGCCTGACGTTTTTATCCGTATGCTTAACTCGCATTCGGCGGCATCCAAGCCCACTTCTCGACCACCATCGACTCCTATTTTCCAGCTGTCTGCCACTGGTTCATAAGGCTCGACCTCACGCACCCCCTTCGGGGGCCCGTGACGCTGTCTGTGCAGTCAACGGTTGTCCACAGAGTACCTAGATCATTGTACATTGAATCTTAACAGAGAAACTACTATACTTTAAGCCGTTTCATTATTTGATTGCCACATCTCCTGGACCCGTCGCCTGGAGAGCGAGTTGAGCGTCGCGTCTGCAGGGGCGGCGCGACACGCCCGCGCGCTGCGTGCGACCAGCAGCGCGCGCGCACAGCTGGAGCTCGCGCGCGAGCCCGCGCGCAGGGCTTGGGGGAGGGCGGCGTACCCCAACGAGCCCGTTTGGGCGAGGGAGTGGAGCGAGGGGAGGGCATCCCCATCACGTGACTGCCTTTTATGGGACTCACGCAAGGCTCCCCTACGAGTTTGACCAGCCGTTAGAGGAGGTTACGACGATGACGGCTGGATGATCGAGCCTACGGTCCGTCGGATGGACCAGTGAGCCGCGGGGAAGGCGGCGGCGGTACGTCCGAGGACCCCTCTCAGATCGAGCCCCGCTTCGAGTCCGTCGCGCCGACTCACTTCGCGCGTTCCGCGAGCGGGGGCGACCTTGTCGCGGGAGAACAATGCCGGGGCTCGTTCCGACGCTTCTCAGTTCTGCGCGCCCGCTCGACGGGAAGAGTTCGAGCTGCGGGTGGGATGGAAGCCCCGGTTCGATTCGATCTGACGCGGGTTTGTGCGATGGATCAATTCGAGAACGTACGCGTAGGCAACAAGAAGCACCCTCGACCCCAAACACAGCCTCGCCCGACGCCTGAGCAACCCTGAGGCCTGAGAAAGACACCGAATCCTACGCCCTCGCGCCAACGACCGCCCCGAGGCTCGACGGGGCCAGGACCGTAGGAGCACCGCTCTCCGACCACAGGAAGGAATCGCTGCTGCCGGAGCGCTGGAGCCACGGCGAGCGCGAGAGGCTCTCGTCCGTGTCGTGGGCGGCGAACATGCTCTGGCGGAGGAGGGACGCGGGCTGCAGGCTGTCCCAGCGCGCCCCGGGACTCGTCGCGGAGGGCGGCGGGCGGGGGCGTCGGCGGGCCCCGCGCACGCGCCGTCGCTGCAGGAAGAGGCAGGCGACGACGGTGACGAGGAGCAGCGCGCCCGCGCCGCCGACCACGCCTCCGACTATGGCGTTCGTCCGTGTTTGGGTGTCCGGAGAGGAGGCGTCGTCGGTTGGGGATCCCTGGTGGGTTGAGGATTTGAACGCCGTTAGTGTCTGGAGCGCAACAGAGGTAATGACATACCTGTACAGTCTCGGCCGGTGAGGTTGTTGACGACGTCCCGAGGCTCCCCGGGTCGCGCTCGAGTCCGGCACGACGACATGGGAGGTGGATGTCGGAGGAGGGGCGGAGGAGACTTGATTCGCGCAATGAGTGAAGGTGTTGTTGTTGTTGACCGCGTGCTGCATATCCGCGAGTTCCTTTGTGAATTCACTGGAACGAGAGTGGTCAGAACGCCCGCCTTCGGGCCGTCGTTTTCTGTCGCCTACGCACTAGAACCTAAGTCGGTCTGTGTCAGCACGCGGCCACTCGAAGTGGTAGTACTCAAGATGACGCACCACGTGCCGTCGTCCCAGCCCCCGTAGAGGTAATCGTCCAGGCGGATGTTCGTGTTGCAGACCGCCTGTTGGATGTCTGCGGGCAGACTGATGGAACGGTTCAGAAATCCCCTGCCAGGTCTACAGGAAGCGACTCACGAATGATTTGTCACCGGACCACAAGTGCCGAGGTATTTGGAGTAGGTATCGTGACCTTTGAGAAGCATCAGGTTGAGCGCACCTCAAGTCTCTTTGAGGTAGCTGGTCGTCTAACCTGGAGCATCGATACCGCTTCCCCCATTACCCGGCACCGTGTAGAACTGACAACTGGAAACAGACCGGATGAACGCGAGACGGGGACGACGGGCCCGGAGAGACGCACTTCATGCACAGCATGCTGAGCTGGAAGGCGATGCTGTTGCAGCAACACGAGGCTGGCACACGCATCGTCAGCTCTGCTTCCCCTTCCGTGCAATCTCATCGCGCGCGCCACGCACAGAGTTGTTCGTTGCAGCTGTCGCCCGGCGGGCCGGTTCCGATCAGAGTGGGCACCTGGTCTTTCGCGGCGGGTATGGTCAGTGCGCTCGCCCCGGCCGAGGGGAACGCGGGCCCTCACAGTCGTTGTTGCATATTTGGCGCAATCGTGTGTACGTCTGGCCTGCGAGATTGTGTGCGTGGATTGGGACTACGTGGTATGAGAGTCGCAGATGGAGTGACTCACAAGGGGTTTCTCCCACCACGCTTGTGTACCAGTCGAGCCGGGAGGTCGCGCAGGCGGAGCTCCCTGCATGGGCGACCCATGCCCAAGAGACCGTGGCGGCGACACCGGCGAAGAGTGGGGTCCACGAAACCATGCGCGTCAGCAGCGGGAAAGCAGAGAGGGGAAGCGGCAAGCGGAAAGAACGAGACGGTGACGGTGGACGCGGCTTGCTGCCTCATCCTCTTTCCACCGCTCGGAGGCAGTGGACTTTGCGTGGCAGTAATTGATCCTTTGACGTCGGACAGAGCACTGGTGATGCCAAAAGAAGATTCCAAGTAACGCGAAGGCTGCAGTGGAAGCGACCATGCGCATGATGTCGCTCCCACAGACCGCCTCTTGTATTCCTGACGGTAGCCTAGAGACGCATATAAGCGATACATCGGACGAGATAAAGGGAGGGCACGCTCACGAACCGTTCGTCCCGCACCCACGGTGGCCCGGTAGGTGGTGTAAATTCCCACAACTGCGCGTCAAATTTGACCCTTCGTTATGGCACTTGCACCTGGAGCGTCAATGCGCCCGCCAATATTTTTCCGTTTCCGTGAGCCACTAGCAGCTGGCATATTATTGTGAGCCGTACACCACATACCTGCACGCCACCGCAGTCTGCTTCCTTCAAGCACAACATGCTGAGTTCAAACGCAACACTGCTGGAGCGGCATTCCCTACGAAGGTTACGCAGACATACATGAGCGTAGATCGCGCGCTGCCAAAAGGACCCTCGCACAGTCGTTCATCGCAGTGGCCACCTGGAAAGCTGCACGGTGTGCTGGGCACTTCATCTGAACAATCGACGCCACGACGCCAGCGGCGAACGATCGGCATTCCGACGGGTGGATAGATGACGATGGAGACACTCGCAAGACGGGTCGCCGATTTTTGCGCGGCTTCTCGCACGTCTCGCCTGCTTCATCGACTCGTGGTCAGTAAGCGCCACGAGTTTTTGGGACTCGGTGGTGTACTCACACGGAGTCGTCTCCTAGGACGCACGTGTACCACTTCGGCTGCGGGTGGGGTTTCCGGCGAACGCGCCGCCGGCGCAGACGACAGTCGGCGCACTCGCGCGCTCGTCCGGATGAGCTGCGTCCGACTCGACACCAGATCCTTGCGCGGAACTTCGGCCGTTGGTCGGATCGGAGAGTGTTCTTGCTTGAATTCGAAGTTCTTCGATGGGCTATAGGGCCGTAGGGTGAGCGGAGAGAGAAACGCCGAGGCAGGGTACGCCATTGGGTGTAGCAACCGCAGAGGAAAATCTTTCAAGTATGCACGTCACAGGTGCGAACAGATTAATCACATGAACGCAGGGCGCGACGGCCGACATATGGGGTGGCGACTTAGCGAATCCACTCCGTCTACAGTCAACATCTAAATCAACAGGGAGGCAGTGTAGAGAGTCCGTTAGAGTGTACAGTAACAGTAATCGCACCGGAATACAGGATGGTAATCACCGTCGAAACACCGCACCACCCATAACACTGGAGACCCTTTGACATCAAGGCAGAGGAGAAGACGCCAAGGGCGACCAGCGCGGAAGACAAGGTGGCATGACGGGCTTGCACCGACGCAATCTGGGGGAATTAATCATGAAGAATGAGGTTAGCCCCAGGGCGCTCGTCACGATCCGAGCATCGCAAACAACACGCACCGTATCGAGCTGTGGGCAGGCATCGCCAAGCGCACACGCTGCACCGCGAAGATGTGCAGCAGAGCTTGGGCCGTCGTGCGCGCGCGCCGGGGTGATCAGATCCCAGCAAAGGATGGCGGTGAGGCATTGTGTCGATGTCGCGATTGCGAGCGACGAGGCCCATTTGCAATAGGGCGCGAGGGCCCAGGGCCACGATCGCCATAGGTGGAGGGTCACGGGACCGGCCGGTGAGTCCGTTCATGGTGTGTACGTTGACACGGGATGCCAGAATGCCAGGCTGTGCTTTGAGCAGGGGGTCACAGGCGTGACGATGGCAAAGTCCGCTCATTATAGATCCCATGGGCCGATGGTGGAGGCGGGGTTGATCCTTGCGAGGCCGAAGCCAGTGCCTGCGGCTGATGGTTATGTCTGAGACGACGAGGTAATCGAGCCGCTGGGCGGGTAATATAGGCGCCCTAATGGCATCCCAACATGTCTGTTCGATGTCCGCTCAGAGGTCCGACTTGAAAACTCCGCTGGCACGGCCGGGGTCCGGCGTCCGGTCGGCGACCTCCAGGGCTGCCGGAAGTGTAGGATGCCAACAGAGTGACACGTTGTGCGGTGCCACGACGTTCCCGCGATCGCATGAGGCTGCGCCCCGCCACGTTCTACGTTCGCTCCTGATGGGACGACCACAAGAACGCAGGAGGTGGGAACGCGGGAAGCGCGCCAGGCGAGAGGGCAAGTGGCGGGGGCGGCGACGGCGGCTCATCGACGTAGTCCGGGGAGAGGGGGAGGGGGACCAGCGACGCGTCGACATCGACGTCGAACAGCCCCGCGCGGCGGTAGCCCTGGTCGTGCTCGAACGAGGGCGCGGTCGCGGAGTGCGGGAAGTCGTCGTCTGCGAGCGAGATGATCGTCGGATGGAGCGGGGTCGCGAGCTCCATCGACTCTTCGGAGTCGTCGGTGCGGCTGGTGTCGTCGTTACCCACTTCGGCGAGGTTGAAGAGGTGCGTCGCGGGATCCTGAAGGAGTAGAGTGTCGTCTGGTTCCGTATCCTCTTCTTGGGCGTCTTGAGCCTGGGACCCGGGGCCCAACGCAAGTGGTGAGGGTCCGCAGGACCAAGTATCGGTGTGCGCGGGACAGACTGCACCCTTCGGTCTCTCGACGCGGGCACTCCCCGGCTTCGAGCTTCGCCCAACAGGGTTTGCCTCAGTGTATCGATCTCGGCCTGGAGAGCTCCTTCGCGCAGCGCGGACTGGCGCTTGAGTTCGCCGAGCTCGTCGCGAAGTGACTGGGCTTCCCTGCACGGCCCAAAGTGAAACAAGAGCGAAGACATCAGCATCACGTCACCGAGTCGCAGCAATGAGGGGATGGCAGCCAGCTCGCACGCCGCCACGCCATTCCCAAATGCATTACGAGAGGTGAACGCGGGCGTACCTCTCGCAGTCACAGTGATCACTCGACTTCGGAGCGCCGCCTGATGGGGCGTGTTTAGGAATGCGTTTGGAGTGATGTTTGGGTTTCGGTGGCACTTTGGTGCTCGCTTTCGCATCAGGCGTCGAGGTGACGACGTCGTCCCCAAACCCGAAACTCGGGTCTAAGTCGAGCGAGACGCCAGTGGGCACCCCTCGGTGATTGAGTGGAGGTTCAAGGGCGACGGCAGCGGAGATCTGGCCCGTGAGACCACCCTACCAAGCATGACAGTGGTCAATGTACGGATCCTTCTCAAAGCGATACGAGTGATTTTACCTGAGATGGTGCTGGCGCAGGTAACGGCTTTGGTGGATGAAGTTCTTCGGCGAGCATGTTCCGGATAGCATCTCGTTCCGCCGTGAAGGCTGCGATCTCGGTGGAGAGAAGTTCAACCTGCTGTCTCAGTGCCGGAAGGTAAGTCGTGTCGTCGTCCGCACTCGTTCTCGCGGTTGGCGCGTTGGTCGTGTCGGCACGTTGGTCATGGTGATCCCGAACCTCGTGCTGATCACGGCGGGCGGGATTATCGGAACGAGACTGCGACGATCGGTTGTACCGAGGCGGTGGCGCAGACGGCATCCGCGAGAGACCTCGCGAGGGCGGCCCGGCGGGTAGATGCAATTGAGAGCCCAAGGGGGTGTCGGGAGGTATCGTGGAGGTAGCATTCGGATAGACGGCTCTAGAATGTTGTGTGTGCGCATCACGAAGCTACAATGAGAATCAGCTGGTGTCGACATGCTGAGAAGTTGGTATCTCACTTGGGTGTCCAGGAACTGAACTTCACGCTCAAGCAATCTCTGGCGTGTGAGAGCCTGTGCTATAAGTTGCCCGTCTTCTTGCCCTGACGTCAACAGATGTTGCTGCATTGGACAGTCGGCGCGATGTCGCCGACTGTGGGCGCATTCGGGGTGAACGCAAGGCACGAGCGATGGGTCGGTGGCGCGAAGAGACGATAGCAGGACTTGATGGCTTCCATGGGTGGCGCATGCTTCAAGTTCGGCGTCTCGTCTTGCGACCATGGCACGGAGTCGCAAGATCTCTGCGTCTGCTTGCTCCTTAGTCTGAGCGTGAGCACGCTTCTCTTCATCGAGGTGCCTATGCACGGACGCTACTAACGCATCGCGGACAATATTCAGGTCGTCGTTGGCGTAATGAGTTCGTGAGTTTGGCACGATGGGGGGTCCGGTCAAGGGATCTGCATAAACATAAACGAGGCTTGTCAAATTAAGTGATAAGAAATTAGTAGACAACTCACCAAGAGGTCGCGCGAGGGTCATTCTGGAGTAGGGCCATGTGGAGTAATCGTTACACCGTTCAACTGGAAACCGAAAGAATCTGAGTTAGCCCTACAAGCATCTTGGAGCAGGCTGCACAGACGTTGTTTTGCAGCCGCAAGACTTCAAAACTGGTTCAATACACCCGCCTACCTCCGCACTTCTAGTGTCGACGACGCTGAAGAGCGGAAACACGTGAAGAGTTTTGAACGCTCAAACCACATCAGAATGGTGCGCCTGAGGCGTGTTCGACACGTTGTGTCCCCGGGGACTCATCAAACCGCGCATCTGACTTATCCCTCCTGTGGTAGTCTCAGATATTCTGCAAGCCACCAGACTGAGACAGAGTCGCTGATTGCGCCATGTACAAGATGTCCCTTTCAAGCCATGCTACACCAGCCTCTGCACTGGTGACGTCTTGTGACGCCACAAGAAGTGAAGCCGGGGGAAGTGTGGCCAAGAGCGCGTGCAAGGATGGATAATATCGCTTGTCCGCACTCCACCATGGCGCATAACACCGTCTGACGAACTTCCTCCGCCGAAAAATACGACCAAACGCGCGTCGAAGGGTCCCATTCCGGCCTACATCGAGCGAACAGAGCAACGTACCTTTTTCAACCAAGATCGACACCACCTCTCTCATCTCGTCCTTCTCGGCCTCCGCTCGCTTGACTTCGTCCAGGTACCGGTCAAGCTTCTCGCTGAGCTTCTCCTTCGCGCGCCGCTCCGTCTTGAGCTCGTAGTGGTGCGCGTTTCGGAGCGCGTCGAGTTCGTCAAGGGTGGCGGCCAGACGCGTCTGCATCTGCGAGATCCGCATGTTGCACATGTGGAGCTCCTTCTGGAGGCGAGCGACCTTCACGTGCCGGTCAGTTACGCGTGAAACGCGTGAGGTGAAACGGGAAAGTGTACCTCGGCATCGCGTGAAGGGACGGAGCTGGGTCCGGGCTGAGGAGGGGGTCCCATGCGGTGGAAGATAGTCGTATATGCAATAAGTTACGCGTTTGTGGGGCAGGATATCGACGGGAGACGGTGTACAAGCAAGAGAGAGCATCCAGAAAGCAAGAGGGCGAAAGCAGGTCGATGAGCAGCAACAAGCGAGTCCGGGTCTAAAGTTCGCTTTCCTCAGAGCGCCCACGCTCGCAGCAGGCCGGCGCTCGCGTGCCTGGCGCTCTTGTTCTGTTCCAAACGCTGCAATTCATTGCTGCGGCTAACACTGCTATTGAACGAGCTACCGCCGACAAAAAATCGACAATGTGTACAGGGATGTCCCTGAATTATACTACGAGATCCAAGTGATGTATTTATCGGCCGTAGAATTCCTTCGAATTGACCCCGCGATGAGCTCTGCAACAATCCGGCTCGCTTGCATCGAAGGGTGCAATTCGTCGTACCTGCGGGACCGAAGTCAATGCTCCCAGTCTTTGGCGTATGAGAAGGAGACATCACGGACCACAGATAGCTATCCTGGTCCGTGCCAACGACATCGGTGCACACGCCCGGGTCGGTTTGGCTCTCGTTCAGCTGGTACACGCACGAGTGCACGGCCCCGGTGACGTTCAGGGGCGCCGAGCCGTTGAGGAAACCCCGCGGGTGCGCGTACATTTCTGCGAACAGGGAGTGCGAGTCAAAAAGCCCTGCAGTGCGGTCATTCAGGACGCTCTTCGCGCGCGAGTGGTCGAAAGCTTACCGATGTGCGCGCCGTGCAGAGAGGGCGCGAGTGCTTGGAGCATGAGCTCTGCGAGCGCGTTCCCGGCCGACGTGAGCTCGCGCATGGAGACGCTCCATTCCGTCGTGTTGCGCTGCGCGGTCCAGTAGATGTTCGTGTACGAATCCGGCGCATACAGGATCGTGTTCTCGAGCGGAATCATCTGTATGAGAGACGAGAGTTGAGTGGAGGCGCTGTGCGTCATCTCCATACTGACTGGAACTCACATTCTGGAATATGAAGTTTCGAGCCCCGGACTGATACAGCACCTTCACCCAGTTCACCGCGCAAGAAGTGGTGTCCACGACCGTCACCCCAGACGCCCATGGCCCGTTAGAAGGCCGTTCGCGCCACATCGTTCGTCCCGATCCATAGCGTGTATACTGTCTCCTCCGGGTCGAGAGTGATGGCCCTTAGCAACCTGCTCGAAGTAGGTGGCAGCTGGCTCTCGAAGACAGACGGCGCTGGTCGAGTGACGGTCTTGTTCGAACACGTCGCTCCAGCTTTCGCATAGGGGAAGAGAGAGAGGTTCCCATCCGGGCGGCAAGGACGGGCCAAACGATTCCCCCTCATAGTGAGCGTCCTTGAGTGGATGTCAACGTCTGGCTCAGCTCGCAGCGGATACAGAGACGTACGATGTCGGTGTAGGAGTCCCCGAAGGTGACTAAGTTCTTAATCTGGTCGGGCGCAGGACCGAGGCAAATGCGGGCAAGGCGAGCGCGCTCAGGAGCAGTACGCCGCAAGCAAGTGAGAGCATCCTGAGGCGCGGTGCTGATCGGAGCGCCTTGAGAAGAAGGCTTGCGAGGCGGCCTCAGGAGTGCCTCACTATATATACTGAAACAGCACTGCTTCACGTAGAGTGGCTGACCGGGCTCCTCAGAGCATGGGACCGAGACTCACACAAAGGAACGCTCATTCTTGTCATACCCTCGCTTCTTGGGCCGCTCTTCACGCGGGGGAGTGAGCCCGATGGCGGAGACGGAGTGGGGACGCCTGTGGCGAAAGTATTCCCTGTATTCAACCATGTGGCATCAGCGGAGCAGGAGCCGCTGCTACAACGAGAAATCCCTGGGAACTGTCGGAACTTTGAGGTCTTCCTGTGCAAATGCTTGAGTGGGGAGTATGCTTGCATTTTCGGGACATGGAACTCTCAAGGCAGAGATCATCGGACTTGAACTATAACCGCAAGCGCCTGAAGTTCGAAACGTGGCCGGAAGTTGTCATTACGCACGCACGACGCTCGTAACATACAAGGCGCTTCACGACAGCCAAGTGATGTACCTGTCCGCCGACGGCTCCCTGTTAATCGAACCTACGATCAACTCCGCGACGACTCGGTCCGCCTGCACCGAGGGGTGCAACTCGTCGAACCTGCCATGAAGTCACCATCGTAAGACAGCCTCTTGCGACGAACTCAAAGAACGCACCACAAAAAGCTGTCCTGGTCAGTGCCGACGGCATCGGTGCACACGCCAGGATCGCCCATGCTCTCGTTGAGCGCGAAGACGCAAGAGTGAACGGCGCCGGTGACGTTGAGCGGCGCGGTACCGTTCAGAAAGCGACTCGGATCGGCAAACATGTCCGCAAAAAGCGTGTGCGAGTCGAAGAGACCTGATTACGATGCAGCGTTAACGAGGAGTGCCAGGTACCCGTGAAGGAGGACTCGCCGATATGTGACCCGGGGAGAGTGGGCGCGAGGGCTTGGAGCATCAACTTCGCGATGGCGTTCCCTGAAGTGGTTATCTCGCGCATGAGCACGCTCCACTCGGTCGTGTTGCGCTCCGCGGTCCAGAAGCGGTTTGGGTACGAGTCGGCCGCGTAGAGGACCGTCGTTTCGAGCGGGATCATCTGTGCGGCAGGGCTGAGGTCAGAGCCGAAAGGACCTGCACTAACTCGCTGAGAAGGCTCACGTTCTGGAAGATGAAGTTACGCGCTCCAGACTTGTAGAGCGCGTCCACCCAGTTCACGGCACAAGTGACCGTGTCCACGATCGTCACTCCCGGCGCGCCATGGCCGACCAGCAGCCCTCCCACACCGACGTCGTTTGTTCCGATCCACAACGTGTAGACGGTAGTAGCTGGATCGAGCGTGAGAGACCCGTTGGCGACCTCCGCGAAGTACGCCGGGAGCTGGCTTTCGAAGATGGAAGGCGAGGGCCGGGGAGTGATATCGTTCGAGCACGCGGCCCCCGACTTGGCGAAGGGGAAGAGAGAGAAGTTTCCATCCTGGGCGGCGAAGACGGGCCACATGATCCCGCCGTCCGCATGGGCATCCTGGGAATAGTGTGAGCTCAGTGCATTGGGACATAGCGAGAGGGATACGCACAACATCAGTGTAAGAGTCGCCGAATGTGACAAGGTTCTTGATTTGGTTGGGAGCCAGGCCGACCGAAGTGGCAGGCATGACAAGTATGCCCAGCAGCAGCACGATCGAGCGAACATGCAGTCGCAGGGAATTGAGTAGAGGCTGGAGAAGGAGAGGGCGAGACAGCAGTTGACGAAGGTGGCGACACCCCATTATATATCAATGAAATTCTGATCATTCGTGCTCGAATAGCTCGATCAGAGAGCCCTCGACGTACCGAAGCTGCCATCTCCATGGCTCGCAGCTCGCAGCTGATTATCGGCTGGCGTCCATCTGACGCATCGCTGCGATGCAGTTGGCAGCGCGTGCTTATGCACTGTCGTCTGCGATTCGAACACGGGGTTCGTTTCCGAACAGACTTCCCCCACATCAGCACCGTATCAGATCACCAAGTACAGGTTATATCATTGTCGCCTTCGCTCGACGCCCGAGGCGCGGGTCCCTCGACTGCTCTCTGCCCGCCCTCACACGTGTCACCGCCTCGAGGAAGCCGACGCTGGCGGCGGGCGCGCGTGATATATGATAGATGGACCCTCCTGCGGCTGATGCTCGCCGTCGAGGAGTGAATGTTGACTGGACCACGTGAGAAGTACGGAAGATGGCCTGGGGTCGAGATGCTGTGTGTTTTCGCAGCACTTCTTCCAGCACCTTGCTCCAGTTGACGAGTACTGTCGGAGACGGTCACCGAGCTAAGTTTAAGTGAGCCGAGCGGGGAGAACGACCCGTCGCGGTCATTGAGCGGAGGTGTGGCGTCCTGCATTCGGAGCATCTGTCGCCGGGGTCGGTCCAGGACGACGTTGAGTAGACTGCTGCCAGTCGAGCGTTCTGTTGAAAAGTGAGCGGTCAGTGACCGACAATGCTCAGTGAACACAAGGGTTGGGCAAAGTTGATGATCTCATGGCCTCCGGCGCCTCGACACCACCAAGCATGTACAGGCCTCTAGGCGCATCCACGTATGCCGTACCAAAGACTTCTTCAGAGCGAGAAAGAGACAACGCTCACCAGTCATCAAACTACCCTCGTGGGTGGCATGTATGTGACGTTGGGCCCGCGCATGTTCGCCCGCGGCCTGTCTTTGGGTGGTGCCCGAGCGACCACGACTTCCGGAGACGGCGCCGGGACTCGCGTGTACTCCGGCTCGGCCGCCTTCGCGACCTTCTCCAGCGACGCCGTGCGCGACATCGACGGCGGCGTGTACGTCGCGACCTTCACCTTGTGCGTCTTCGAGTCGAGCGAGAGCACCTTGTGCGTCTGGTTGGCCAGATGCGCGGGGGAGTGGGAGTGCCGGAGCGCGAGGACGGGCCGAGGGTAGGGAACGCGCCTTGGGCTGCTCGCGCCCCTCGACAACGCGCTGGCGCTCTGCCTCCTCCTTGGCGGCGTGTCGTCGATGCGGGGCGGTCGGGCCGCGTCGCTGAGGAGGGTGGTGGTATAGTGGGAAATGTGAATGGGGGAGGTTGATTTGTAGAGGACGAGCGCGCACGATCGGCAGATGGGCGTGTGCTGCGAGAGCGGGCGCACGCGCGCTGTTCAGCGGCGCATATACGCAGGTGCAGAGTGGGGGAATACTGGCTCAGAACACGCAAGTGAGAATGTCGAGTGCGCACGAACCTAGACAAAAGCAGCCGCCCTTAGGGTCCTTGGTCGTCCCCGTCACTTTCTGCAGCCCGTCGCGCAGCCTCTCGACTCTCGAGCTTCTTCACCTCCGCGCTCTTTGGTGGCCCTGATTGCTTCCCGCCCTGCTGCTGCTGCTGCTGCTTTGGCTTATTCCGCGGGGGCGGGGTGCTCGACTTGGGCGCGAGCCTGTCGGATGTCCAGGCGGTGTGAGACATGGTCGTCGGATGTGAAGGGGTTGAAGAGGGTATGGTTGAGACGACGGGGAGGGGCAAGAGAGCGCACTGTGGACGCTGGCCCGCCGGGCTGAGCCAGCAAGTTGAAGTACTCTGACTCCGCGAATGCGAATGCGGCTCGTGCAGCAGGGCGGCCCGCGCGGCGAAGAGAGAGAGATATAAACCGCCTACCGGAGCTGTGGCGTAGATGACTTCTACATACTTATGTAAAACAACTCCGGTCGTAACTACGTAAGCGCGTACCGTGAAATGCGGCCGCTGGAACGTACGAAGGTGGCGCGCGGGGGCCTGGGTTCGACTCCTCCATTGTCGGTATATCTACCAGAGATTTCGGTTGAAACGGCCAAGCATGGTGCCTACATCTTCAGCTTATAGACGAGAGAGAGAGAGAGAGAGAGAGAGAGAGAGAAGGTGCGGTTCGCAATTTGGAAGACTCTGCCCACATTTCTGTGCTCGACTTACGATCAATTCGGACTCTACTCCCACGGTCTACGTCACCCGCCGGCCGCCGCCAGCGACTCTCGGTCCACCGCCTCGCGCAGCTACACCGAGGAGCTGTGCAGGCTACACAGTCCGTATATACCGAGTGTCTGCCTACCACCTCTTCTTGCTGTGTGCTCCAGCTACTAGACAGGCAAGTTCGCGTTCTTTGCCCCTCTCCAGGAATATACTACTACCAATCAAGTTGATTGGACTGCCAGGTTTTACATCATGTCTTCAGGGGAAGAAGACATTGGATCCAGCAAGAAGCGTAAGCTTCAGCGTGCTTGCGACCACTGCAGGCGTAAGAAAAGTGCGTATCCATCCAGCTGTGTACAGACTGATGTGCTCACAAACCCCTCAGTCAAATGTGCGTTGTTTTGTGCAGGATTTGCGACACTGACTCCTGACCTCGTCCTATACTCAGGTGACGGTCCTCAGATGCCAGATAACCGTTGCACCAGGTGTGTGACGCGTAAAATGGATTGTACGTACAACGAAGCGATGCAGGTAAGGAGAACATTAGAGGACTCTCAATTTTCGCTCACGTCATTTGCAGAGGTCTACATACCCGAGCAGGTGGGTCATTTATCAGACTTTGAAGTCACATTTCGTCTCACTATTTGGATGGGTTGCCAAAAAAGCTATGTCGAAGGCTTGGAGAATCGGCTAGAGCGCGTCGAGGCGCTCCTGAATAAGGTGTGCAGCTGAGTTGTCCATGTGCTCCAGCATGAACTAACGCTCGACGCAGCTCTGTCCAGACGACGCAGTACAGCTAGACGAGCACTCGCCGCCGGATGCTAGTAAGGCTTCCAAGACCCCGACACTGGAGATATCTGAGGCGCTGAGCAACATGCCGCCCATCAGCACTCCTAATGAAGGTACAGGAGGGCAAAGCAGCGACGACGAATACGGGGAAGCCGGCTTGACCGAGGCGGACTACCACAAGCGCCTCCTGTCCGTCGACGTTCCTTCGTATCGGTTCCACGGCAAGTCTAGCGCCCTCGTTCTCATCCACAACGCCATGCATATGATGAGCAAGGTCATGGGACCCGGACCAGCTCCTGGTGAACCGGGGCATCAAACGGTTGGCCAGTACCATCACCATCCAGTGTGTTATTCATCACTTCTAGTTCTTGTGAACGTGGTTCTAATGTTCTGTTAGTGGATGCGTCGTTTGATTGAGGACCGCTTGCCCCCTTTCAAAGCAGAAGACTTTCCCCCGAAGGATCTCCTCGGCACGCTCATTGATGCGTATTTCCGAGAGGTCAACGACTTCAATCCCGTCCTACATGAGCCCAGTTTCAAACGCTCCATCATCCAAGGGCTTCATCTGCGCAGGGGAGGACTCGGTGCCGTTGTGTTGCTAGTCTGTGCCATCGCCGCACGCTTCGTGGACGATCCGCGTGTCCTCCTCCCAGGGACGACGGAGCTCGCTTCGGCCGGATGGGCGTGGTACGATAAAGTCGATCGGGTCCGGCTGCTCCCAGTGGCGCCCGTCGAGCTCTACGACATTCAGATTTACGCGGTAGGCTATGCAGCTTGTTATTGCCGAGTATCACACACTGACGCGCCCGGTTGCAGCTCATGGCTACGTTCCTTTGGTCAACGGCGACGCCACAGGCTGCGTTCTCTGTGGCCAGCGCTGGCATCCGTCTCGCAGTCGATATCGGCGCTAACCGCAAGATGATGTATAACAGCCCCCCGACTATTGAAGAGGAGTTGTACAAGCGCGCGTTCTGGTGTGTTTTTTTTCGTATTTCGGCCGAGATGAGAGGCACATTTGACGTTGTTGCAGGAGTCTCGTCGCTCAAGATTGGATGATGGCATACGGCCTCGGCAGGCCTCCTACTATTCATGATGAGGAGTATGCGGCCGTGCTCTTCTTGCCATGCTATTGATTGATCTTACTACTACAGCATTGACGTCGGCCTTCCGGTGGAATGCGACGATGAGTATTGGCTCGACGAGTTGGGAAAGCCATCGTTCAAGCAGCCTGCTGGGAAGCCCTCGAAGGTCGCTGCCTTCAACTGCTATATTCGACTCACTCAAATCCTCCTCTTTGCAATAAGAACAATCGTGAGTACCATTACTATTATGTAGGATTTATCTCAATGATATTCACGCAACACAGTACGCCGTCACAAAGGTCAGAATGCAAGCAACCCGTGCAGATCCCAACTGGGAACAACGGGTGGTCGCCGAGCTCGACTCTTCGCTCAACAAATGGGTCGATTCTCTTCCCGCACATCGTGAGTAGCACGTGGTCAGCCGCTAAAATGCCCCGACAATGAGGTGTTGTTTTCAGTTCGCTGGGATCCGGAGCGCACCGACACAATCTTCCTCACGCAGTCCGGCTTTCTTTTTGCGAATTACTACCACTTCCAAATTGCCGTGCACCGCCCATTCATGCGCCCAACACCGAACGGGGGTCCACGAGCGTTCCCTTCCCACATTATATGCATGAATGCGGCCAGGTCTGCTGTCCACGTACTCGATCTAATCCACAAGAAGACAGGAAAGGTGCACTATGGATGTGCTGTACGTTCTCATCGTCATCGCCACCGTCTTATGGGAAAGACCTTCATGAATGCTCCGTCAGGGCCACGCTACAATCGCCGGGACCATACTCATGCTCAACGTTTGGATGGAACGCATGTCTGACCGACAAATCGCCGGGAGCAGCCGCGATCTCGTTTCCGTGCAGAAGTGCATCGAGCTTCTCGACCATCTCAGACACGTGTACGTCCTTCTGCTATCCCTCCATTCCAGATAGCTCACGTCTTGTTACGACCAGCGGAGGGGCAGCGGAGGTTCTACGGTAAGCATCGCCATTCCACTCTGCCGCTCTCCTCACCCGTCTTTGTCCAGTGACGTCCTCAAGATGCAACTCTCCGCGGCGAAGCGACCATACACCAAACCATCTCCTTCCACGCCCCTCGTCGTCAACACCTCCGAGGCCGAAGCCAAGCAGATCGTCGTGCACTACAACAACCGCGGCCCGGAGGACCCCGAGTCGCCCAGCGCGCTCGAGTACACCGCCGCCGCCGCCAGTCCCGTACCAGCGTGGGCACCCCAGGCGAAGGGCACCCGTACGCGCTCCCCCTGCGCTCGGAGGAGCTCGCCCGGCTCCACCCCAGGCGCCCCCCAGGCCAGCAACAGCAAGGCGGGCCTGCACAGGATCAACGAAGTGGATTTCAAGCCACCGCACCCGGGCCTGGGCCCGCCTCGCACGGAGACGGAGGAGAGCCGTCGTCCCTGGCGGCGACGGTCCCAACCCCGGCGGTGTCGGAGGGCGTGCCGGACGGCTTCGGAGACGTTGCGGCGGCCCCGTTCGGGTTCTTGGACGGGACGCTAGGGGAAAGCGCGTTCCCGCCCGACGCGTTCCGCGTGCAGATGCCTTCGGGGCGGACAGAGGCGATGCCAATCCCGCTCGCGCCGGGGCAGGACTTCGGGATGGACTTCCCGGGGCAGGGGGAGCCGGTGGAGGCGGCGGCGATGGACTTCGCGTTCGTGGACGACATGATGACGATGTTTACGACGCAGCAGACGGGGGCGTTTGGGTGAGTGGACTGTCGATCTTGGGGGTGTACGGTGCTAACGAGAGCTCGTCTAGGTGGAACGAGTGGGCGGTTATGACTAACCTGAGTATGGGCTTGGATCAAGGCTTCATGAATGTCGAGCCTTCACAGAACACTCCGAACGACACCAGTGGACCAGGACCAAGTTCGTGAAACAGTTTCGAAGCTCGTGCTGCTTTGTTCCCGGGGGATCCGAGAAATCCGCCGTTGTTTGTACAGTTATAATACATTTGCTTCTGCGACGATCCCGCTGACAGTACCGATGACTGCCGAGTGAGCGAAAGTTTTGACACATAGACGTACGCTATAACTTCGTTGGAGCCGTCTCCTACCCGGCAGTACTCTTCCTAGTGGAATGCCACCGCCGTGCCTTTACCCCTTTCAAAATGCATCTACTCTCTGATAATCTCGCCCTCGTCGCAACGGTCGCACACAAGCAGCGTAATCGAGACCTAACATCCGCGAATTAGAAGTACTCATACACATGATACGATACCACGCCCCTACTCTACAATATAGCCTGCTCTTACCGGACTCAGCTTCACACCGGAGGCGCGCCGCGCCCGGCCAGGATCATATCATCCACGATCTCGTCGTGCTCGGTGCGCTTGTACGTCCGGATCGTCTCGCCGAAGTCAGAGACGTCGTACACGCGGAACCGGCGGTCGAAGCCAGCCTTGCCGTATCCGGAGTACGACCTGCGCGAGGGAGGCTCGATCAGCGGACTCCACCAATGTGAGAGGCAGGACTGCACTCACCCTCCGCCGCCAAAGCAGAGCCAGACACCCTTCACGCGCCGGCAGTTCTCTGTCACTGCATAGACAAGGCCGACAGCGATCAGCGCGCGGCCGCACATGGACGACGAGCACTCACGGTGGCAGTGGCCGTTTGCGACGACCTTGACCTCCGGTGCGCGTGAGGTGCGATGGTCGCTCTCGAACGCCTCGAGGAGGGCCTTGTGGAAGAAGCCTTCCTGCTTCTTCGCCGCGCCGCTGGCCTCCATGTCGCTGATGCCAACATCGAGCGGGCGGCCCGTCTCCGGGTTGATATCGGCCGCCGAATAGCTTTCCTGACTGTGATACGCCGGCCGCGGTGTCAGCGGGAGAAGAAAAGATACACGCGGAGAACAACGTACAGAGGAATGTGGAAGAACATGAGCGCGTTCGGCTTGGCGAGGCGTCGGCCAGACCCTGGCATGACCTGCCCCTGTCGCTTCCACAGGTGGCCCAGGTCTTTCGCGCCATCGGGCATGAAAGGGCGCTCGACGGTGTCGATGGAAGCTGAAGGGGCGTTAGCGGGACGTTCGTGGGGAGCGAGGAAAAAGCATACCTGACTCCTGCAGGAACCAGTCGATTTGATCCTGGCGGAGATAGTCGTACGCAGTAGGGTGGAGACCGAACCAGTCCATGAAGCCAGCGGAGTAGGAGCCGGAATCAAGGAAGTACATCGTGAGGAGGTGCGTGGCCGAGCTAAACACCACGTTAGTCACGCATTATGGGGGAAGCAGAGTCTGAGATACGTACGGGTCCGCGCTCTTGACCTTGAGCACGTAGTTGCCAACGCCATGGACGTCCTTCGGGCCGCGCTCCACCATCGAGTACGGCAGGCCCTTCATGTAGTGGATCTGGTGTTCCTTCAGCATGCCGTCTTCTTCATCATGGTTCCCGAAGACCGCTGCCCACGGGATGCCGCGCTCCGTGACTGCCTTGGCGAATTTGGCGAGGATCGACCGTCCGTCCCATGCGGTCGTTTGACCGTTTAGCTGATCACCAGTAAAGACGATAAAATCGGGCTTCTCCGCGTCCAGCATCTTTCCGAGCAGGGTGTTTGTGAGGTTGTCCGAGCCGGTACAGGGGTCTGGCGTGTCCCTGCATGACCCTAAGGAAACGGAATAGTGGAGGTCCGCAACTTGCATAATCTTGAACTTTCCATCATGCGAGAAGTGGAGGGGAGGGGCGCGCGGCGGGGCTGTGGGGCACATTCGTCGGCGTGGCGGGAATACACAAGCATACACGAGCACTCACAATGAACGCCTTTCCGGTGGGTGAGCCACACAGGCTCCGTCTTCCCGTCGCCGTCAAACGTCGCCTGGTCGACTTTCTCAAAGCCGTACCACGTCGTGTCAGAGCCAAAGAGGACGTCTATCTCGGTGACGACGTCATTCTTGCGCTCCCCTTCCGACATGTCCTTCCACGCTTTCGCTGCCTTGTACCAGAGGTAACGCTTCGCTCCCTTGGGGTTGATCGGGTGGTCAACCCTCAACCATCCGGTGCTTCCCGCTGGGGGTGTTTGGTTCTCCGGGAGGATGCTGAGTTCGGTCACGAGGGGAATGTCATGTCGTCGGGTGCGACGGTAGTATACATTCTATTTGCGCGTCCCTCTCAGCCCGAGAAACGACGACAGTAGATGGAGGGAGAAAGACACACCAGACTCTTCAGACTGACTTCCTGCTTCAGATTCGGGCCGACTCGTACCCACTTGCCCTTGTGTGCGTCGTCTTGTTTGGTGGTTGACGGGTAACAGACGTCCGCAGATATTGGCACATACCACGGGTCGAAAAGGCACTCCGTGATGTGTATTTCGGACACTGCAACGTATGCTGTTGAGTACATAGGACCTTTGAGGTGAATGAAGAAACGCACGTCCTGTGTCATGCTGCATCATTGGGTCCCAGGTATCCAACGGAAGGCTGGCCGAGTCCGTGGTTTCCGTGGTCGTAGAGACGTTCCACCAGTCCGCCCCGTGCGGCACGGTTGGATTGGTCGAATCGGTATTAGAGCCAGAGGTCGTCTCGAGACTGCCCGCGGTGTCTTGTCCGCCGACGGAGCCCTCGGTGATGATCTCCCAGGACTGCCATCCTACTCGTTGTATGCTTCCAGGTCCAGGCGTGGGTTGGTAGAGGATGAAGATGTAGGTGAGGAGGAAGGAGAAGCCGATGATGGACGCAGTCGGGACGAAGATGGAACGGAGGAAACGAGCGAAGCGAAACAATGAGAAAGCCGCCATGATGGAGGGCGTCGCTCTCGACTCTCGAAGGCAGAATCACAAGGCGAGCATAAAGATACGAGAGTTGGTGGTGGGAGATCAGAACGACAGTGAGCACTCAGCACGCTCCCATGACGGTGCAACAGGAAGCCCTAACCCTATGCCTGACAGAATATATATCGACCCGACGAGCTCTCCTGTGAATCTAGCCACTGGAGCATGACTAGGAAAAAAACGGATGCATGTCTATTACCCCAGGCTGGCAAACGTAGTGTTACCGGGGAATGGATCGACGCGTCGGAATGGGCGCAAGTGTCATACTTCAAGGCAGGTACCCGTTCAGGAATCAGAGTGGAGAGCGAGGATATAGGATTCCGGGAGCCAGATTGCATACATGCATTTAAGACTTCATTTTGCTATGAAAACGAAGCGTTCATCTGATCACTCTTCTTCCTCCTCGTCGTCCAGCGGAATGAATCGCTTGCCCTCGTTCCTCTGTTCGAGCGGTGATCAGTATGCTATGAGGTGCTGACAACATAACTTCTTACGGCACTGTCGAGTCCTCCCATGGCCCGTTTGTCTCTAAGGCTCATCAGTTTCCCCCCACTCGACGTAACACTGGAAGCGCTGAAAGAACTTGTGTGAGAAGTGTGTCGTAGGGTGACGCAACTTGTAGGGGCTGGTTCAGAAAAGGCCGCCGTAGACGGTGCGACAGGGTCCGGTCGAGTTGTTGAACGGCGAGGGGGGGTCAACAGACTAGGGGTCCGGAAACGAGGTGTTGTAGGTGGAGCGGGTGCAGACAGTTGGTCAGATCGCCAGAAGGGATTAGACGGGGACCACGGGCGATCGGGTTGTTGCTGTGCAAGGACAGGGGAGGAAGGAGTACGTGGAGGACTCCAGGCACGACTGTTTATCGAATTGGAGGTGAGTGTATGCGCACCCAGAGCATGTTCGAAAGTGGTCCGGTTGACGATTCGGCGTGGTGTGTACAGAGTTTTAGAGACTGGGCGTCGACGCGCCGGAGTGATTTTGGTGACCAGCTTAGCCGATGAGGAGCAAGATGCTGCGCTCGAGTCCAGCCTGAGTCTCTTGCGAGCGCGAATAGTGATAGTGTCGCGAGCAGAAGAGACGTTAGAAGGCGTCGAAGACAGAAGAGGGCGAAAGGGAAGCTGCAGGGCAGAGTGCTGAGTATCGATGCGCCGTGCCAGGTCAGTGACCGCGTTTGTGATGCCAGAGCCGACATTCTCCAGCTTGACTGGGACAGATTGAAGCAGGGGCATTACGGGGAGAAGTCCGGAGAGTATTTGGACCTGCTGTTCCTGTATGCTTTGAAGGATTTGACTGTGACCGAGATTGGCCTGTATGAAGACCAGCGTATAAGTGTCTCGAGTAGACGGGCGACGAGAGTGGATACACACCGCGCTAAGTGCATCGACCTTCTTGTCCATAGCGTCCATCCGGGTTGACAGGACCGCAAGATCCTTGGAGAGTGTCACTGTTGTCAGATGTTGCGCCGGCGTGCCAATGGTCTTTTGAAGTTCCCTCTGGCAGCGGTTCACTTATGACGACCCTCCGCCTCAGTCGCGTGGGGGAAAATCAATGGCAGAGATGCTCACCAAGACCGATCATCCGATCTGCAAGTTGTTCATGCTCCTCCTGAAAGAGCTTTTGTACCGTCACCAACTCCCTTTTCGCCTTGTCCAGACCAACAGTCAACTGCGTCACGCGATCCGTAAACTTCTCCAAGTTAGCATGAGTGTCATGCAAGAGCATCCGCGTCGATGCACCGGTCTTGTCAACAGGATGAGTGTTCAAATTGCGTGAGATATTCTCGAGCTGGTTATTTGCAGGCTCCGTGAGTGATGCGTCGATAGGCCCGCGCTTGAAAAGGAGGTGGCCCCAGAGTCCGGCAGCAGGGGTAGAATGAGATTGATGCCATAAGGGATTGCCAGACATGTGCGGATTGGAGGGTAGAGGAAAGTAGTGGAGGATGGAAGGGGAGGAGAATTCCGCAATCTGGCGAGATGGTGGAATTGCCACAATGCTTTACAACCAATATTATAATATAAAAATACTCGATATCATGTCTCTGTTAGTATATCGGTTAGTACACGCGCCTGTCATTCCGATGGACGCGCGAAAGCGGGGTTCGACTCCCCGACAGAGAGTGTACCAACAGTTCTCTTTTGGTTGGCGTAGCTGGCGGCGCGGGCTCCGCTGCCGCGTTGCACAAATGCCAATGCTGAACAACAAGGTCGTCAAAGACCCCCGTTGCTGCCCAAACGACCTTAGATGTGCATATATCGGTGTTTAAACACGGTTTACACGAGTTGAGTCGCCCACGCAGCGGCCCGGCACCAAATCTGAGCCCGTTCAGACGAGCGCGAAGAGCCGGCGCCTCTCCCCGCAAGCTGGCACATCGCGAGAGCGGCCAGTCCTCCAAGTGGACGCGCTGAGCACGCCGCACCTGTCTCTGCCGCCACGCGTCCTCCGGGAAGTGCGTGTGCGCGCTGCCGTGCGCCCTCCAGCGCGGAGGCCCACGCGCACCTCGACACGCCCACGGCGTGTCTGCCCCATGCCACACAACCCGGGAGCTCCAACCCCTAACGGGTGCTTCTGACGAGTTTTGGGTGCCCGAGTTTCGCTCTATTTTTCTTCTAGTGCACATCATCCGAGCTGTCTCTCTCCTCCAAAAGGATCAGCAAAAACTCGAGTCGCGCGGGCGATTCAAGCCCCTTTCCAGCCCTTCAACAATACAAATACAAATGGAATTGATGCAAATCGGTCTACGCTTTGCTGCCTGCTGATTCAGCCGCTTGAAGAGTCCATGATTGGATGTCGTCAAATGGTATTTGATCCCACTTCGCGAGTGCCTATGTAAAGTGCGTCAGAACAAGCAGGAATCGTAACACAACATGCTACCTTGTCCAGGAGATCAAGAAGTTTGGCGGCATCCCGGTCAGCATCCTCGGCTGCCTGCACATTTTGCTGCATTTCAGACTCCAGCCGTGTGTTCTCCTCAGTGAGCTTCATTACAAGTATATCGAGTGATTTCGGTTCGGGGCATCCAAGTAGCAAGCAGATGAGTGCCATACCTGTGCGAGCTCAGCGCGAACTCGGTCGCGCTCTGTTTCGAGCATGGGGATCATCCGCGCCCTTACCGCGGCTCTCGGCTGTAGGTCTTCGCGCCATACGTCTTTGCCGTCATATTCTCTCCTTTTCCGCTCACGCGCAGCGGTGACGACAGCATGTAGGTTATCGATGTTCTCTTTGACGTTGTACTTCTTCAGCAACTCCTCGCAGTTGTCCTGTGAGAGCTATGTCACTATGCATAGCGCGCAGAAGCGTACAGTGACTCACGGTGATCGCAGACTCGAGTCGCGACGACACGAGGTTGAAGATAGTGGCGGCATTCTCCGGCTGCTCGTCGCACCAGAGGGAGAAGCACTCCGCAAAGTCCTCATATCTGCCCGCAAGACGTCAACGTAACTCGTCGCGTCAGAAAAGGTGTCCTACTCACGTCCATTTGTGTGCGGAACGCTGTATCGCTAGCTGGAGGGCCGAATGAAAGTGCGTCCACCGCGTGCTGCCCGCTTGGGTTGACGCGCTGGTGGCCATGGTGAGTCTCGTGCGCCCGAGTTACGCTGAGCTCGTACGCGACTCGGCGCGTGTGTGGCGCGTGAGCGGCGGAGCTTGAAGTTGGACTGCACTGGTCCCTGGGGGCGAATTGAGCGCTCAGATCGGATGTGCTCTCTTCGAATCCGGTACTCACCACATCTTCAACTTGAAGAATGTGTCCAATATCCCGCCTCTATCCCACGAAACCCGAGAATTCGTGTGTCTTATTCTATTTTCACCTTTTGATGCCTGAGCGAGCTGCCGCTGAGACAGGCTGAGGGGTCCCTCGCATCGAGATCACCTGCCAAATGAGAAGAACTTTCTACGCATACTTCTCCACATAACAGGTACGTACTTTTTCTACTGCATGTGCGCCTGCCTTTGCTACCGACGACGCGTTGCCGGTGGATCAATTCAGCCAGACTTAAGTCACCGGCTTCTCAGACGGACTTCCAATGACAATTCCCACCTTCCGCCTGACTCGCCATGGGCGCTCACACGAGATGCACGCATATTTATGCGAAGGTGTTGACTCGATCTCGTACCATCACCTTCTTCCCTCCCACAGGTTCTCTCCAACAGGTATGGAGGCTAGCTACGATGAGACCACCCCACTGCTTGTTCCAGAGGCACAGCATGGTGACGCTGCGCCTCAACAGGAGCAGCATGTCAAGAAAACGCCTCTGCCGAAGTTGCAAGTCAGCGCGCTGGTGCTCGCCCATATGGGCGAACCGATGACCGCGTATTGTATATTCCCCTTCGTGAATCAAGTGAGTCGCAGCTTTGCCTCTCCGACGAGTGATGCGTTGACCGGCTGTTCTTCCAGCTTGTGAGCGAGCTTGACATCACTGGAGGTGACGAGAAAAAAGTCGGGTATTACGTCGGGATGATTGTATGTTGCCGTTGAGGTCTCAAACCCATGCTCGCTGAATCTTCCCCTCATGCAGGAGTCGATATTTTTTGTCACTCAAGCTCTGTTCGTCTTCCACTGGGGTCGAGTGTCAGACCATGTCGGGCGGAAGCCTGTCCTCATGATCGGGTTGTTTGGGCTCGTGATAGCCATGCTCTCATTCGGCTTGTCGAAGACATTCTTAGGAATTGTAGTGAGGTTGTTTGCGATGCGATTTAGCTCAGAAGTCTCGAGATTGACGCGTTTTTCTCACAGTCGAAGCATCTGCGGATTACTCAATGGAAACGCGGGCGTAATCAAGAGCATGATGGGAGGTTGGTTGCTGCTTGCCAATATTGCTATCGGGTGTTGACCAACGTTGCTCCCAGAAATTACGGACTCCACGAATATGGCTCAAGGCTTTGCTTTCATTCCCGTCGCGTGGAGCATGGGAAGCACAATAGCGTGCGCAATCTGTTCAAATTGCGCATGATTCAGTGCTGAACTCATATCCTCCCCTTAAAGACCTTGGATCGGAGGACAGCTATCGAAACCACACGAAAGGTGGCCGACCTTGTTCTCCCATCCATTCTGGTCCTACTATCCCTACTTTCTGCCCTGCGCTTTATCAGCCGCATACTGCGCCTTTGCGTGTGCGTACGTCAGCGTCGCGTTAAAAGAGGTGTGTAAATACCCTGCTGCGATTTTACAAAGCCCTAACACTCTGCCAGACTGTCAAGCGTCGCTCTCGCTCTTCCTCTTCACCCGAAACGGCCTCGTCGGACGCCGACGAGCCCCCTCCCCTCCGTGAAGCCCTCACGCGCCCCGTCGTGCTCTCAATCGCCGTGTACGCCTCGCTCGGCGCCATCGACATCGCCTTCATGGCCCTCTTCCCGCTCTTCTGCGCGACGCCCATCGCCCTCGGTGGCCTCGGCCTCGGGCCCCCCCAAATCGGCGCCTTCCTTGGCGCCCTCGGGGTCTGCGACGGCCTCTTCCAGGGCCTCGTCTTCTCGCGCGCGGTCGACCGGCTCGGGGTGCGCGGCGTGCTCGCGCTCTCGCTCTGTATGTTCGTGCCGATGTACGCGCTCTTCCCCGTCGCGAGCGCCGTCGCGCGCGCGTACGGCGTGGGCCCGGGCGTGTGGGCGATCATGTTCGCCCAGCTCGCGCTGACCTGCGTGATGGACATGTCGTACGGTGAGCGGTCTCCGTCTTTTTTTTTGGGCGTTGGGGACATGCACGCTGAGCGCGCGTCTGCAGGCGCGGTGTTCATGGTCATCCGGTCGGCGGTGCCGAACAACCGCGCGCTCGGGACCGTGAACGGCGTCGCACAGTTCGTCGCTGCGGTCATGCGGGCGATCGCGCCCGTGGCGACGACGTCGCTGTTTGCGGCGTCGCTCGAGTACAACCTGTTAGGCGGGTACTTTGTGTATGTGGTGTGCGTGACCGCCAGCGTAGGGGTCGCGTTGACGCCGCGGTTGCTGCGCGCGTCAGGAATGTGGTTTACGCAGTGAAGAACAGAAGGCTCACAGGATGTTGTAGAGTCTCAGGTGTGGAGGGAAGTCGTCATGCATAGATTTGTGGCGGCGAGAGTAGAGTTGTCTTGTGTAGTCTCATGTTGGCGTACTCTGGTGCGAAGCACATTCGTCAGCACGGAATGACAACGACAAGACACGTTTGTTGTGGATGCGCTGCGTCCTGCGAGTGAGTACCCACCTCACACCGCGAGAGATTGACGAAACCGTATAGATTTCTGGGGAGTAGGTAGGTATAACGCTCGTCAGGTATAAAGTATCGTTCGTGGAACAAACATCGCAGAGTAGAAATCGCTCTCTCATGTATAGTATCTGAGTCACCACCAGCAGACAAGATTAGAACACCGCCTCCAAACAAAACATGAGGCTTACGCATCCATCAACCACTGAGTGAGAAACAATGGCGACCTCTACAACACAGCATCACGCCCCTGAAGACCCTGGCCCATTCGACGGCGGGATGAAGTTTGCCCACTCGTCCCACCTGCCACAAACATGTCAGCATGGCACGCCCACGCTTCCGAGAGACCGAAGGCCGTGCGACTCACCCGACGAAGCTCTGCGCGGCATTATTCCATTGCGCGAGCATGTCGTCCACGAACGCGAGGTCCGGGACCTCGTCGTGCATCGGCTGCATGTTCGCCGGCCCGCTCGTCGCCCCGAGGAAGTACGCCTGCTGCTGCTGGTGCGCACGCGCCATGCGCGCCATCTCGGCGTCGAGGTCTCCTCCTGGGCCGGCGACAGCGGGAAGCTGGGCGAGGCCCACGTTGTAGCGGAGCGTGTGCGTCGCGCCGTCGCTTGTATCGCCGAAGAGGGGTCCCGGCTGCAGGAGTGGATCGACGGGAGGTCCGCGTGGGGGACACGAGGTCGGCACTTGGACGCGGGAGAGGTCCTGGGTGCTGAAACCAAGCTCAAAGGACCCCGACTCGCGATTTAGCCTTCGTGATGCCGACGGCTGAGCGGACAAGTGGGTGCTGTTGTGAAAGTAGGCGGCATCGGTGGGATCCGCTGGTGGCAAAACACGGTCCGATGGCACGGACGACGGAGTCATGCTCGACGCGTCGGTGCTCGGAGTTGCGGGGAACTCGTGATGAGCGTGAACAGGGAGGTTGCGCAGGGTCTGTTCAGGGTGGATGGCTGCAACCAAGTTGCCGATCATGTCGCTGGGGGCCGCGAAGCGAAATGAAGTTAGCTCGACCGTCGACGCGAGACGAGAGAAGCTTCATGACGTACGAAACGTGGCCAGTTACGTGCACACTAAATGGGAGACACGATCAGAGCCTGGGATTGGGTGATTCCGCTCAAGAACACGCTCACCTGCGCCGCATGGCCAGAAGCATCTCTACGCACTTCTCGAGCAGCGTGATGTCCCGACTGACGCCGCTGATAGGCCGACCGAAACGTTGCTCGCCCAAGCTATTCATGCCAATTGTCAAACCTGCCCAGAACAACCAGTTCTATAGATTCAATCATCAGCATTCGGCTCCTCTCGTCATATCTGAACCCAACATACCATATTTCTGTGATACGGGTCGCCAGTGAGCTTGTAGAGGACATGGACGACGTGGACACAGGAGCGAGCTGCGTTGGCGCAGATGATAAGGGAGGGGAACGAAGATGATGGGTTTGTCCGAGCCATCATGTACTGTCGATGGACAGCAATCTGCACGTTGTAGTAGTAGGCGTAGAGGTATGTGGACTGCTTCAAGAAGAACATGTTGGTCCGTTCAGGGTCCCACCGCACTACACTTTTGTCGTTAGCATTGACCAAAGCAAGCACAAGAAGCACATACGATGGGGAGGTAGTGAGTCGACCCAGTTGTTGAGAGCCGAATCGAGCTCTGTGACGATACGGGATCGACGTTCTTCACCAGTGGACGACTGTGGGCTGTTAAGCGCATACTGCAACAGACGTCAATATAGATACGTCATCAAAAAGACAGTGCTTGATTCACCAGTGTTCTTGAGGCGAACGCGACGATTTGAGCCAAGCGAATGCTGAGGTTGAACCCAGTGATTCTGGAAGGTTTATCTGGAGGTTGCTGGAAGACCGCCTCCCCTTCAGCGTTCAGCCAGTACTCGTCGTCGCACTCCGTCGGAAGATGCGCATCGATACTATCAGAGAGCCTCGTCAGTGCACCAGGAGAATTCACCGTCGAACTAAGAACCTACTCCTCGTCATGGACACACGGGGGTCTTCCAAGGCCGTACGAAGACTGCCATTCGGTCGCCACAAGCCACCTGAGATACAAGTTCAGCCAAGATCATCGACGACGCCGAACAAGCTCACCAGAAGGCCCGACGCCACAGCTCCTCCTCGACAGTAAGTTTGCTGCTGTACATCGTTTTCCGGTGCGCGCCAACTTCTATCGCGGCTCGAATGCCCATTGAGAGGAGCGTCCATGAGGCTTGTGGGCACTCCGTCCCCAAGAGAAAGCTCGCCATGAGCTGCGCATGCAGTCGCGTCAGAACCCTCATCGACGATCAGCATGCTGACTCACCGCATAGATTTGCAGGTCGTACAGCTGAGCGGGGGCCAAGGCGATCTTCCGGGCCTCCTCAACCATTCCATACCACTGCCATCCCGCTGACTCCGGCTCTGGGTGGTCTTTGAGGAATGTACGTGGGTCGTTGGAGAAGTGAGCACCGTTGGCACAGACGAGGAGCACCGTCGCGCCGAACCCGCCGTCATGGTAGTGCACGCCCGCGTCAAAAGACTTTCTGAAGGTAGGCTCGTGGAGGATGGGGTTGAGGTCGTTCCATTCCCGAAAGTAAAGATCGATGAGGTCGTACATCAGGTCATCGGGTGGGAACTGGGTGAATACCGGCATCTTGTCGAACTTCGTTCTCCTGAGCCACTGCCGACCATAGCAGTGAGTGAGACCTCACTGCTCAGTATGCGAATAGATGCTCACGGGTCGCTGAGCGTATCGCGAACGTATACGAGCCTGTTTTTCGCGAGCTTCCGACAGTGCCGCGGGAGTCGCCTTGAGGAACATGACAGCGCGGATGTAGACCAGGGCGCTCGAATTGCCATGGTATCGGTACGAGGGCCTGTCGACAGAGAGTCGGGCGAGGGAAGCCAAGAGTCCAGCCTCGCTCGCATCCTGGCCATCTAAATGGGTCTCACTCTTCTGCGCCGAGTCGTCGGCGACGAAAGGTCCCCTGAGAGGCGCACTGGATGGGTTCACGGCGTCGACGATCTCCCGCCGGGTGGAGCTTTCTGGGGACGTCACATCCTCCGTGCGCTGTGATTCTGGGGAGCTGCCGGAGGTCCCGGGGGGCGAAGCTCTCTGCCCAGTCATCGTCATTAGGTGATATTTTAACTTGCGCAGAACGGAGACTCACGCCACTCAGGAGCTGCTCGAGGCGTTCGAGGCGCTGCTCCAGATTCTCCACATAGCTGACGGAGAGGTGAAAAAGTGGATAGAAATGCGGAGAAACCCGCTCTACCTTCTGGGATACGTCGCTTTCTGATGAGAGGATGAGATCTGGCCCGATTTGTGATACGTCGACAAGCTCACCTGCATCGCGTCGTGGTACGTACAGGCCAGCCCTCGGGTGACGCACCGAGTACAGCACCCATTTTGCTGTTCAAGACCGTCACCTACGCGGGAGTGTAAGGATGCAGTTGTATCCCGCCGATCTAAGTCCGAGGGAGAAGCTCACATTTCACTGCCAAATTAATCAGTGCCGCGCCACCACTGCAGAAGACAAGGACGACGTACGTTTCTTGCCGCGACAGAGATCGCAAGCACGGACGAGCTTGCGCTTCTTGTTCGCCGAGTTGTCTTCTTCGCCGGAGGACATGGTGGGAGGAGGAGTGGGGATGGCGTTCGCGTGCAAGGAACGGCGCATATATTTGATGCGCGCACAGCTCGGGCGCCTACGGAAGCGTCCTGACCTCGACGGGACCGGGGACCATGGACCATGATTCATTCAGTTGGCACTGCGGCGAAACGCGCACAGCCTCCACTCCGCAGCTGTGTCAGCACAACAACCGAGGCTGTTAGGCTTACTTTATCTTGGACCGGAACAGCGCCTCGCACGCCGATGGAGGTCGGGTTATGGCGCATTAATCGGATGTGATTTAGACTAAGTAACTGGACTTTGAATTTGCGATCGAACCGCCAAGCGCGTCCCAATCCACGCTCTCGCCACGACCTCTCCTCGAGCCCAGCGCCAAGAAAAAGGATGGCGAGTACGATGGAAGGTAAGTAGAAAGATCGGGCTCAGGCTCCTCCCTCCCTTCCGCCAGCATCGGAGGTCCCGCCCTGTACGTTGCCCATAAAATCCCCCCATTCGTCCCACCTGGATAATCAGCCGCGTCAGAAACTGACCCGAGTCACACCAAGAGCTCCGACGCACCCAAACGACGCCGGTGCGCCCGACCACATGGAGAGCATATCATCGACAAACGCCATGTCGGGCGGCAGCGGCCTCAGGTAGCCATCGTTTGTCGGCGCGTCTGTCCCCGCAGTGTGCTCCTGGACCGTAGCGCCGCCGGAAGCCCCAAGCGCTGAGAAATCTTGGCTGGAGAAGTTGAAATCCATAGCAAGGGGATCAGCCACGGTTTGGGTAGGGCCCTCTGGAGCAGCCGTGAGGCCACTATAGCCTGACAATGACGAGACGGATCCTGCCGCCGGACCAACGAGATCCATGAAGGCGGCGTAGTCGAACCCTGGCGCCTTGATGCGCCCGTTCCCGAGTCCGATGGATCGACAAATGTGCTTGCTTCAACTTGTGAAGCTGCGCTGACGCTGGGCTCCGGGGCGTCTGGACCGCTGTGAGAGTCAGAGTCAGACTCCGCCGATGGGAGCTGAATGACGACCGGCGGTTCAGGTGGAGGCCGGGGAGAGCTCTCCACAATCGGACCGGGCATAGCGTAGTCTGGTCTTCGCCGATGCATTCCGCAGGAATGCAAACTTCGGATGGGAGAATGTCGTTACCCGCGCGGGCTTCTTGAGCGCGACGAGAAGCCGTCCAGAAAGTCACTAGGTGACCGGCGTCAACAGCAATGTCCGACCGGGATTGCTCGCACTTACCAAAGATTGTGGCAGCGTGTGCTCTAGAAGAGTGATGAGTTAAGCGTCAGTGCCTCGGCCATCCTGCTCTGAGATGTAGACGCACTGTTGTCCCATCGCGCGCGACATGACGATGGATCTCTGGATGGCTGCAAGGTCCCGCTGACTGCCGCTAATGGGCCGCCCCGTGCGCCTCTCGCCCCAGATGTTCACCATCAAAATCATCGCCGCGGTGTAAATCATCCGCTAGTCGACGATCCGGCACGTCAGCATGATGCCGTCCCGGATCTGCAAACCCTAGCTCACAATGTTGATATGCAGTGCACACCCCGTGCGCCTGTGCAGCACATCGGTGACGTAAATGCATGATCGGCGGCGTTGGTGCAGAGCACAAGCGCGGGGAACGCGAGCGGCGAGTCGCGGCTTGATGCGAGGAACGGACGGTGGACGACGATCTGCGCCTGATAGTAGTGCGCGAAGAGCGTCGCGGTCTGCCCGAGGAAGAACGTGTCCGTTCTGTCCGGATCCCAGCGCACTGCGCGAGGGGCGATCAGCTCCCGTTTCCGCACTCGACGGAGATTGGTGAGCGCTCACGGTGAGGGGGCAGGGTGTCGAGCCATTCGGCGAGCATTCCGTCTAGCTCAGCCACGGTGCGCGAGTTCCATTCCTGCGTGCGAGGCTTCTTGGGATTTGGAGAGTACTGATGCAAGAAGAACGATTGCCGCTTAGGGACTCCATCATGTCGGGACCGTTGTCAGGAGGACATACCAGCTTGCCGTAAGCGCGAGCCAAGATTTGCACCAGCCGGATGAGAGCTGTAAAGCCGCACAACTTCGACGGCTTGTCTACGGGTTGCTCGAAAAGCGGGTGCCCGGATGCTGTTGCCCAGTACTCATCATCGCACTCGACCGGAAGGTCGGCGTCGATGCTGACAGTGGGCTGAGTGAGCTGTAACGCGTTGAAACGTCAACACGTACTCTTTCGGGTACAGGCACACGGCCCTGCCCATGCTGTATGACAAAATCCAGTCCTGAAGGACCAAAACCCTGTGCAGAAGTGATCGGAGCGACGTCCGAAAGCCAGTGCTGACGCAGACGTACCAGAACGCTCGCTTCCACAGCTCCTGGTCGGCCGATGGCGTGGAAGTGTACATGTTATTACGATGAGCCCCTACGTCCATTGCGGCACGAATGCCCATGCACCCGATCTGCCAGCCCGACGTCGTGGAGTTGGTGCCTTGCAAGAACTCGGACATGAGCTGTGCCAGATTATCAACGCTTCGGCCGCCGGATCGACAGGGAGCAGGCTCACGGCATAAACTTGCAGATCGTACACATTCGCAGGGGCCATGGGAAGCCTGCGCACTTCTTCGACCTGTCGGAACCACTTCCAGCCGGCCGTGTTCGGTGAGTCGTAGCCGTCGAGCATGACTCGAGGGTCTGAGGAGAACCTCGCCCCGTTGGCGCACACGAGCAGGAGCGTCGCGCCAAAGCTTGGTTTCCGCATGTGCAAGCTGCTGCGAATCTGCTCCAGGAATGTCAACTCGTGCAGTAGTGGCATGTGATCGTTGATCCTGCGGAAGTATAGCTCGACGAGCGTGGTGAGCAGGTCCACTGGCGGGTACTTGAATCGCACTTGCGAATACTCTGCCTCTTGGATCACTGTATGCGTGAGCCACTGCGTGATACCGATCAGCGGACCGTCGTCGCAAGCGAACGCGGGCGTACCGGTTCGTTGTGAACCTTCTTCCACATCCGCCCCTGTTCAGCTGATTGTTTAGGTGATGTTTGGAGCGTCTGGTTCGCAAGGTCGATGACCGCTCGGAGGAACACGAGCGCACTGGATCGGCCGTGATAGCGGTAGACGGGCTTGTCGATGACAGCTGGTGGAGACCGTCGGCAAGGAAATCGCACTCGGTCGACCGGGAATCTTCGCGGGACGCCGCGGTGAGGCATTCCTGAGCGCCGACGACGACCTGGAAGACATTGTCCCGCGAGCCGGGGGCAACTCGGCCTCATTCGCCGTGTTCACAGCGGTGTCCGAGTGCCCGTCCTCGTTGCCGTCGAGGGCATCAGGCGCAGCTGTATCCGTTGAGTGAGCACACAGGGGTTTCAAGATAGCTATATGGGGATACTCACGTCAGTGAGCAGTTTCTCACGCGTTGAAGACGCTTCTCGAGGCCTTCTACGTAACTGTGAAGATCTGGGGTAAGGTTTCAGGGCTGATGCTCGATGGACAAGGGTCACTTGCGTCTTTGGATAGCTGGCTTTCTGTGAAGTTAGTCAGCACGTGGGGGTTTCGGGGCTATTGAAGGAGGCTGCCTACCTGCATGGCATCGTTGTAAGTACACTCTCCGTCTCTCGTGACGCATCGCGAGCAACGACCGTCCCTGGACTCGGGTCCATCACCTGAGAGGAGTTGGCGAGAGTGAGTCGTCAGCAGCACGCAGCACCAAGAGTTCTGGGGCTTACATCTGACTATACAATGACAATTAGCATGCACAGCATATTGGCCATCTCCGAGGGGACTCACTCTTCTTTCGCCTGCAGAAGTCGCAAGCGCGCTGGAGTTTCCGCTTCTTGTTGTTGTCCGTGAAATTCTCGTCTTCAGGGGAGAACATGGACATCTGTCGAGTTATCGGAAAGGCGATAACGCAGAAGGAGAGGCTGAAGTCAACACAGCTGCCTGTAGTCGGCAACAAACACGGGGCGCAGTCGCTAGATATGACTAAGCCCTGCAATCACGGCGCCTGATGATGCGTACGTTGCTCCGCAATGGATGTGCCGAGGGGCAACGTATGCATCATCGTGCGCCATGGTCAGTTGTATAGGATCTGTAAATGTGAACCTTGAACAAAGTCCGCTGCAAAGTCTCACGAGCTTCGCAGTTGGCCCTCAGTTGGCGGGATGGAGTCCGAGCTCAGCTCAGAAAAAACCGGCAGGTCGGAGATCGAAAAGTGCTTACAAAGACCGATGTCATTAACCGGCGCTTATATCCAGATGCTTCTGAGTCTCATCCGACGACTCAGTATGTAGCCTACCACTGCAATAATCCTTCGAAAAAATCTCAAAACAAACTTCGCTCTCCTGAAGGCTTACCCGAGACCTACGCAGGGTGTCTGCGCATCATTGGTGGTTTTCGACGCCTGCGACTTCATTAATGCAATCTCTCATTCAATGCAGCTGACCTGTGACTCGCGCACAAGGTTTTTCTCCACGCGCACTCCAAAACGTCTTGGTGGGATTCTCTCTCTCAACTACCTTGCTCCAATCCCGGCTGATTGACTGCTATGTCAGATCTACCACCATGGTCAGCGGCGGCGCTCATAGGAGTACCACTACTTGTTCTTGTGATTTCCCTTTTCGTGAGGGAAGGAAAACGACTTCCTCCTGGAGCAAGACCGCTGCCGCTTATCGGAAACGTTCTCGACATGCCGCGCGGCCACCTTGGCCGCGGCTTGGCCGATCTTTCTGCCAAACACGGTATGTAGGCTGAAGGTATCGACGTGCCAGTGGCTGACAAGCAAACAGGCGACATCATGTACATGAACATTCTCGGGAAGCACACTGTCGTCCTCAAGTCTTACGAATCCGCGCGCGAGCTCCTTCACAAACGATCGTCGATATACTCAGACCGACCAAGGTCGATCATGGGCGAGCTGTACGTTCACTCCACGCCTACACTGTCAGCTGGTCTATAACTTCCCTGTTGTCGCTCCAGGGCCGGAATGAACCGACTTCTCGCGATGCGGGCCTACGGAACAGAATGGAGGGATCAGCGCCAAGCGTTCCACCAAACGATGAACATTGACGTCGCTGCCCGTTACCACCCCATTGGAACTGCGGCGATGCGCAAGTTTCTCTTCTCTATTCTTGAAGGAGCCGGTGACGTTGTGACGAAAATGAAACTGTGCGGTGCATTGTTAATGGTTAGATATCTAGCGTACGTACGCTGACAACATTACAACCTAGTGCGTTCGACGCCGGGGTCCTGAAGATCTTCTACGGCCTTGAAGTCACCGACTCAGACGACCAGTTTCACGCGATGATCGAACGCGCGGTGCACGTGGGAGAAGCTACGCTCACTCCCGGACGGTTCTCAGTCGAGGTCCTGCCCATCTTGCTGTACCTGCCCTCGTGGTTCCCAGGTGGTGGATTCAAACGATTCGCCGCCGATTCAAAGAAGGAGGTGGCACACATAGTTGATACGCTGTATGATGCAGCGAAGGAGAGAAAGGTCAGCTACACTTCGACGTGCGGGATGCAGGTGCTGACAAGGCGATAGGACACGGACACTGGCCGAGAATCTATCATTGGACAAATACTGGACCGTGCGTCTGCCGGCTCAGGTCAAGTTGATCCTGAGGTCGAGGCGGTATGCAAGGACGTCGGCTTCACGGGATATGGCGGAGGGACAGTGACAGTGAGGGAATCTTCGATTCACATTCCTATACTTTGGCGGCTGACCTGATTGATAGACGAACACCTCTCTGAGCGCATTCTTCCTGGCCATGGCCATGAACCCCAATGTTCAGCGCAAGGCTCAAGCGGAACTTGACGCAGTTGTCGGTCCCCGTCGGCTCCCTGATTTCGCAGATCGCGACTCACTCCCGTACATCAACGCGCTCGTGAAGGAGTTATATCGCTGGCATACTGTGACCCCGTTTGGTGTTCCTCACCTCTCTGTCGCGGATGACGAGTATCAAGGCTACTTCATTCCCTCTGGCTCAACGATCTTACCCAATATTTGGTGAGCCTAAGTCCTCCGTGTCGACGGTGAAACACAGCTTACAAAATGTTCAGGTCTATGTCACGGGATCTCACCAAATATCCAGACCCAGAGCGTTTCTTGCCGGAGCGTTTTCTTGACACTTCGGGCCAGCTTGACCTTTCTATCGGCGATCCAGAGGACTTCATATTCGGCTTTGGGCGTAGGTATGTGCCATAATGTGTTGTACCCAATGACGCTGTCGAAGACTGATGACGGTCGTCACTAGGGTATGTGTCGGACGACACTCGGCCGACGACATGGTCTTCATGCTATGTGTGTCGGTGTTGCATGCTATGAACGTATCAGGTCCCGTGGACGAGCGCGGGAATCCAGTCAAGATGGTGCACGGAGACGGCTCGAATGGGGTGATAGCGTACGTCTGTTTCCGTCTCAGGTGCTACCAAATCACATCGTCTGCTCAGCCATGTCGAGGTTTATGACTACGTTTTGAAGCCACGATCGGCCAACATGGGAAACCTCATCCGACAGTCGGTGGCACAGCACACGACGGAATGAGCAATCGGGATCGTTGCAGAAGTAAATGGGTTTGTGTGTATTATAATTGTACAAGCCACAGCAATTTCCTCGTGATCTCCGGGAGAAATGCTCACGAACTAGGTCCTGGTCCAATGGTATCGTTCGGGTTGTTCTGCGAAGGCTCGACGTTCGTGAAGCCTTGATCCATGCCCATGTTCAGGTTGGCCATAACCGCCCACTCGTTCCACCTAGTCGCTCCCGTCAGCACCGTACATCCCAGCACGACAGTCCACTCACCCAAACGTCCCCGTCTGCTGCGTCGTAAACATCGTCATCATGTCGTCCACGAACGCGAAGTCCATCGCCGCCGCCTCCACCGGTTCCACCTGCCCCGGAAAGTCCATCCCGAAGTCCTGCCCCGGCGCGAGCGGGATCGGCATCCCCTCCATCCGCTGCGCGGGGAACACGTCGGGCGGGAACAGCCTCAGCGCCCAGCGGCGGGCCCGCGCTTCCCTCCGAGAACCCGAACGGGGTCGCTGCCACGCCCCCGAAGCCCTCCGGCACACCCAGCGACACCACCCGGGCTGGATGTGCGTTTCTCGTCATCGTCGCCGCCGGGGACGGACCCCCTCCACCTCCGTGCGAGGCGGGCCCGGATGCAGGAGCTCGGGATCGATTGTATTGATCCTGTGCGGACCCGCCTGCTGTGGCTCACCCGGGAGGTGCATGGGGTTGCGCGGGTGGGGCCGGACGAGCTCTTCCGAGCGGAACAGGAGCAGTGCGGACGAGTGGCCTTCGCCTCGGCCTTCCGCGCGGGCGATTCGGGGGTTCTGGGCAGCTGTTGTTGTGACGCAGGGTGATCTGCGTGGCTTCGAACTCGGGGTGTTGACGACAAGGGGCTTGTTGGGAGACGGCTGTTTCGCTGCGGAGAGTTGCATGTTGAGGACGTCGCTGTGCAAAGTTGGTCAGGAGAGCGGCAGAGTGGAATGGCGATGCTTACCGTATGATCTCCGCTGCTCTTGCACTGATCATATCAAGGCGTAAGTGATCCGGATGCTGGACTCGAGGACACAGAATGACATACACATGTTTGAGATGATCGAGAAGCTCGACGCACTTCTGCACGGAAACGAGATCGCGGCTGCTCCCGGCGATTCGTCGATCAGACATGCGTTCCATCCAAATGTTGATCATGAGTACGGTCCCGGCCATTGTAACGTGGCCCTGATGGAGCATTCGTGAAGGTATTTCCGGTGGAAATGACGATGAGAACGTACAACACATGTATAGGGTATCTTTCCTGTCCTCTGATGGACCATATCAAGTACGTGGAGGGCAGACCTCGCCGCGTTCATGCAGATAATGTGGGAGGGAAACGATCGTGGAGCCCCGTTCGTCGTTGGGCTCATGAATGGGCGGTGCACGGCGATCTGAGAGTGGTAGTAATGCGCAAAAAGCAAGCCGGACTGGGTGAGGAATACTGTATCGGTGCGCTCCGGATCCCAGCGAACTGGCAGTATGATTTATTATAGGGTAATCTGAGCGACCGGACATGCGCTACTCACGATGTGCGGGAAGAGAATCGACCCATTTGTTGAGCGATGAGTCGAGCTCGGCGACCACCCGTTGTTCCCAGTTGGGATCTGCACGGGTCGCTTGCATTCTGACCTTTGTGACGGCGTACTGTGTTTCGTTGGTATCAGCGAGATGAATCCTACATAATATTAACAGTACTCACGATTGTTCTTACGGCAAAGAGCAGGATTTGACTGAGTCGAATATAGCAGTTGAAGGCGGTGATCTTCGAGGGCTTTCCATCGGGCTGCTTGAAAGATGGTTTTCCTAAGTCATCGAGCCAATACTCATCGTCGCATTCCATCGGAAGGCCGACGTCGATGCTGTAGTAGTAAGATCAATCAACGAGCATGGAAAGGCGAGCACGGCCGCGCACTCCTCATCATGGATAGTTGGAGGCCTGCCGAGGCCGTATGCCACCATCCAATCTTGAGCGACGAGACACCTGCGACAACGTCAAATGTGCCTCGCATCTCAGCCGAAGTAAAAATAATAACACACCAGAACGCGCGCTTGTACAGCTCCTCTTCAAGGGTCGGAGGGCTGCTGTACATCATCTTGCGGTTAGCGCCAATATCAATCGCGAGACGAATGCCAGAGCTGATAACAGGACATGCAGCCTGTGGCGCCGCCGTTGACCAAAGGAAGGCAGCCATGAGCTGAGAAATGGCGTGTCAGCGTGTGCTACACGGCAGCAACCAACACAAGACCTACTGCATGAATCTGGATGTCGTGGAGCTCAACGGGTGCAACTGGGAGCAGCCACACTCGATCCACTTTGTCGTACCAGGCCCATCCGGCAGAAGCGAGCTCCGTCGTCCCTGGAACAAGGACACGCGGATCGTCTACAAAACGCCCAGCGTTGGCGCAGACCAACAAAACAACGGCACCGAATCCTCCCCTGCGCAGATGAAGCCCTTGGAGAACGGAGCGTTTGAAGCTGGGTTCATGTAGAACCGGGTTTAAGTTGTTGACCTCTCGAAAATACGCATCAACGAGCGTGTCGAGGAGATCCTTCTGGGGAAGTCTTCCGCCTTGAAGGGGGGCAAGCGGTCCTTGACCAAACGACGCATCCACTAACGGAACATTAGAACAACCGGATTTACGAGAGGTAATGATGAACACACTGGATGGCGATGATACTGGCCAATTGGCTGATACCCCGGTTCGCCAGGAGCAGGTCCCGGTCCCATGAGCTTGAACTTCATATGCATAGCGTGGTGTATGAGAACGAGGGTGCTAGACTTGCCGTGGAACCGATATGAGGGGACATCGGACAGGAGGCGCTTGTAGTAGGCCTCGGTAAGACCGCCTTGCCCGTGTTCGTCGTCGCTGCTCTGCCCTCCCGTATCGCCATATGGAGTACTGATACTCGGCATGTTTCTCAGCGCCTCGGATATCTCTAACGTGGGTGTCTTGGAAGCCTTGCGAGCATCCGACGTTGGGGGCTCGTCTAGCTGGGTTGTGTCGTTTGTACTGAGCTGCGTCCAGCGTTAGTTCGGGCTAGAGCACATGAACTCAGCTGCTGCCTGCACACCTTATTCAGGAGCGCTTCGACACGCTCTAGCCGATTCTCCAAGCCTTCGACATAGCTTTTTGACAGCGTGCTCTGAGTGTGAGATATCAATCCTGAGAAAATAGTACTCACCTGCTCGGGTATGTAGACCGCTGTACGTGGCGTTAACAAGGAATAAGCATGGTGGCGAAAGTCCTCACCTGCATCACTTCGTCGTAGGTACAATCCATGTTGCGCGTCACACACCTGCTGCAACGATTATTCGGCATCTGAGGACCGTCACCTGAGAACGCGGCGAGATCAGAAGTTGGAACACTGCACCGCAAATCACTGCAACACCACAAACATTTGACTGAGAAGTGTGTGAGCGCAGCACCGAACGCAGCTAGACACGAACGCACTTTTCTTGCGTCTGCAGTGGTCGCAAGCACGCTGAAGCTTGCGCTTCTTGCTGTATCCAATGTCCTCTTCTCCTGAAGACATGATGACACGTTACAGAGAACCTGGTTGGCATACTACAGCTTGGTCAATATTCTTGAGCCTCCAAGAATGCGAACTCACCTGAAGCACAATGACCGGCAGGAGCTCAGCGGAAGCAGAGCTTATATGGACTGCGTTTTCTGCACCGCTCCTCACCGCAGTTGGAAGGGGCGGTGTCGGGGGTGACGTGTGCGCAGCGTGGGAGTAATATCCGAATTCGACCGTTCGGAGGCGAAACATTGAGCGAGGAAAGCACTGTTGACCATCTCCCACAAAACATAGCTTACGCGACAGAATATGCTGACTCTGCTGAGGCTGGCCGGGAAGCGATCTCTAAAATTTATATCCGACGCTAGCGAGAATCGAACCCCGACGCTTCACCTTCCCCTGGAGCGAGACGCGCGAGTAAGTATCCAAGAGGAATGTCGATGAGCAAGAGCTCATAATCAAGGATACTAGAGCTTCTGAGCCCCCACTCTGTTGCCTGCAGAAAAGCGGGGTAAATAGCGATAGGCGCATATCCTTGGTACGCAGTATGAATTCGATATCTGTAGGGACCCTGAATTTATCCTAGACCCCCCAATTACACAACTCCAGTCGTCATAACAATTGCAACGGGCTCACCGACTAGAGGCGTGATGGACGAATATACAGTGTACTCTACGTGGAACTTGAGACAGATGTGCACACAGATCGGATGGAGTTGAACCGGCGCGGCTCACTGGCTCCCCCGGATTGGCGCCAGTTTGTTTGCACACCTGTAAGCCAAACACGCGTCTGACAGGCGCCTTTTTGTGTTCTCCGACCTCCTCCTGCCCGCTGCCCGCGCTCTCCCTCTTACGTGCACTGTATCCTGGCGACAGTACCACCGTGGGCGACACTTTGTGCACTTGTTTGGTCCGCTTCCAACACTTTCCCGGAATAGAAACCTCGTGTGGGCGCGGCGCGATTGCCTGTCGCTCACCTCCAGAAGCAATCCACGAGCAATCCGTTGCGATCAGGTGTGTACTTAAGACACGGACAGCGGAGCGCAAGTCTTCAGCATCATACGCATCGTCCAGCGTCCACTCGACCTCTCACTCGCATCTACACTCGCACACGTCCTCGAGTCCACCTCACCCACAATGGCCTACACCACCATCCCCACCTACTCCTTCGCGGCCCCCTCCGCTCCCAACGCGTTCGCGCTCTTTGGCTCCACCCAGTCGCTGCGCGACGCCTACGCGCTCTATGACGAGGCGCGAGTCGTCCTCCGTCCCTCCAACGGGCAGAAGAAGACGTCAACGAAGAGCGGGCTGAAGAAGTACTTCGGGCTGTGAGCGCGCGCGCGCCGCTTGCGGGCGCCGTCCCCGAGCCAGCCCTACCACCTTCAAACATACACTCGCGCGGCGACCATCGCCTCCACACGAGTCCGCGGTCGACCCCATTCCGCGGCACCAACTCCGCCCTCGCGCCAGTGCCGCTCGAGCGCGCGCACGACGTTCTAGTCCACTCCGCAAGACCCACCGCCGCTGCGTATCGCGCGCGCCCCGCATCAGCCTCGCGCTCTGCGCGAGCAGGCTGTCTCCTAGAGATCCAGATGGATATGGAGGCTACTTCTCGGATACCACGGACTTACGCACTTCATTGTTAACTTTGCATGGCTCGTTTCTGTCCTCATGTCTAGTACACTATTGCGGGTCGAAGTAAAGATTCGTTTGTTTTCGCCTCGCGCGTCTGATCCGATGTATCGAAACCAAGTCCAAACATATACATTGCATATGTGCGTTCCGCGTAGTCTCGCGCGTTCAACACCGACGGATGCAGGCAGTGGTCGTTCTGGAACTGTCGCCGTCGAGAACGCACTCGTGGCTCTCTGGAAGGCGGATTCCATGGTGCGGCACTCGTCGCGCGCGGGCGCGCGGGGGCAGAAAGCGGGAGGGAGGGCCTCGAACCGCACTAGCGTGCGCGGACCGGGCGCACTGTATGTACATGAGTGCGCTGGTAGTCACGAATATTTCCGTTCCGATTGCCGAAAGTCACCGTTTGAGACTGCAACCGCAAGCCCAGGCCTTGGGATTAGCGTACAAATCTCATCGCCATCGCTCTACTCAACCGCCCCGTTTCTCCTCCCACATCGCGATGGTCTTCGCCACTGCCGGCCTCGCGAGAAGTTCGTTGTGCCATCTAGTCGTCGTGGGGGTTATTGGGTAATGTCCAACGAGCAGCAACAAGAACCGCGACGCACCTCTTGAAATGCGGGAAGTCGTCCACGTTGAGCCCGTCCCAGCCCGCAAGAGTGTACTTCATCGTCGAATAGTTCCACCTGCGAACACGGCGATGTGAGCCACGCGCACTGATCCCACGAAGACAGGGGCGCATACACGATGAAGGACAAGTCCGCGGCGCTCGGCTTGTCGCCGACGAGCCACTGGCGCGTCGCGAGCGTCGCGTCGAGCACGCCGATGACGCGCACGATCTCCTTACGGTAGCGCTCGATGGCGCTCGGGATCTTCTCGTGGTGGTAGAACGTGAACCATCCGGCCTGGCCAAAGTACGGGCTGCGCGACGGGGCGGAGTGAGCACGCGCACGGACGGGGACGGGGAACGGTGCGTACCCTTGGCCCGAGGCCTGGAAGAAAAGCCACTGCGAGAGCAGGATGCGGTCTTCGAACCCTGCGAACGAGATCTTGCGCTCGGTGTCGTACTTCTCCACGAGGTACTCGATGATGGCGCAGGACTCCCTATTGAACGGAGTCAGCGTCCAAGTACGGGTGGTGTACGGAGATATCGGAGTACCAGACGACGAAGTCGTTGTTCTTGTGGTCGACGAGGGATGGCACGCGGCCGTTCGGGTTGTACTTGGTGTGCGACTCCAGCTTCTGATCGCCCTTCAGGGTGTCGAGGTAGATGGACTCGTACTCGAGGCCAAGCTCCTCAAGGATCATGACCACCTTCCTGTGAAAAAGGCTTGGACTTCGAGCAAAACTTCCGCAAGAGAGACAACTCACCATGGATTAGGAGGCGGGCCAATCGCTGAGAAGAGAGTGAAGTGAGGTTTTGGCGAAGACATAGTGATCCCAGACTGCGAGGGCTGAGGGGATTTCCGTTGGACTCGGTGCTGTAGGGAAGACTGAGGGTTCGACGTGCCTTTTATCCACGCATGGGATTCACAACCGCGCGTCGTTGGCTGCCGTGCGAAGTCGAAATCTAAGCCCGAGACACCAGACGCTGAAGGTTTATGAACACCGGGGTCGGGCACGTAGTCCGATGGCCGAGTCTCGGAAAGAAGAATTATTAGTGGGACAGTGAGAGCGCAGATCATCTAGGACTTGAGGTGGTAGTAACCCAGGTGCTCGGAGACGACCCGGCGGACTCGAGTCCGAGCGCATGAACGATTGGCGTACCCCTCGGCCAGGATGGGACAAAGATCCGTTTGGTATCCTCTTCCATGCACCCCGCTGCGCTGGAGGGAATACGCGAGGCGTTCGAGAATGCGAGCAAGGAAACGTGAGTTCGGCGCCGTACTCAGTGTGGTCCTTGACGAAAAAGTAATTTCAAGCGGGGGGCGGCCGGGCGCGCGGCGCGTTTTCAGGCGCTTAATTCTGCGCCAATGTTTGTTCGCTGGGCGTGAGCGAACGAAGCTTGCCAGGCGCGGAGAAGCGTCGGTGACTGCCAGCGCAGCTTCCCCTGCTGCGGGAGAAGGCGGGGTCTACTTGCCGAGCCCAGGCTTGTACTCAGCCAAGTCGTATCGAATCAACATGTCAGCACGGAACTCTCGTGGATCGTCTTTCGCTGAGGCTCACCACACGCTGGCACAATCTCCCGCAATAATTCGGCTTCTGCTCCGGGGAGAAGCTGCCCCCGCACGACTTCAAAGCTTCAGCGGCGCAATCGACATTCCGGCGCTTGTCGATTTTCTCCTGTCGCATCTTGCTCCTTGTCGATGAGGTCACGAAGGGCTTGAAAGTCGGCGTCGCGAGCACCTCCCAGAAATCTGGCGCCGAGTCGCGGTCCCTGGCGTTACGGTAGCGCCATCCCGGACGGTACTGGAGAGGATAGAGCAAGAAATGGGTGGAATCAAAATGGGTTCAACTTTCCGACTCCTGGAATCGAACTTCGGACTCATTCGTGGGAATTGCTTATGTACGCATGCCAATTTCCCGTTTTGCTGATCCACGTGCACGTAAGTACTACTACATCATGACGGCGACCACGACGCTGTTCACACTGGCCTCCTGCTAATCCATTCAAACACTCACAACAAGGAGGGGTACTCTGAGGCACGTCATAGCTGTCGAAGGCATCAAGAGACTAATTAGGCTCTGCCGTACGGCATCCTTCTAGTTTTCTGTGAGCCTCTACTCCTCGGACGTCGGCACTCGGGGACAGGATATTCATGTTTCATTCTGGGCGCACGGGAGGTACCTGCATATCCAAAGCGCCCTCTGGGTGTTGACGTCTGTCGGGCTCTGACAGCTCTATAGAATCCTTGAATCCCGTGGCTGGCGCCGCGCAGCCCGCGGGTCCCCTGCGAGCCGAGACCAAACGGGCCCTTTCGAGCTGCTCTCTCGCGCCGTCCGGGCGGCAGAAAATTTGCGACTAGCCCCTTGAAAAACGCTGAGACGGCGATCATAGAGCGGGTGGCGTAACAAGCTCCATTTTCGTGGGCGGCCAGCGGTTACATATGTACTCGCATGTGTGTGGCACAGGTCAGCCGCCACCAGCCGCCGCAAATTCGAATTACGCACAACTCTTGCGGTATCTCTGGGAATACCCATGGAGAACCAATGCTGCGACGCCACCGGCCGGGGACATTTATGTAAAGCTCTCCAAGTGGAACGACCCCCGTCAACCCCCCTTCTCTTCCCTTGCTCCCCTTAACTACGCACAAGGCCTTCAAGCTGCTGCAAGGACGCCGGACAGCGTCCCTGACCACCCACACCCTAGTCCACACCCCTTCACCGTCTCGCACGTAGAGCGCGAGGTGACCGGCGCGAGGTGCTCCGGTGAGTAAACACGCACGGTCCTGGCCCCCTCGGCTTTCCAAACCTTGCCGCAATCGAAATTCTCATCGCAGCTTATAGGATGCCGCCCGAGGCGCCAACGTATACGGTATCACCCACCCTAGATCCCCGCCGCCCGGTCACGATGCCTATCTCCCATTCAAAATCAACGCCTCGCCATCCCCGTCCGCGGGACGCGTGCTAGCCCCGTATGTCCAAGGGATCCCCGTCTCCGGCGACCACACACGTGAACAGCCTCAGGGTTGGCTCGCCTGAGGTACAGGCGCGGCTGCACACGGGATCTGCGCCGACCCCGCTATCGGTGGCGGTATGGGCGCCGCTCTGAGTCTGACGCTCGAGCTGGACAGGCTATCACCGAGCACGGGTTCTGGTTGAAGACCACACGGAGAGCATGGCAGAGTGTGTATTCAAACGACACACGGTAGCCCATCGCGGTGTGGCTCAATCTTCCGGACGCCGCGACCTCCATTGTTTCGCCCCTTGACCAGCTACTAGTCAAGTACCCGAACGCCGAGGAACAGGCACTTGAGCGTGGCGAGGCTGATCCGAACGAGCGTACGTCATAGTGCACTTGGCTTCAACCGGGGTAGAGGAATTCTCATCGAGAATGATTATAACGAACTCGTGGCGGTGGGTTTCGAGACTCTTCTCAAGCTCTGTGCCCTTCACCGCCGAGCTGCTCCGGGCGATTCTAAAGCAGCGCTTGGTCACTGCGCAATCGCGAAACCTGCACCACACGTGCACCACGATGACGGTGCCGTGGGGATGGAGTGGTCGCATCGGCGGCGACGGTCCGGCGCGGCATCGCGATGGGCGTGACGATGTGCCAGCGGAGGTCCTCCTTCGTGAGCGGGCGGAAGTACGGGCAGCGAGGGGACGTCGTCGAACGCGAGGACGCGGTCGCGGCCGAGGACGCGGCCGAGCTCCAGCATCTGCGCCTTTTGTGCTACTTCAATGTGGCGCGGCGGGGCATTCACCGGGTATGGTGAGAAAGTATGCATGGATTGAAATGTGGGTCTGCGAGAGGAGGACCGCGGGTGGAAGATGCAGAAGTACGCGAGGAGCGTGCGGTGTCTGAACCCTTGGCAAAAGTCTCGAGATTAGGATTCCGTACGCGACACAGGGGGTGCCCACGCACAGGGTCTATGTTGTGATATGCTCCAGTCTCGCCCCAGAGCCGTGAGACTTCGGTTTTGTATCACATCGATCCAATTGATCAGTGTCCACCGCAGGAGGACGAGGAGCAATCTGATCAACAGCCAGCAGTCGGAGTTTGCTTTCCAGTTCTCGGGCGGCCTTGGTGGGCGCCACCGCGCCACGGCACGTGGCGGATTGTTCCGGAGGGAGCCCTTCCGCGTCCATTCCTGGTCCGCTCATGCCGCGGCGGCCACGGGCGAGGTGCGTCTTCTCTTGTTTATCTTGCCGCGCGCGCCGTGCAGCCGGCGGGGGTCTGGAGGTGGAGAAGCGGGGACGAGTGCACTGACCTGCAAGTGATGCGCCGTTAGCGAGGCGGCCTCGGATTCGGCGCAGCTCGCACAGGCAATCGCGGTCGCGACTCGCAACAGAGCGCGACCGAGTTTCTGAAACTCGCCTCCGCCCGGCACGTGCGGCGGGACCGATCCCCGACCGACACAGGGTGGCCTTTCGCCTGCCCCTCTCGTTCTCGTCCGCGCCCTCCCGCGCCCTCCGTCGAGCTCGAGAGCCGCGGGCGCGCCGGGTCGGGGGCGTCCCGCTCGCCGTTTGGAATTGGAGGCGGCGTCGGGGGCGACGAGCAAAGCCTCGCCCGCGTCGGGAGGGGATCAGAACTGCGGCCCCTCGACCTCCGTCACGTCATCGCCGCCCGAGTTCGAGGGGATGATCTCTCTCTCTCTCTCCAGCTCGCCCATCGCGCAGCCGTCCTGCGTGCCCTCGGCCACGCCCGCGAGCGTGCCTCTCACGGTCATCAGCGGTCCCAACTTCGCAAAATCTCGCCCAGATCCGCTCGAGATCCTCTTCGCGGGCGGCGGCGGACCACTCGCATATAAGTACCGCGCGCGCGAACCGTTCCGTCCTTCGCTCACCTCCACCACCCTCACCTCCGCCGCCCTCTCGCTCCACCATGCCCCTCGACCCATCGACATCGTGGTCGTGGGTCGCCCTCGCCCTCTGCGTTTCGCTCGCCGTGGCCTGGGAGGCCAAGACGCGCCGGAGACGACTCCATCTTCCCCCCGGCCCACCATGCGTTCCTGTCCTAGGAAACGCCCTCGACCTGCCCCGCCGACATCTCGGTCTCGAGTTCCAGCAGATCTCTGACAAGTATGGTATGTGGCGTCCCATCACTCTCGCAGAACCTCGCTGACACTCGCACAAACCCCGCAGGCGACGTCGTGTACCTGGATGCGCTCGGACAACCGATCCTGCTCGTGAACTCGGTCAAGGTCGCGCACGAGCTGCTCGACAAGCGTTCGGCGAATTACTCGGATCGCCCGATGTCGGTCATGGCCGAACTGTCAGTCTACTTGCTTGCTTCCCTGCCTCCTGACCTCCACTCGCGCGCGCGGCTCGCACCCACCCCGCACCACCTCGAGCGCACGCATGCTGACCTGACTCCCACGTCCCGCGCAGGACGGGCTTCGGATGCATGTTCATGGTGCACAAGTACGGCAACCGCTGGCGACTCCATCGGCGCGTCTTCCACCAGTCTTTCAACTCGGACGCCGTCGTCGAGTACCGGCCCATCCACGCCGCGCCGCCCGCCGCCTGCTCGCCGCGATCCTCGCCGCACCGCGAGAGCTCCAGCGCCAGATCAAATTGTGCGTACCCTTACTGCGCCCAGTGGTCGCCTTCCATTCTTCCCCGGCGCCCACTAACGCCCCTCATCCTGTTTCCCTGCAGCACGTCCGCCTCCCCGCTGATGCGCGTTGCCTACGGCGTCGACCTCGAAGAACCTAACGACCGCTACTTCCAAGTCGTCGAACGCGTCTCCGCCGTCGGCGAGGAGATTTCTGTACCCGGCCGTTTCCCAGTCGAGGGCCTCCCAAGCCTCCGTTACATCCCGGAGTGGTTCCCGGGCGGAGCCTTCAAGCGCTGGAGCGCCGAAGCAAAACGCTACTTCCAAGAGTCAGTGAACACCCTGTACGCCGTCGCCGTCGACGGGCTCCACAAGGGGACGACGAAGGAGTCGTTCGTTACCCGCCTGCTCGAGGACGTGAGCTCTTACGATCTCGAGGGCGGAGACGAGCCCGACCTCGAGGCGTTCATCAAAAGCGTCGCGATCTCCATCTACGCCGGTGAGCCCTCCCTCGCTGCCGTCTGCCCGTATCGACGCTCACGACCTGACACAGCGGGCTCCGACACCGTCAGTACCCTCACGCGACCGCTCCCCGTGCCGTGCTAACGTCCACGCAGACCTACTGCTCCATGCAGCCTTCTTCCTCGCGATGGCGATGTTCCCGGACGTCCAGCGCAAGGCGCAGGCGGAGCTCGACCGCGTCGTCGGCCGCGACCGCCTCCCCGACTTCAGCGACGCGGACGACCTCCCGTACCTCCGCGCGCTCCTCACCGAGCTCGCCCGCTGGCACATCGTCACCCCGATCTCGAGCCCGCACAGCGCGATCGCGGACGACGAGTTCAACGGGCACTTCATCCCCAAGGGTACCGTCATCATCGTCAACATCTGGTGAGCCCGCCGCCCGATGTGCGACGCCCCCGCGCTGACCGCCGTGCCGTGCAGGTCCCTCGCGCGCGACCCGGAGCTGTACCCCGATCCGGACGCGTTCGTCCCCGAGCGCTTCATCGACGCGGCGGCAAGTTCGACGTCTCGGCAGGGATCCGACTGAGATCGCGTTTGGCTTCGGCCGTCGGTAGCCTCCTGGGTCTCCGGCGGGACATCGTGCTGACGGGCGCGCAGGATATGTCCCGGGCGGTACTTCGCGGAGGCGTCGCTCTGGGTGGTCATCGCGTCGGTCCTCCACACGTTCACCATCAGCCCGCCCGTGGACGCGGACGGGAAGCCGGTCGCGCTCGAGCACGACACGGCGACGCGCGGCGTCGTTGCGTGAGTCTTCGTTTCTTTCCTGGGGCTCCTCGTCTCACCGCGGTGCTCACGGTCGTGGTTTCTCGCGCACGCAGGCATCCCGGGTTCCACGACTACGTCGTCAAGCCGCGCGACGCGCAGGCGGAGCAGCTCATCCACGACACGCGCAACGAGGCATGACCCGCCCGCGCGTCTTGCTTCTTGCTCTTGGGACGCGGCGTTGGCTGCTCGCTCATTGTGACCAGGGTCCCACCCGTGCGCGGCCGAGGCATCTAATACACAACAGATCGCTATCCTCCGCAAGCCATCCGTGCATCTCATCGCCGTCTTCGCTTTCTCAGTCTCGCCAAATAGAGTCTCGATATCCCAAGCTGCGTGCGCAGCTCGTGGTACCATCGCGGCGACCCCTTCCTTCACCATGATTCGGAGGTCCACACATCGAAGCGGGGGGGGATGCGACACTATCTGCCCCGCCGAGCTTTTTCTACGTGTATGCGTATACCTAATTAGCTCCTTTGGAGTTTTTTTTTGCTCTTGTGGGCGCGTTCGTCGACCGCCCACAGACGCACCTTGAAAATGTACACGGTTGGTAGACGATGTTTGCGTGCCCTGGCGCTTATTTGCTTGCCCCGCTCTGTCGGATTTTGCCGGGAGGAGCTCGATGCGTCGCCGCGAACGCTGGCGCCGGTGACCGTTGCTACCACTGCCATCGGGATTCGGCGTTCCTCGGACTCTGGAACAAAGTGCGGTCTGTCTCGTGCACGCTGCTCGCTCCCTCTCTCGTATGCTCTGGACAAGTGCACAACCCGAAGTATGGCTGGAATCGCGCCTCCGTTCGACTCGGATAGAGCTCGATCACTGCCTGCGTGTGCTTCGAGCAGTACTGTTATCGGTATGACGTATGTGCTCCTATTTTGTGTCGCTTGCTCTGGGCGTACGTGTCGTTTAAGCTCAAACGCGTCTTTTGACTGCCAGGTGGCGATGTGTGTGCTTGTGTGTGGCCCCTGGCCGGGGGCCCTCTTCCGACTGAGACGTGGGAAGCGAAGGAAACGAGCGGCGGACACGCAGGACACGCGGGTGTCGGAAGCTAGGAATGAATCTTTACCCGAAACTGAGGGAACGCACGGTCGTGAGGGATGGCGCGCACGATCAGACCAGCGTCGTGCGGTGGTCGCGTGGAGCACGAAAGGCACGCGGAGACCGATGGCGCGCGCGACTCAACATAGCGCGCGCGACGCGTCGCGTCTTGACGCGAACCCTCGAGGTTTACAGAGCGCGTTGGGTGGTGGGCCTATATCGCGGTGGAGGCGCGGCGTGGGAACGTGGTCCGGGGGCGGGGCGGGGACGAATGCGCGAGTCGAGATCGTGCCGGCGTCCGAGTCCATCGTCAGTTCAGTCTGACTGCCACGTGCATGTCTCAGTGTTGCACACCGGAGGAGGGCCCTTCAATCTGCGACAGCGGTGACTTTCGCCCTTCTTTCTGACCCCGCAATGTGGTATATAACAGAGCACGACGCTGGACCTCACCGTCCAGTCCCGCAATGGTCATCGACGCCTCCTCTCCTTGGGTATGGACCGCAGCAGCCTCGGTCCTTGTCTCCCTCTTGTGGCAGTCTCAAGCACGGAAGCACCGTCGCCATCTACCTCCGGGTCCTACACCTTGCCAATCTTGGGAAACGCTCTCGACATGCCACGTCATGACCTGGGCCTTGAGTTTTGGAAGCTGATGCAGAAGTACGGTATGAAACAACCTTGTCGCGCTCTAGTGTTCGTGATGAGCTCAGACCTGATGATTCTCATCGCAGGCGACCTCGTGTATTTGAACGCCTTCGGGAAGTCCATTCTTGTCGTCGGGTCATGCCAAATCGCGCGGGACCTGCTCGAGAAGCGATCCGCGAACTATTCAGACCGCCCTGGTTCTGTCATGGCAGAGCTGTAAGCAAGTTCTGCTTCCTCGTCAGCGACCCCTTGTCCATCACACATCCAGAACAAATTTCGACAAAATGTTCGTTCTTCACCGCTACGGCGAACGCTGGCGTCTCCACCGCCGCGTCTTCCACGAGTTTTTCAACATCAACGCAGTCTCCCAACTCCGGCCGGTCCAGCAAATATCGGCCCGGCGATTATTGGCCGCCATCCTCAAGTCCCCCCGCGACGTCGCTGCGCGCCTGAAATTGTACGTCCCAGGCGTCCGCACTCTAGTGGCGGGCGATTCAGCTAGCTCATTCTTCTCGCGTCGCAGTTCGATCGCCTCGAATCTGATCCAGGTCGCGTACGGCATAGAGATGATCGAGGAGGACGACAAGTACTTCGAGATGGTCGAACGCATCACGGAGACCGGTCAAGCGATCTCCGTCCCTGGTCGGTTTCCCGTCGAAACGATTTCAAGCCTGCAGTATCTGCCCTCGTGGTTCCCCGGCGGCGGCTTCAAGGCGATGGCGCGCGAGGCCGCGGAGCACATTGAGATGTGTGTCGCACGCTGTACAATATCGCCGTGGATGGGATCGTGAGTATGACGCCCGCGCGCCGCGTAAATCTCTGACGGCACTGATGCTCACGTTTCTTGCAGCAACCGGCGCCGCGCGGGAGTCATTCGTCTCTCGCCTGCTTGACGATGCGAGCAAGTATGACCTGGAGGGTGCCGGGGAGCGCGATCTGAAGAGCTTCATCGGCGACCTGACGATTACCACCTACGCAGGTACGTCTCCCCGACCACTCGCCATCCTGTTGGTACTGATCAGTCCGTTGCGCAGCTGGCTCTGATACTGTGACTATCTTCTCGCCAAGTCGTCTCGTCCAGCGAGCTTACGTCCCCATGACCTTAGACCAACGCTGCGATACGCGCCTTTTTCCTTGCCATGGCGATGTACCCCGACGCCCAGCGCAAAGCGCAAGAGGAGCTCGACCGCGTCGTCGGACCGGATCGTCTGCCCGACTTCTCCGACATGAATTCCTTGCCCTACCTCGGTGCGCTCCTCAAGGAGCTGATGAGGTGGCACGTCATCACGCCCATCTCCCTGCCCCACGGAGTCGTGGCAGACGATATGTACAATGGGTACTTGATCCCCGCTGGGACCGCCGTCACCGTCAATGTCTGGTGCGCGCTACTGCTCTCCTCGCCACACACGCGGCACGCCCCATTTGACTTCGCTGACCTCTCTTACACAGGGGCCTCGCGCACGATCCCGAGCTCTACCCCGACCCAGACGCGTTCCTCCCGGAGCGGTACCTCGATGCGACCGGCCAGCTGGATCTCAGCAAACCTGCGCCTTCCGACTGGGCATTCGGTTTCGGTCGCAGGTACGCAGTACTTCCACCTTCCAACCGCATCAGCGCCGCTGACAATCGCCCAGGATCTGTCCTGGGCAGCACTTCGCGGAGGCGTCGATGTTCATCTACGCCGCCTCGATCCTCTACGCGTTCGACATATCGCCTCCCGTCGACGGCCACGGGACCCCTGTCGAGCTGGTGCACGACACAGCGACGATCGACATCGTAGCGTCAGTCTGTGTGCTTCGTGGTCCGTGTCCGAGAGAAGCTGACGAACCCACCAGGCACCCTCCTTTCCACGACTACGTGGTCAAACCCCGCTCTGCACACGCGGAGCAGCTTATTGTCGCTCACCGGGATGATGTCTAAAATAAGTAGACAAACTTTTGGTCTTACAATCTTGACGACTTCGCGGATTTAATGTTTCGCCGAGCGGATAGAAAGCGCCGGCGTGGAGAGCCGCAGGGAAAAGTTACAGAAAATCGAAGTGTAAAAGGGCCATAACGAAGGATGACAGTGGAGGAGGTTTGTCCGGTAAGCGCTCAGATTGAGCCGCTTATGTGACTGCAATGCTCCAGGTGGCGTGGGGAGTTCGATTCTCGATGACGCCATTGACAGCGCGACACAAACGCATACATGCCTACCCTTTCTTTCAGACTTTATAAGCTCTCGAAACACCGCTGTCGCCCATGATCTGCATAATCGTGTCTCACGCGAAAGTTTTGAGGACGAAATCCACTCATCACGTCCGTGAACGCCCGTTGAAGGCAATATTCGCAATCATGGATCACGCAACGGTCTCGTGGGTTCATTCGCTTTTGATGAACCAGCTTGCTTGTGGGGACTGAATTGAAATGTAGTCGTGCTTGGACAGGTTGCCAGTGCACTTTCCCAAGCGATCGAGGGTCGGCTGCGCCCAGGCTGTGCCGTCGGCGGACACCGCTTCCTCGCACAGTCGAACCTCCGATACCCTGTGCCCAGCGGCGCGGTGCGCGTATTTCCAGGAGGTTTGAAATACTAGCCAGCGGCCGTCCCACGACCGAAGTTCAAACCCACCATGCAGTCCGCCATCGAGCAGACAGCAGGTATTCGTCGCCCGGCGTCGCCCGATGACGTGGCAGAACAGGCCTCGACGAAGAAGCCCAAGCACGCTCGGGCCTGCGACTATTGCCGTCGCAAGAAGAGTGCGTATTCCACGTGCGGGCGTTCCTCAGTTCACTGATTTCCCTCCCCAGTTAAGTGTGCGTGGGGTGATCCGCTGCGGGGTAATTCTGGTCATCATTCAAAGGCTTTGATCTAGGCGATAGGTCGAAGATGCAAGGTGACCGTTGCTCAAAATGCGTCTCGCGTCGGACCGAGTGCACATACGTTGAGCCTCTTTACGTAAGCTATCCAACCCACACCGACCGGGAGCAATGAAAGCTTACGCTTTGCACAGAAAGATTACTATCCAGCAAGGTAGACCATTTCCCTTGTATCTCCGACATCCCACTTAACTCCGGTATAGCTATGTCAGCGGTTTAGAGAATCGCAATCAGCAACTGCAGCGACTAATCGCGAAGGTAAAATTTCCAATCATTTTGTAAATGCCTGGATTGCTTTAACTCAAAGTCCTTCCTTCGTAGCTTAATCCTGATGTCGACGTTGAAAAAGAGTTAGGGAGTCTTTCCAGCGAAGTTCTTCGCAAGCACCGCTCAGGAAGGAGTTCTTCGGTACAAGAGCAGCCGATCGCTTTCCCAGGTGGTCAGAAGCGCACAAACTCTCTGTCAGCCCCCCATCACCTCGGTCCGAGGACGAAGAAGCGAGAATAGTGACAACGAGAGCAAACTCATCCAACATATAGCGGAAGGCTTCAGCAAGGTGACAATCGGCTCCGCTTCCGTGCGATACCACGGCAAGTCCAGTGGCTACGTCCTCTTCCAGTCTTCCATGGGTATCAAGCACTCGAGCGATGTGACTCTACCCGCGCTCCCGCGAAGCTCCGGCTACGACACATCGACCACGATGAGAAAGGGGCATACGCTCCATCCAGTACGTCTCTAGTTCCTCCTTCATACGCCATTACTAAACGCACTCGCAGTGGATTGCTCTTACTCTAGAGGAACCTCTCCCGCCGTTCTCCGACTTCCCTCCTCCCGACCTCATGGAGTCGCTCGTGACTGCTTACTTCACTGAGATCGAAGACGGCGGGGTCCCGCTCTCAACGAGCCCATCTTCCGCGCAGGCATCGGCAACAGCCTGCACCTCGTCGACGGCGACTTCGGTGCGACGGTGCTGCTCGTGTGCGCGAACGGCTCGCGGTGGGTGCGCGACCCGCGCCCACTTCTTCCCGAGTACAACGACCCACATAGCCGTGGATGGGCGTGGTTCGCGCAGGTTGAGCGTGCGCGCAAGAGCCTGCTCGTGCCGCCCACGGTGTACGATTTGCAGATATGCGCAGTACGTTTCCTCTCTATCTTTTTTCGGGCTGAGTCGTGGCTCTGATCCTCTGAGTCCCGTATTTCGCAGCTGATGGCTACCTACGTTGCGAGCACGGATCTGGGCCAGGCGGCTTGGATGTACGCCAGCATGGGAATTCGGTTGGGTGTCGACCTCGGCGCCCATCGGAAGACGTTGTATGGCAACCCGCCGACTATCGAACAAGAGCTTATCCGGCGCGCCTTTTGGTAATTTCATTACTGCGCAGCTTTATATTTTACTGAATCGGCCGCTCATGAACTTCTACTTATAGGCGTTTGGTGTTCATGGACTGGGGGCTATCCCATGGGATCGGTAGACCGTGTGCTATTGATAGTGAAAGGTACGGAATGTGCTGCCTTGGGATTCCGGCTCAACATCGTCTTCAGTCTCGACTTGGGGCCAATCATAGAATGCGACGATGAATACTGGCTCGGCCCCGACGGGAAGCCCTCGTTCAAACAGCCATCTGGTCGACTGGCTTTGAAGTCCGTTGTGGCCAATCTGCTCTACCGCCTATATGAGATCTTGCAGTACGCATCACGAACCATTGTATGTGTACTTTCTGTTCGTTTGTCTAGAGCCTCAACTCACGAGTTTTATCAGTATTCTATAAACAAATCCAAGACGCTATATAGGCAAGGCGACGTTGAATGGGAGAAGCGTATCGTGTCCCAGCTCGACGCGGCGCTTCAAAAATGGATCGACTCCATCCCCGAACCCCGTGGGTACTCCGCCCATACCCGTCTGCTCACAGCTTCTGACACTCACCACGCAGTGCGCTGGAATCCGGACGCGCCCGACGACAAGATACTCCAGCTATCCTGCACCCTCGTCTGCCACTACTACATGCTTCTGATCGTCACCCACCGCCCGTTCATCTCGACACACCGCGACTCGCCCCTTAGCGCCTCCTCGCTCGTCGTGTGCACGCACGCCGCACGATCATGCGTGCGTACGATGGATCTCCTCTACGACCGTCTGGGGTCTCCGGGCATCCGGAACCAGGGGATCATATACTTTGTGGCCGTTGTGCTGCTCATCAACGCGTGGGGCGACTCGCGCTCGGGGCGGACGCTGAACATCGACCAGGACATGCGATACGTCGGCAAGTGCATGCAGATGCTCGAGGAGTTGATGTATGAGTACGTTTTAAGATCTGCCTCTTCGTGTCGCTCCGTCGTTGACAGGCGTTGTTCTTGAAGGAATTACACCGCTGAGAAGCTCCTGTACGTTTTGGTGTTTCCTGCCACTACACGCCAACCGACACGCTCACCTTGACCGGCAGTGATTCTCTCCATCTTCTCACCAGCTCTGCGTCCGTCAAGCGAGGTCCGCCCACAACACACACGCACGATGGCTCGCCTGCTCAACCCGAGCTATCCCTTCCCCCGCGGCGAGGGCAATTCGTTCGCAGCACCTATACCGATGCGGACCCCCTTACTAGTATTGCCTCAAGCGGGGGAGGAAGTTCAATATCAGGATCCTCCGTCTTTCAGCGAGCCGAGCCAACCACGGAGAATATACTATCGGGCTTCTTCGACAGTGCGTCTGCCGCTCCGTCCGGCTGGGAGTCCGAACTCGCGGCATGCAACCCGGCCGTCCCAGGCTTGGAAATGCCCATGGACACTTCCTTTAGGGGTCTGAGCGGTCTGGGCGGGGAGGGAATGGTGCCGCTTCCAGCCCCTGGCAGACGCAAGACGCAGCGTTGCCGATAGAGGGCGGGCTTTCTGACGAGGCGTTTGCGTTGTGGATGAACGCGCCGACCTCGTTCGGGTTTGGGTGGGAGGATTGGAACGCGTTTGCGGCTCAGCAGACGCGTGGAGGAGGCTTCCAGTAGTCTTCCCAGTGTTGGCTCTGCTGTTCAACTAGTTGCCCGGTTGTAATTATCGGACTATGGTCTGTGAAATACCGGAGAGCAAAATTTGATATTTGGTGCCGTTTCGGAGTATGAAAAGTAAGCTAGTGATGATAGAGCTTCGAACTCCGCCTGAAAGCTCTCACGCTGTCACGCGCCGCGTTCTCCGCGTCCGACTGGCTTTCCTCCTCGTCCTCCTCAGGCCTCGGTCTCCCTTCTTACGCGCCATCCACAGCGACTGCGGCGACAACGCAGGCAACATCTACGGGGCCCCGTTCCTGTACCCTCACCTCTCCATCATGTTCCCCACCCTGCGTCGACTCTCCCAGCAGGCCCCCGACCTGGCGAAGGCGGCCAGGTCTGCGTCCACCCCCATGGCCATCCGCGCCCGCCGTGACAAAAAGGGCATCAAGTCCGACTTCCTCGTCCCCGACACGACCGTCGACGGCCTCTCGCCCTCCGAAATGGCGCGCTACCAGCGCCACCTGGCCACCGGCGAGCTCTTCCGCGAAGACGGCACGACGCCGACCCCGGCCGAATGGCTCGCGCAGCTGCACGCGCGGCGGAACCGCCTGCGCGGCATCAAGGAGGTCGTCCGCGAAGACGGGACGAAGGCGACGGAGGTCGTCGGCCAGAAGGTCTACCTGCCCAACATCCGCTTCGTCATGACCCCGAACCACACCCCGCCCGGGCAGCCGTACAACCCGTACGAGGCGACGTTCCGCGTGCCGCGCGAGGTGACGAAGACGGACGTGCGCTCGTACCTGCTCGCGGCGTACGGCGTCCGGACGACGTACATCCGCACGAGCAACTACCAGATGCCGGTCAAGTACGCGATCGGGACGCGCGTGAACTTGAAGCGGCCGACGTTCCGCACGTACAAGCGCGCGGTCGTCGGCCTCGTCGACCCGTTCTTCCCGCCGGAGATGGAGGACGACATGTCGGCGGCGGAGCGCGAGGAGCGCGCGAAGGTGCTGAGGGAGACGTTCCAGGCGGGCGCGCAGGACTCGCGGATGCGCGCGGTGTTCCTCAAGAACAGCAACAACCCCGACTGGAAGAAGCTGCCCGTTATGGGACGCGGGCATATCGTGAGGTCGGTTGCGGCGCGTAAGGCCGAGAGGCGGGAGGCGGTGGAGAAGGCGAAGGCGGACATGCTGGAGAAGCGGGCAGGGGCGGAGGCGGTGGCGGAGACATAGTGCGCCTTCGTGGCCTAGTTGTGCGTCCTCTTCTTTTCCCGTCCTTGCGTCGCGACCTCATCCGTGCTGCAGAGTACTGTATGTTATGCTATACGCATTAATGGGTCGTCTCGCTCCTCCACGTGTTCATTCATCGAAGTCGCCAAACGAAGTCAGCTCAACTGGAAGAACTTTCTGCAACACCATCGCCGATGCAAGTCTAGTCTGTATTTGAGTCAAGAACCCGATAATGTACTTGAGCGGCGACGACCGTCCACGGCTCTAAGTCTCAAAGCCAACCCCTTGCAATTCGACAACTCATCACTCTCAAGTATGGTTCCAATTGCTCCACCCGGATGAATTTCGACCATACACTCGGTACGTCCTTCACTGTGCCTGTCATAGTTAACCATCCCTCCACCGCAAAGTTCAAGGCGCGAACGCTTGTCCAACCCCGAACGCCAGGGCATCGAGGTCGCACATGGGATTCGATGTGACGTTGCCGGCATACAGGGTTATATACATAGACAATAAACCTTGATGTGACTCAGTAGGTCGTGGTCGTCGAAAACATCATGTTTGGCCCCGCTACTTTCCCGCTACGGTTTGAAGCTCCCGGGCCACAGCCACCACCGGTCATTCGCTTTCCCTTGCCGTTGTCTCATGGGCAACGATCCTTTCGGAAATTTTCTGTGTGCCCACCGAGTGTTCGACACGTACGTGGGCTGAAACTATGGATCGTTATGCTGCTACAATCCGGCTCCAGAAAACCACAACAGTGCTGTCTCAAACATTTTCACAGGAGTTGATGCGCCGTCACGGATAGTACTTACCCGCAGTGCATAACGGAGGGTCTTCGGTGACCGGATAGAAACCTGGTCATTCGAATACACGAGGGCTTAGAGGCTCCGTTTATGTCAGCTTCTGTGCAGAAGTACCATTGATGTACGCCGTAAGGACCTCTAGCCAGTCAGGCGCGCCGAGCATTTCAAACCAGAAAGAGGCCGTGATATGTCATGTTGCCGGCGGGCTACGTTGGAGATTGACTGCATCGATCTACTACTTGGTTCCATGCTGTTCCATTCGAACCGTTTCACTGGCTCGCACGTGGGGATCGTCTGAGAACATGCCATGACACAATCGTACGCCGTCTAGCCGTCTATCACAAGAAAGACAGATCGCGGTGGGGCTTCTATTCCGGACATGCGCCACCCGCGGACTCTACGGACATTCAGCGGTCGTCACGAGAATGAGCTTCTGTATCTGCGTTCTAACCGAGGCTTCCATAACAAAAGGTAATACAGCACGATGAACGAATGACCAGATTCCGTGGCGACAGAGTGGGAAAGACGATAATATCCTGGACGCGCGAAGTGGGACAAAGTACTCCTAGAACACCACCATATCATGTTAGTAATACATGGAGAGGAACGTGTCACCTGAGGGCACCCAGACAATGTGAAGGGGAGGATATATGCAAACGAAGGGGATACATAGGGCTGTCAAATGACCTCTAGTGTAACTATGTACGTACAGACTGCGGTTCCGCGGTCGAATCCATCCAGGTGGATAGGCGAGGGGTCGAATGCGGGGGGTATAACTGAGACCCAATGTAAATATCACAACTTGACAGCAGGCACGTCGTTTGCCGCCCGCCGATTCAGGCAGAGATACAAGAACAAAATGGCGCTCAGTCGTGCGCTACGCCGCTGTAGAAACCGAGGATCGGATGAGTTCCGCCCTCCGCAAGTCGCGCGGGGTGATGCGGAGCTGAAAGGGGGCAATGTGTCTGTCCAGATACACGAGTTAGCGCTGTGGATGTCTGTGGAGATAAACAGGAAGGGGCCTACGCAATAGCGAACTCGTTGCCCATGTGAACGTCGAGGCTCCTGGGCTGTCCGCGCACATCCAAGGCGGGGCTAATGAACATCGTGTGGAGAATGGACGCGCAGTGGATGAAGAGCGACCGGTCCGCGAAATGCATGCCCGGGCATATCCTGCCAAAGGCCCCCACGTCAGTCAGAGGCCGGAAACACCGCGCGAACCCCGCGTCAGCGAAGAAACTCACCGCCGTCCGAACCCGAAAATGTAGTCGAACGGATCGCGCGCGACGCTGAAGTCGAGCTTGCCGTCGGTCAAAAAGCGGTCCGGCCGGAACGCCTCTGGGTCGGGGTACGAGCGCTCGTCGCGGGACATTGCCCACGCGTTTGTGATCACGACCGAGCCCTTGGGGATCAGGAACCCGCCGTACTCGTCGTCCTGCTCCGACCGGTGCGGCACGCCGATCGGCGCGACGACGTGCCAACGGACCGTCTCGCGGATGAGCGCATGCACGTACGGGAGTGCGGGCGAGTCCGCGAACGTCGGCAGGCGGTCATGCCCGACGACGGCGTCGAGCTCGGCCTGAGCGCGGCGCTGGGCGTCCGGGAACTTGGCCATCGCGAGCATAAGGAGTGCATCGTCGCGTTCGCCTGCAGGGTGCGGAGGGTCAGCGCGAGCCCCCTGCGCCACCGCATGGAAGCGAAGAGCACTCACCGAGTCCGCCCGGCTTTTGTGGCGGAGGAGGAGAGTCGGACAAAGCGGGAACAAGAACGTGGGGGTCAGGGCGCGTTCAAAAGCCTAGGCACCCGTGGGGCCGCGGAGGACGGGAGCACTCACCGGCATATGTCGTCGCGGTGAGGTTCCGGGCTAGTTTCTCGTCCTCGCCGTCTTCGATCAACCTTGTCAGGATCGAGTCTTTGATCCCCGATTTCTCCTGTCGCCCATGCGTCAGCGTCTGCGCTCCGTAGTTCCCCGCCGCGGCCAGCCTCTCCGCCCTCTCGATCGCCACGCTTTGGGTGCCGGAAGAGTACTCACCATCTGCGCCGTGCGGTGTCATACAGATGGTCCCGCACATCCGCGATCTCTTTCCGCCACCCTTCCGCAAGCTTGCGGTATCCAGTGCCCAACGGGAACCAGTCGGGGAGGCGCTCCATGAAGGAGAACGCTTCAACGGGGTGCCGTCCGGGTGTGCTGATGTCCTCCGCGATGAGCGAGAGCCGTTTGACGAGCTCGTACGGCTGCGCGGATGATGCTGGGTCGATCCCGTACACAACGCGCAGAATTGCTGCGGCGAACGCGCTGTGTCATCCAGGGGCGGTTCAAGGGAGGACGCCGAGGCGGCGAGTGATGCGATCGCGTGGACGAGACCGATGGGAAGGCGAGGAGAGGTACGTCCAGTCAGGCAGGGAAGACAAAAAGGCAAAGCGTGTCAGGCCCTGATAATAGAGTTGGATCCCCGGCTGCGCTATAAGCCCTATCCGGCGCCCCGCGGGGCCACGGAACAGGGAAGCGGGGCAGCGAGCGGGAGGTAAACGGATTGACGTACAGCTTCAAGTGTTCAGAGAACTTTTCGGGGGTGGAGAGGAGGTTGTTGAGGAGGATGCGGTTTACTTGCGTCACAAGTGGCTCGTACGAAGCGAGTCTTGCGGGGATGAATTGGCCGTGGAATGCCTTGCGGTAATGGCGCCATTCTGGGGTGTAGTTTTGGAATACAAACATCCAGTCGAGGTTGGTACTAATGGCCATGTTAGCCAGTAGGGGGTCCGCCGCGAGGCGACTTGACTAACCGGTTGACCATGACGGACTCTGGACGGTTGGAGTAGTTCGCGGACCGCTTTTCAAGAATCTCGCAGGCGGCTTCGTATGACCCGATCACAATGATAGACTGCCCGAGAACTTTGAGGTATGAGACGTCGCCTGTAACAAGCCATTCAGCGTCTGAGATGGAACGCGGTGTGCGCGACGTTGTCCACATACCGTGCTTGAGCGAGATGTCGCGGAACTCGCGTCCCAGATGCGATTTTGGGAAATCGAGAGCGTTTCCAATGATAGGGAGTGGGTGAGGACCAGGCGGGAGATGGCGTCTTGCTTGTCGACGTGCGTACACGGTTACGAGGACGATCGCCCCCGTGACGAGGACGATCAGCCACTGGGAGGAGGTCATGTCTTGCGCGACGGGCTGCGTCATGGTTCGACCAAGTGAAGATCAATGTCGGATGGGAAGTACGCGTAGGCGGACGGTGAGCGCGTCGAAGTCGGCACGCGCGAGAGAAGAGAAGCAGCACGGCGTACCTCTTTCTCCTCCTTTGCCTAAAATACTGCGGCGAACGCCAGCGCGGGTGGATCAATGGATGAATACAGAGGCGGGAGCGGGAGATGGCCGCGGGCGCGGGCGGGTGTCGCCTCAGAGTCGCAGGCGGTGAAAACAAAGACGCAGGCGGCGATCCCGACACAATGCGGGTAGCGGAACGGGGTCGGACGGGTTCGTGCTGGCGACGCCTGCATTTGAACGGGACCGAGCCCGCCGCCCGAGCCCCGTGGCCAGAGAGCGTGCTGACCGACTCCCACGCGCGCGAGCGCGCCCCGCGACCCTGTGAGCCCGCGCAAGCAGCGGCAAGTGGCAGCAGCGCGCACGGGTGTTGGCGCGCGCCGGGCGACAGCAGGCGGTGGCGTCGAGGGTGGCGGAGACGCGTCTTCTCGACTGGATTTCCTGTCTTCGCGGCGGCCAGCGAAGCCGGCGCGCGCGGAAATACGGCGCGCACGGAAGGTGGGCGCGTGCGTGTGTCGTCCGCCCAACAGGGCTTTGTGCGGTGCGCTGGCGGATCGCTAGCGGATATAACAGCTCGGTCGGTGTCGAGAGGAACGAGGGCGGGACCGGCTCCGGCTTTCGTGCCGACAGAGCTCGCGACGATAAGCACTGCCCGAAGGCGCAGCTGATGATGCTTGACGGCATCTTGAGACAAGCCCTAACCCTGCTCTTGGTTGCCTTGCGAACCTTGAAAAGCGCTTGGGAGGCAGCACGGCCCGGGGCCACCTGCAAGCAGAATGTGGTCAGCCCGAGCTGGAACCAACACGAATGAACGGTAGTACAATCGCCTGTGGGGTTACATCGCAAGAGGATCTGGCCACTGTCCGTGAACCGGATGGCTAAAATCACTATCTAGAGTCTTCAACAGATCCGCTCTGATTTTATATGCCCACGCGGCGCTCCTCTGCAGGGTCATGAGACCGGATGGGATGGAATCAGGCAGCCATGCAAGAGTCGACTGCGCTCATGCATCTCCCATGAAGGGACGAAACGAGTGGCCATGTGGCGACAGGCAAGGCAGGGACGGAGCAGCAGAAGCGGCCGGGGTTGCGCCGGGGAGGGACTTGAGAATGCAATGCATAAGTTCTCACAGCCCCACTGCATAACCACACAACTACTTGCATGTCATGTCACACGACGTCCAGTACTCATGTCGCGGGGAACTCCAACGCAGCCGAAATGGAGCGTCCGTGAAGCTTGAAGGTCGGTAGGGCACGCTGCAAAATGTGCGGCTGACGGTGTTGCCCTGTTTCGGTCATTTCTGTTAGCGGGTCGTAAACAAGACACTCGCGCTGCTCGGTTGCACTTACCCGTGTCGTCCAGGCACCTGGAAATCCGCAAGAGTCCAGGTAAAGCAACGGCGACTTGCCCGCTGGAGGAACAAATGGATGATCAGCAATGGTAGAATAGGGGCTCAGGGACAAAGATGTAGCGTCGCGGTCTGGATCCTCGGTATGATGACTGTCGGCGCCCTGTGAACCGTCGGGCACCCGTTATATCCTCATCGATTAATAGCGTCCTTATAGCCCGCTATGGATATAGACTGAGGCTTGCCGGCCCGAGGAAGCGAGCCGCCGGCTGATCGTCTGGGAGGCGTGCAGGAAAATACAAGGCGTGCCGGTTTGGCATGCCTTCTATCGTCGTGCGTGGTCATGTGCCTTCTCCCGAAGCGTGTGGTCCAGCGATGGATATCTGGGGAAAATATCTTCCGGCGGGTGAGACGGAATTAAGGATGACGTGCAACGTTAATCTCCTTGGACATCAACACCAAAAAGTTGTTTTGCCGAGCGCGAGGTCCAGAGAATGCCACGAGGAACGCCAGCAAGTGGCCCCTTCACCCCAGGCTGATCGCTTCGACTTCAGCGAAGGCGCAGTGACAGCTCGCACTTCCAACACAATGTCCGTGCATCCACCGGCGCCTGTGGCACCCTCGCGAGTCTGCTCTAGACTTGGCGTGCGAGAGTCACTTCGAGAATACCGACGACCTACGATGGCGCGCCATGCTGCGATCACGGATAAGTCCGGCCACTTGCATACGCAGTGAGGCCCAGAAGTGCCGGGAGTTCTGCGCGAGCACGGTGCGCCCCTGTGCGTGCGGGGAGGAGGGGAGTATAAGTGCACCACTGGCGGCGACAGGAGACACCAGGCCTCGAACCGAGCATCCACACCAGCTCTCGCCTCTCCGGCGCACGCCCCGCGACGACGGCGATACGGCCCCGGCTGCCATGTGTTACAGCTTCATCAAGTACGCGAGTGGACCTGCGGATGGCGAGAACCCTACGACGAGAACCAATGGCAAGCATGACTCGGTAACGCCCCGCGCTTACTATCTGACCGGCCTCTGCACGCTCCATCCCACAGACAGACTGCCGCCGCGAGACGTGTAGACTGAGCGTGGCGCACAAAACAGGCGCACACGACTGCGACAGCGAGTGTGCTGGAAAGTAAGCACAAGGCCCTGTTACCGCGTGAAATGCACTCATCTCCGCGGGCATCAGTCTCACGGAGACCACCACCTGTCATGGAACGCCGCGAGATGTGTGCGCCGGGTGCCATGCGCACAGGCGCGGAACCGGTGGCCATCCTGGCTTCGCAAACGCCGAAAACATCCGGTTCCAATATGTGGTTGCCAGCCACAACCAGCATCGCGGGTAGGGCAGGCGGCGGGACGAGGCGGGAATGGAGGAACACACACCTAGCACGGGTTTAGGCGTATCTTGTGAGGGCGGCATCAATCAGGGTACTGAGTCTTCGCGGATGTGTGCTGCGTGCGACGAGGCGCGCCGTATGCGCGGGCCCCCATGCCTCGTCCTGACCAAGCCGGCGAGTTGCCCGGGACTGGCGACGGGGAAGCAGATCGGTATCGCGGCACGCGTGGCCTCAAAATGCGCCAGCTCGCTCTGGTTCTGGCCACGGGTTAACAGAGCCCGAACCACTTTCAAGTGACTGAAATACCTGGGCCTCCAAATCATCGCGGGACGTTTATCCGGCGACCAATCTACAAAACGTGTCGCTCTATGCGCGCCACATTGGGGTGTAAGCGTAAGTGGCCCTGCACGTGTTGACGGCCTAGAGTGCAGCCTGCAAGAGGGGATGGGGGTCGAGGTTAGAGATGCGCAATGGGCGCCAACTGTGTTCTCGGAAATTGGTCACGCGCTACAGTGCGCTCGTTCGACGCGTCGCGCGCGCCACCAACGCGCCCAAGCACGTCCTTGTCCTCCCTTCCACACCCCCGTGTCCTGCTGGCTCTCTCCTGTTCGGTGCCTTGATTGACAGGCGACCTGTATCTGGCGCGGCATTCCCTTGCGATCAACATGGCGGCCCAAAACACTCCCGCCACCTGGTCCCTCCGCTTTTCGAACACGGCGCGGTGGAGGCATTCGAGCAATCAGGGAGGACACTGTCACTCGCTGTATCACCGCGGGATGAGAGCATTGCTATATATGCGTCTCCAAATGTATGTGCGCTCTGTATATGCGTGCAAGGAATTCCCTAATGCCCTTCAGACCGATCCCCAGACATCGCGGTCCCAGCCCACCCCGCGAGCCCCCTCAGAGCAAGTTTACCTCGCTGGCACACATACTCCTCCGCGATCAGAGCGCAGAGTGGTACGTCTCATGTCTTTTACTAGGTCTTGATTGTGGCAAACGCGTGGTAGTTTGTCACAGATACCCTCATCATCTTCGCGGCGGTACAAAACTTTATGAAGGACATTAGGGCGAGGAAGGTCGAGCTGTGAGTTGCCTCGCATTTTTACTGTTGTTTACATGTTTCCGACGCTCTCGTTAGCATCCAGAACGAGGAGGCAATGGGCGTCATGAACAAATTGGGAAACGATTATGTGAACTTTTGCAAAGAGTGCTGTATGCATACTTCGGTGCGTTTTACTTCTTGGTAGGAGTCGCCGCTTCTCTGAATGAGACCTCCGGCTGGGGCAGAGAGAACCCCGAACAGAACCTTTACAGTATGAAGCAGACCATTACCGCAAACTGTACACTTGCTTCTCCGCATTTGTCTTGCTATACTTGCCTGAACCAAGCTTCGAAGACGTTCCCATCGGAGACGAACTCATGGAGTGGCTGAACACGCACTTCATTGAGCCCTCGACGCAAGAGGGTGACGATTTGAGCAGCCAAGCACGACCTTGGGAGGATCCCAACTTCTGGCCTTACCTCACGAGGTGCGCAGTCACTCTGCTTTCTGCGCCACTGCAAGTCCAACTTTGAACACAGGACCTCGCTCCGCGGTCTCTCAAAAGCTCTGCCTTCTTCCTAGAGGTGCTCGCCAACCATCCGTCAACTTATCTCCAGCCTCTCACCCAGCAACTATCACCACTATTAACGAATCATCCCCGTTTGAACCACTTCTCCGCCGAGCGAGACTTCGCTATCGCCTCTCGTCGGTGGCGCGACAAGGTTAAAACCCTCAGGCTGGAGCTCGACCGCGTACCGGAATCAGAGCGCGACGATGGGTTCGAGAATTGGTGGGACCGCTTCAGCGATATCGTTTCGATTCTGGAAGGCCGTGCGGACGTCGTCCGGAGGGTCTGCGCCGAGCTCGGTGCAGATTGGAAGGAAGTTTGCGCCGCCTGGGGCATCTTTGTAGACACGCGCCTTCGGCGGCAGGACCTCCCGTACGTCACCCTCGCGTCGCCGTGGCCTGCGCTAATACCACTTTGCCTTGGCCTCCAGAGAAGTAGTAGCGCAGATCCTGGATGAAGTGCCTCCGGACCCTACGGATCTCGAGGATGTGGTTTACTCTGCGTTGTTCCTTGGGAAGCCGGCAGAAGCGCTTTCGACGGCAGAACAGCTCGACATCTGGCTCGCGGCGCACCTCGCAGATCTCATGGAACCAATAGAACTCATTGATTCTGAGCCTGACTTTGAGTATGTTCCGCTTCTCCACGTCATGCGCCCCCCGTGCTCATTCATCGAACTAGATCCGACCTGACCCTGCGCCAGCATTACCTTCTCACGTATGCGGAGTACCTTCAGTCCGACCCAGGGCTCTGGCGTATCACCGTCGACTATATGTACTCGTGCGGGACCATCGGCGCCGGGATGGGCGACCAAATGCTCGTACGTGTTCCTCTGCGTCTGCAAGCACCCCCGGACGCAGCTGCGGCTGGAGAAGAGGCTGCGCAGATCCGCAGTGGACAGCTCGCGGGTGTACTCAAGAGCGTGAACGAGGCATGCTTCGAATACCAGCGCGAAGAGGTCCGGCGAATGGTCTGCAGGGTGCGTGTGACTGCGAGTATGCTGCGTGGATGGGTCGGGGCGCTGACAGGCGGCGACCGCAGATTGCAGCGCAGGCATTCATCCGCGAGAAGGAGTACGGGCTCGCAATCTCGTATTGTACCTCGGCGGAGGACTGGCCTGGGCTGGGGCGCGTAGTCGACCTCGTGTTGGAAGAGTACATTGTCCAAGGCACGTCGTGCTTCTTGGTCTTCCCATCCCTAGCTGACCCTCGGCCGCTCTGCTTTTTCGCGACCTTCTTCGGTTCTCGGCCTTGAACAAAACGAACCACGCCCTAATCTCCGCCCGCACAGGTCCCGAAAAGTTCGCGGAGCTCGTCGCCCACATCGCGCCCTCGCTCCAAACTCTCCGTCTCGACGGCGCAGGCCCCGGCGCGCCGCCACCCGCGTTTGCCCACCGGCTCCTCTTCGCCGTCCGCTTCGCCGACTTCCACCGGCGGCGAGGCGCGGGCGACGTCTCGGGGCCGCGCGCGCCGTCGCCGCGCTCTTCCGCGACGGCGTCGTCCCCGCGGTGTGGTGGGCACCGCTGCTCTGCGACGCGCGCGCGCTCCTCCAGCACGCACAGCTGCTCCCGCTCGGGCCCGACGACGCGTGCGCGCTCATGGTCCGCCTCGAGGAGGCCGCGCGCGGCGCGCCAGCGGACTACCTCGCCGTGCTCGCGCGCGTCGTGGGCGGCAGCGAGCGCCACGCGGCGCAGAGGCTACAGGCGGTCCGCCTCGCGCTCGCGCGCTATTACGCCCGCTGCGGGGCGATCGACGTTGGGGGGCGGACGGCCGGGTGGGGTTACTAGCCCTCGGGTCAGGGTCGTGTGCTCAGTCGCCGAGAGGGGTACGTTGGAGGAGAACGGTCGTCATTCGTGCTCCACGCTTGCGCGTATATGTTATTGGTGCAATGTACAGGCTGATGCTGTAGATGATGTGCTATGCGTACCGTATGAGCCACACCCTGCATGTCTGCTGCAGAGAGCCCGCGTGAAGTGTCTGCATCTATCCACGCGCCTGGACGTTGATTCTAGATGCGGAGGGAGTAGCGGTCGCGTCAGCTCGAGAAGGGCGCAGGAGGAGCTGCACCGACTTACCCTGCACGTCCGTAGCAGATGTCCATCCAAAGAGTCGCCCTCGCCCACAAGACGGCCCTCGCCGTGGACACGGTTACGGTTGAGGTCATATCGGCAACACCCGTCGACTCTGGAAGCAGACGCACCGGCCGCGACGTCCACGGACGGTCAGGGACCAGCAGGCATCCGCCGTTCTGCCGGGAGGAGGTGCGGTGGCATGCGGCAGCTCAGTGGTGGGACCGTCATGGATCGTCGGGTCATCTGCATCGCGGCGACCGACGCTGCATGCCAATCACCGGTGCTGTGGAGGCAGGGTCGCCGCGGCGTGGGTCGGCGAGCCTTGGAGTTCCACTGCTGAGGAGGACATGGTTCTGGGGTGCGGGGCGGTCGGGTCGAGGCTCTCGGGGTGAGCCATGGGAGGGAAGGGGGCGAGCGGGACTGATTTGGATGCTCCGCATGGGGCTGGTGAGGCGAGACGGGGCGTGGACGGCAGCCCGGCGAAGAGCAGTTGGGGCTCGGGGGAAGAGGGCCTCGTCAGGTCTGAGGACGGGGAAATGGGAGACGTACGGAGTCTGCTTGGCGGCTTCGCCTTCCTCTCCTGCGCTGCTCTGTGGGCCTTCGATTCCCGCAGGAATCCATAGTTTGGGCCCTCTGGTGGGCCGTCGTGGTTGCAGGATGCTGGGATCGTCGGTCGGCTCGATAGGGTTGAGATTACGATGGAAGTTGAGTGGATGAGGTTCTTGTACTTGACAATGTCGTGAGTAGGAGTAGAGCTACAGAGAAGCTGGGGTGGTGGAGGAGGAGGAGGATGGACGCATTGAGCAAGAGCAGATACCCAGGCCGTTGTCGCACGCGGCAGGGGCTGGCAGGGGGCTGGCAGGGGGCGCTGGGGACCTTGCCTCCTTTTTGCCTCTTCTGGTCCTCTCTCTCTCCCCAAAGCCGTATACCATACATACCAATATCACGCCGCTGGATTTCTCCCGCTCCCTACCCAGGCGATTTCTGCTTCATAACATCTGTCTGAACACCGCAGTCAGCTATATGTAGCCAAATGTTGGACATTCTTGGGAGGTAGCCTTGGTATTGTTCCACCATCACCACCACCATCCGGGAGCTTTGGGGCGCGATTTATGGTGCGTAAGACCTTTCTCAGTCATCGGAGTATATCACAGAAATCAGCTTCGGGTTCTAGTCAAAGAGATCTTGCAGCTCACTTCGACATTTGTATGTCCTTCGTTCTCCTCTTGCGCGCAGATCTCGCACAAACCAGGTGGCTAGTAAGCAAGCAAGCCCTAGACGTGGTCGGGTACGATTGACTGTGAGCACATGCACAATTTCTGGCCAGTAATTGTAACATACTTACGTCTCAAAGTTGTCTTTGCTATAGTCATGTATGCTGGGCCACCGCGATCGCGGAAGATCACGATCGATGTGCACGTTGCCCCCAGTGCACGACCCCGAGCATGTTCCGAATGACCCAGATGTATGTCGTTCAGTATACATGATGCGGCCCTGCGACATGGCTTGAGATCCAAGGCTAACCGTTCACACCCCTCCTCATCCAGGCATTTGGCGTGTTTGCGCTTGGCAGGGTTTGGTCAAGCAGGGATATCGGGAAGGACTCAGGAGTGCCGAGCGATCCTTCCCACTGGGTACGTATTGCTTCAACAACCTCGCATGAGTGGATCGTGTACTCACTCGATACGTGCCTCTTAAACCCAAAGGCAACGAGCTGTGGTGCGCCGCAGCACACCGTCCATTACCAACGTCCGCGCGAGTACGCCCGGAACTGTTGCCTCCCAAGGCACGATACACGCGGCGGATCATATGGATGTTCGTCTCTCTCTTCGCGCCGTCCTTTTGTCGTTGCCTAATACCTCCTCTGGACCCTCCTCTTCTGCAGGATCCTCCATCTCCCTTCTGAGTCTCTGCCGGGCCCGGGACTTCGTGTGGCAGCACTGGTGTGAGGTTGAGATGCGGAGGACCAAGCAGTCGCACGTGTATGATCGGTGTACGCCGGACATGGACAAGATCGAAGTCGCAGATTCGGCCGAGTCCCAGAAGAACGATTGCCAAGCAAGAAAAGCTGGAATGTCAGCGTTGGCGAAGAGATGGTTGTGGCGGACGGAAGGGTTATTGTGGTACGCGTAGCTCCTCCTCGGCAACATCTGCGGGCGTCCTCTTTCGCTAACAGCTCTTTGAGCCGCGGCTGTGGCACTGCGTTGTCGGCAGTTAATCCCTTCCTCGTGACTGGCGCAACATGCCGGAGGAGTGCCACGGCACGACATACTGCACCCACCGTGTACAATGCCCAAAATCTGGGCGGTTCGATTCCCGTGCAGCCTACGCATCTCATGACCAAGCTTGCTCCACGCATGCGGATCAGGACGGACCGAACAACTCTGGCCAGGGGTGCTCCAACACATCGATGCGAGACGTCCCGCGCGTGCGCCATCATTATACTACCACCCTCCGCGCCGACGTGGCTAGAACCACATTTCCCTTTGTACGTATATTAGTGGAGAATGTATCCATATAAAAACCCTACTTGCCATACCTACCCGCACTGGTGCAAGCATGCGGGTCAGAGAAGGCGTTGACCGAACGACACCATGACTACAGGTCCTACGGGTGAATCGGGCAGCAGCAATATCTATCCGATATGGGCGTTGCCATGCTCCTCGCGCATCAAGCCATGAGGAGAAGCAATCTACTGTTCACGCAGAACTTTGAAGGCAGGAAATGGATTACAGTATACAGTACAACAATAAATGATAGGGAACCCGACCGGAGACAATCTAAGCACCGAAACCGTAAAGCGTGCGCCCTGACCGCTTGAGCGCGTACACAACATCGAGGGCCGTAACAGTCTTTCGCTTCGCGTGCTCAGTGTATGTTACGGAGTCCCGAATGACCTGCACGCAAACCGTAAGAACGCCGAAGACGTGCAGGAGGACAGCACCACTCACGTTCTCGAGGAAGATCTTGAGAACACCTCGGGTCTCCTCATAGATGAGTCCAGAGATACGCTTGACACCGCCACGGCGGGCAAGACGGCGGATGGCGGGCTTGGTGATGCCCTGGATGTTGTCACGAAGAATCTTGCGGTGGCGCTTAGCACCACCCTTGCCGAGTCCCTGAAGTCGAAGGTGGTCAACGTCGGAAGACGGGAGCGTTCAGACTCCGACGCTCACCTTGCCACCCTTTCCACGGCCAGACATTGTTATTGAAGTGTGTTGTTGAGAAGTGCGAAAGACGCGAGAGGATGTGCGGCACGAGGGCGACGGCAAATGAGGAGGACGGGTGGGCGAGTGGAGGCTCTTGGGAGGCCGGGGATGCGTATATATGGCTCGGGACTGGCGCTCAAACGCGTCGCTTATTTTGTTGAATGCAATCAACGCCATCACGTGCATCGGACGCGTCGCGTTAGGGCGCCTGCAGAATGGGGCGCCGTATAAAAGTACCCTCGTCCACTCCTGCCATGTCCTCACTCCACCTGCTGCCCCTGCTGCATCCGCTTCCTCCGGCTACTTGACCCACCCTTTCGCCTATACACCACCACCAATGGCCCGTACTAAGCAGACTGCCCGCAAGTCCACCGGTGGCAAGGCTCCTCGCAAGCAGCTCGCTGCCAAGTCCCAGGCTCGCAAGACCGCCGCTGTAAGTCTCTTTGCTCATGCGGATATGCGTTCAAACCTTGCCTGCTCCTAGGCTGCCACTGGTGGTGTGAAGAAGCCTCATCGTTTCCGGCCTGGTACTGTCGCCCTTCGTGAGATTCGTCGGTACCAGAAGTCGACGGAGCTGCTCATCCGCAAGCTCCCCTTCCAACGTCTTGTTCGCGAGATCGCGCAGGACTTTAAGGTGTGCATTCCTCCTGTGTTTCTCGTTGCTTCACGTGCTGACCACTGTTGCGCCTCAGACCGACCTCCGCTTCCAGTCATCCGCCGTCATGGCGCTCCAGGAGGCGTCCGAGGCATACCTCGTCTCACTTTTCGAGGACACCAACCTCGCTGCCATTCACGCCAAGCGTGTCACCATCCAACCAAAAGACCTATCGCTCGCGCGCCGTCTCCGAGGAGAGAGGACGTAATTTATTCATATCCTGTATATTTCTGCCATGACTATTGTACGCCTATTATAGTTCTATTACACGCTTCTAGTCTCCATAAGTGCGAGATGATAGACTATTACTAACGGTAAATAATGTGTTCTATTCGTGGGAACCCTATCTGCATCATAGTCTTCAAGTCCTCATGCCATTGCTTTTTGTCCTGCATTCCATGTCTTCCTGAACATTTCTTGGTTTCACGTTGCCTCGCTTCGAAAGCTTCGTGGAATGCTGTGCACATCCAAGTTATTGCATCAGGATTTGTTGCTTCCCCGCCTACTCACAGTGGCTCTCCTCAAAACCATCAACCGTACGACACCACAGCTCACTGAAGACGTCCGGAGGGCAGCATCGACATGCCAGTGAAGCGGCACCACTGTCTCATCGAGGGTACGTCTGGGTACGTCTCATCGCTTGCCTTGTGCGTCTTCTCCCTCTTCAATGCTTGCGGTTGGGTGACTATATGTGGCTCCTGCCAACTTTCATGTAGCTCCCACTCTGTATCTCGCAACATCCTCCGATCCTACTTTTCTCAACACTATCGACAATCTCCCGCCAGTACGCCGCAAGACAAACGGCTGATGGGGCTAGTACGTAGTCAAGGGTTTGACATCTCGGTGAGTGCTCCGACGGGTGCGCCTACTCGTGGACTGCATGGGTCAGGCATGGCCCGTTCAGCGACACCTGCTCGACATCATGCCGCACGAAACTCTGTTATTTTGGACGCTGCTTACTACCCGTCGAGAAGCTCTAGCACCCGATTGGCCAGACGCACTTCCGTCGAGGACGATGGTGGGCGCGCCGTAGACTTCCATCGTTGCGGTCGTCTTCGATAGAAGTGATGGGCTGGAGCTTGTATGTGTCAGCACCCATGCTTCGACAAGTCATGGTATGTTCGGTGACAGGTCGCTTCTCGAGTATTTCTGCTAACTGATAGTCTTAGTAGCAAGACAACGGGATGGAGATGTTCGACGTCTCAAGTTATCCTGCTTGTGTAGGGCCCAGTTACTGCGAAGGTTTCCAAGTGTTATGGAGCATTGATACGTCAACGATGCAGTTGCCTCTCGGTGGCACTATTCATAAGTCCCATCATGCAAACGCCGGAAGTAAGTGCCCACGGTGAACACAGCATAGTGCACCCCTTTCTGAAGTTCTGAGTGTTCTCTTGCGCATAGACGTCGGTGTTGAGGCATCCGTCAAGGTACCGCGAGACGACGATACAGGTTCAGAAGAATCACAAATGTCCGTCACCGCGGTGGGAAACGGTGTAGTCAGCGCGGTGGCAATGCCATCTGCCACTGCGTCAGCTGCACCGCCCGAGCTCGCGTCGCGCGTTATACTCGTCCCTCGTGGCCACACACATTAGCAAGCCGTTGTCTGGGGAAGGCGATGCCTCAGAGCAACACTCACGCTGGCACTTGTGCAAATGGAGTTCGGCAAGGGTACCTCCGGATCTGACGAGTCTCCGTCGTGCTATTCAAGTCGGCTTGACGGCGACAAGGGGTGGGCCCATCAAACTAGACACCCAGGAACGGCCGCAGAGGCTTGAGGTGCGTCTATTTCTGGCCTAACGCGCCGGAATGCACAGGCTCACGTTAGAAACCCTCCTTCAAGATGACTGAGTCGACACGCCTGCGATACCGCCCAAGACCAGCTCCGCGGAATCCCCTGTGCTTCGGCCATCTCACTCCGGAATCCATGGTCTTATACGCGATGCGTTACCACGCAAATGGTCCTAGTATAAAACCAACCCCCTCCTTCTTCTCCACCTCACCCTTTCCATTCCTTGCTCTGCGCTCGCCTTAGCGTCGGTCTTTCTCCACTTCGCCCTTCTATCGACTTCAACGCACGATGAAGCTCTCTACTTCCCTTGTTACTGCCGTTTATTCTGCTGTAACGGTCGCGTCAGCTATTCCGTTCACGAATGACTACTCTGGGCGGACGAAGATGATGTGCAAGCAAACCCCGTCCCATTCTGAAGGCGCCCTGTACTGTTTGTACTTCTCCTACCGATTTCCGCTCGTCCACTCACGCAATCACCAGGGATCACTAACCACCCCGAAGAGAACTCGGTCATTGCTGCGACGATCAACAAGGACGGCAGCCTTGTGGGTTCCTGCATCTCCTTCCTCTTCGAAAGCTAATTCGTAAGCCAGAACATCGATCGTGCGGTGTCGACCGGTGGCAGGGGCCTGCACGGCAACAACACTGGTCCAGACGGCCTGTACAGCCAGGGCTCTGTAGTCGTTTCTACGGAGGCTAAGTTGTTGGCCACCGTGAATGTGAGTACTGGATATGTCGCTTCTGCAGTCTTCGGGCTGAGATGGCGTCTCTGTTAAGGCCGGTTCGAACACGCTCTCGCTGTTCACGATCGATCCCAAGTCACCCACCAAGCTCACTCCCCTGGGCTACCCCATCTCCTCCGGAGGCGAGTTCCCCATATCAGTCGCTTTCAATCCGGATGGCTCTATGCTTTGCGCTCTCAACGGTGGCTCCGTGGCCGGTGTCAAGTGCGTAGTCTTCGATATGTATCTTCAAGACACTATGCTGATTGTATTCCAGCTGCTACAGCGCCAACACGACCAGCGGGCTCACCCTGATCCCCGGCACCTTCCGCGCCATTCGGCTCAACCAGACCTACCCGCCCACCGGACCCCTCGGGACCGCCTCTCAAGTCGCTTTCTCCCCAGACGGTGCGCAGCTCATCGCCTCTGTCAAGGGCACCCCCGTCGCGGCCCCCGGTTTCCTCGCCACCTGGTCTGTCTCTGGCCGCTCGCTCACCACGGACGCCACCATGACTGCTCCCCCACCTGGTGGTCTTGCCCCCTTCTCGCTGACGCCCGTCCCCGGGCGAAACGCTATCCTGTCAGCAGACCCGGCTGTCGGCGTCGCGGTGTTCGACTTGGACAATGCGAACGCATCCTCCACGCTCGCCGTCCCGGGCCAGGCCGCGAACTGCTGGAGCGCGTACAGCAACCAAACAGGGAACTACTACCTCGCGGACATCGGGACCGCGATTATCAACGAGGTGCATGTGGATGAGAACCTGAAGCCCACGCTCGTGAAGGTGCGTTGCGAGCCGGGCTCAGAACGCGGCGGACATGTAGACTCATTTAGACTTCTGTCGCACCTAGGGATACCAGCTTGAGACCGGCTCCGGTCCGATCGATGAAGACGTCGTCACCGTGAACGGCAAGGAGTGAGTGTCTCCCACCCGTCCATTGTTGTCCCGTCTCGTCCTCGGGGCTCATCATCCCCGCAGCTTCCTCTACGTCCTGACCGCGAATCAGACCGCGGTCGACGTCCTGGCTCTCAGCGGCGGCGCCGGCAACGCCAAGAAGACCGCCACGCTCTCCTTCGCCGGCGCCGCACGCCAATACGGCGTTCCCATCAGTGAGTGTTTGGACGACGCGGTCTCTTATGAAGTCGTTTGCTGAAGCGCATGCCGGTTCGTGCAGTCGCGAGCAACCTCCAGGGCATGGCCCACTTCCTCACGGAGAAATAGCCGAGTTTGATGTCGAGTATCCCCCGTTCCACTTTATTGCTTTCGCTTCGCCGTTTGGTGCACTCGGAGGGTAGAGTGTGCAACGTCCCAATAATGACACTATGTTGATACCCCAATGTCGGATCTGTCGGCGGTCCCACCAAGGACGCGTGTATCGTGTCCGCGAGAGTCGAGCGCAAGAGGGTTGCGTAGATGCAGAAGCAGCTCTTTCCGCATCAGGCGTCCCGCCGGGCCCCGCTGACGAGCTGCTCAGCATGAGCAGAGCGGGGTCTCACGACGTAGTCGTGGAAGGGAGGTTGCCTAGAGGCAGAGTCAGCCTTGGTCAGCCCAGAAGCAACCAGAAACGTGGACTGACGCTATGACGCCGATCGTCGCCGTGTCGTGCACCAGCTCGACAGGGGACCCGTCGGCGTCGACGGGAGGAGATATGCCGAACGCGTAGAGTATCGATGCGGCGTAGATGAACATCGACGCCTCCGCGAAGTGCTGCCCGGGACAGATCCTGGGCGATTGTCAGCGGCGCTGATGCGTTGGAATGTAGCAGTACAAAGCAGTAGTACCTGCGACCGAAGCCGAACGCCCAGTCGGAAGGGTCTGGCTTGCTGGGATCCGGCTGGCCGCTCGCGTCGAGGTATCGCTCCGGGAGGAACGCGTCCGGGTCGGGGTAGAGCTCGGGATCGCGCGCGAGGCCCTGTGTACGAGAGGTCAGCGAAGCCAAACGGGGTGTACCGCGTGCGTGACGAGGAGAGCAGTAGTGCGCACCAAACGTTGACGGCGACGGCAGTCCCGGCGGGGATAAAGTACCCGTTGTACGTGTCGTCTGCCACGGCTCCGTGAGGCAGGGAGATGGGCGTGATGACGTGCCACCTCAGCAGCTCCTTGAGGAGCGCGCCGAGGTAGGGCAGGGACTGCATGTCGGAGAAGTCGGGCAGACGATCCGGTCCGACGACGCGATCGAGCTCCTCTTGCGCTTTGCGCTGGGCATCGGGGTACATCGCCATGGCGAGGAAGAAGACCGTATCACAGCGTTGGTCTGGGGTCATGGACACGGTAAGCCCGCTGGACGGGACGACCCGGTGGGGACGAGATGATACTCATGGTATCCGAGCCAGCTGCGCAACGGATTAATCAGGACCAACAGGACGGCGTGTTCGGGGAGACGTACCTGCGTAGGTGGTAATCGCCAGGTCGCCGATGAAAGTCTTCAGATCGCGCTCTCCAGCCCCCTCCAGGTCATACTTGCTCGTATCTTCGAGCAAGCGAGATAGGAGCGACTCTCGTGCGGCGCCCGCGTGCTGCAAGAAACGTGAGCATCTGTGTCGTCAGAGGTTCACGCGGCGCGGCGTCGGAAGTCATACTCACGATTCCATCCACGGCGATGTTGTACAGCGTGCTGACACACATTTCCATGTGCTCCGCGGCCTCGCGCGCCATCGTCTTGAAGCCTCCGCCTGGGAGCCACGAGGGCAGGTACTTCAGGATAGGAAATGCCTCGACGGGAAACCGGCCGGGACGATCGCTTCACCGGTCTGCGATATGCGTTCGACCATGTCGAAGTACTTGTCATCATTATCCTCGGTCATGTCTATACCGTACGCGACCTGTATCAGATTTGAGGCGACCGAACTGCGAAGCAGTAGGGAGACCGTTAATTCGCTCATTACCAGAGCCCGGACGCCATGAGGCGCGGGTGGAGCCTGTGACGTACAATTTCAGGCGTTCAGCGATGTCGTGGCGGGACTCAAGGATGGCGAACAAGAATCGCCGAGCGGAGTTCAGTTGGGCGGGTCTGAATTGGGAGACTGCGTCGATGTTGAACGACTCGTGGAAGACGCGGCGGTGGAGACGCCAGCGTTCGCCGTAGCCGCAAACAAGAAACATTCTGTCAAACGTGGTTCTAGAAATGCGATAAGCAAGGGGTTATTAACGAGGGAAAAGGGTCTACGTACAGCTCTGCCATGACAGATCCAGGGCGGTCTGAATAGTTCGCAGATCGCTTTTCAAGCAGGTCCCACCCGATTTGGTACGACCCGACGACAAGCATGGACTTGCCGAAAGCGTTCAGATACACGAGGTCGCCTACAATGAGAATCATTAGGTCTAAGTCGATCAGAATACTAGAGCGCGACAAGGTTGTTTCATACCGTACTTCTGCGTCATCTTCCAAAACTCAAGGCCCAGGTCGCGACGTGGCATGTCGAGAGCATTCCCCAAAATCGGAAGAGGTGGAGGACCCGGAGGTAGGTGACGACGGTGCTTTCGTGCTTGCAAAGACTGCCACAAGAGGGCGACAAAGACCGAGGCTGCTGCGGTCCATACCTAAGGAGAGCGCACGTCAAGGGACGTGGTGGAACTAGATTGCCGGGCTCTTCAGTTCGCTTCATATACAACATCTCGAGCATCAGATGGAAGGGTCGAAGTAGCTACCGTCACAAGCTGACGTCGGGAAAGCCGAGCACCTCATTCTTGGAAGTCCGCGCTTGAGAGACCCGTTCGATTCAATGCGAATGATGTCGATGGGCAGCCGAGATTGCCCTTGAGTAGGACTTGAGCGTTTGAGCGTTTGGTCAGGCAGACTACCAGGATGATCAGTATTTCAGCCAGCCAACTGGTATACGCACAATGCCGCCGTCACTGGGAAGCGAGTTTTTCGAAGTGGTGTCATCGAATGTCAGGGGCACTGCAGTCGGGATGAAGAGGTGCAACGCTGAAGCGCTCAAGCTCAAGGGAGCGGCCCGCCGATGGGCGTCTCTCTCTCGCCTTGTCCTTGTCATTATGAACCATCTCAATGGACTGCTCTCCAGCTCAAACACCACGGACACCCTGCCGCCCGACGTGAGAAGTCTTCCCTTCTGCCAGTTTGAGTCCCTCCGCTTCAAGACCAGGTACGGACGTACTATCACAGCTAGGCCGGTGGCCGCGATGATGTGGAAGCCGACCCACTCGCCGGTGGACGGGTTGGTGGGTGGATCTTTTCGGCAAGCGGTGGACGAGTCGGGGACGCGGGGGAGACTGGCTGCGATTTCAAGAAACACTACATAATCTAATTAGAGTTATCGACGGTACTCGTATGCTAAGCGTTGCAGTAAGTAAGCTATAATACACGCGGATATCCAGGGCTAATAGTATGAATAAGTATGCAGGTCTGTGGAGCAGGCATAGATGTACGTGTGTGAGAGAGAGACAGAAAATACAAATGCGAGGAGGACGGCGGCGCGCACCGATGCAACGAAACCCAGTCCGAGCCCAGAGACCAACGGAGAGGACCTACACGGGATCACGCCGAGGCCTTCTCCCCCTCGACCGACGCCGGCCGTGACGGCTTCCGCGGCCCGTCCCCCGTCGGCGCGTACTTCGACCGCCGCCGCAGGTGGTGCCCGTACCGCCGCAGCACGAACGGGATCGGCGTCATCACGAGCGCGAGCAGGCCCAGGAGCGTGCTCGCCCACCGCGGGTTCAGCGTCTCGTACATCTGCGTCGCGAACAGCGGGAACCCGGCCCCGAACAGGCTGCGCACGACCGTCATCGCGCTCAGCGCCGACGCCGCGACGAACAGGTACGCGTCGATCACGTAGTTGAAGAGCCCGAGGAAGAGGAAGATGACGGCGACGCCCATCGGGAGCCCGGAGAGGAGCGGGGCCCAGTAGGAGACGGAGGGGAAGGACGTCCAGCCGAACCAGAAGAAGGAGAGGGTGTAGATCGGGGCGGCCCACATGCAGATCTCGAGGCGGTATTCGGGCGGGACGGGGTGCGGTGCGAATTCGGCGATAGCGCGCTGGTAGCGGGGGTTGAAGAAGAGGAGGTACGCGCCGACGCCGATGGCGCCGCCGACGAAGATGGGGAGGAAGGTGAGCCCAGTGAGGCCGGCGTTGAAGCCGTGGCCGACTGTGAAGACGATCGGATACGCCTCGAAGAGGAGGTAGATGACTCCGTAGACGAACTGCGGGAACTAAAGTCAGCGATGCGGTCGGGATGCGTGTGCGTGTGGGACGTACACTCATGTAGAGGGTGATGGCGACGAGCATGGGCTCGTTGGCGAGGACGACGAATGGCCGGGAGAGGACGTGGCGGATGTGCGGCAGGATCTCGAGGTTGTTACGCTCCAGCGGCGCCCAGTAGCGGTCGTTGCCCGTGTCCTTCCGGAGCTTCTGCGCACGCTTGACGAGGATGATCGGCCTGCAGAGCGCACTCCGTCAGTCCTGCCGTAACCAAGACGCCGAACGGCGAGACGACGTACGCGTAGGTCTCGGGGAGGAAGAAGACGATCGCGATCGTGCATACACCTGCGAAGATCGCCTGCAACCAATACACCCACTCCCACTTGACGCCAGCCACAGCCATGAAGCCGCTGACGGTCGGACCCAGCGACGGACCTGCGAAAGGCGCGAGGGTGAACAACGCGAGCGCCTTGCCACGCGTGTCCGCGTCCCATATGTCCGAGATGACGGCCCTGTACACACGTAACCATCAGCCTCGAGAAGGAGGGACCCACAAGGAGCACACGATGACGTACCCGCTGTTCGCCAGGGGTGCCGCAGCGAATGTACCGCCCAGGAAGCGGAAGATGAGGATCGCGGCGGTGTTGGGCGCGACGGCGCACGCGATCTGGAAGATGGTGTAGACGACGAAGGAGCCGATGAACACCGGGCGCCGGCCGACTTGCTCAGAGAGCGGGCCCCAGACAAGGGACCGACGCAATAGCCGGCAACGAAAAGAGAGATGGTGAGAACTGCCACCTCGTTGCCGAACCCGAACTCCTCCTTCATTTGCGGGATGATGCCGGACGGCGCGGAAGACGAGAACGTGCTGTAGGAGACCGACATTGAGGATCGACGAGAAGCGCAGAGACGAGAAAGAGACGTACGCATTGAGGACGAGGACGGCGGAGAGCATGGTGATGACCCAGCGCTGGGGCGGGGCCATGCCTTGGGATTGTCGACGTCGTCTGGGTGCATGAGGACCTCAAATTGGTCGACAGGCTTTTCTCCGGGCGCCGGTCCGTATGCTTCGTGCTCGAAATCAACGTTGACATCTTCTGCGGCGGCTTCGGGGGTCTCGACGAAGGTTGGTGTGCGGGAGGTGGTCTCTTCAGTCGACTGGGGGAGGCTTGCTGATGGCTGCATGGGAGGCATGGCGGAGGAGAGAAGGGAACCCGAGGACTGCGAGGAGTCGGGAGGTGAGATGGAGGAGAAGGTGGTTGAATCCGAGGACTGGAGGGCGTGGCCGACAGGGCGAGAAGCTATATACGACCGTACCCACCGGACGACCGAGCACTCGGCAGACCAGAAGGTACAAGTGAATCAGTGATTATTGATCACCGGGAATGCGTACCCACCGCACGGAAAGTCAGCAGGGCATTGTCACCGTTGCATAGATCGTGTTCAGATCTCTACTATTCAGAATTGCAGTGCAGGCTGACACATCGGATCCGCGTGCCCGGGGGCGCCTCCTTTGATAAGATCTACTGCCTGCGACCCTCCTCGCCAAGCTCGCTGTCAGAGTGGTATACTGCATAGCACCAGGCAGTTTTGGTGCGGTTCGCGCTCTGGTTTCTTCGTTTGGATGGTGAGACACCTTGCAGGGAGGTGGAGAGAGGCAGAAAGAGTAAGAGAGGGTTCAACACAGCCACTCGTGGGCAAGCGCCGCGCTAGTTACCTGGTCGTGCGCTTCCGTCGGGTCCATGTCAGTCATGTCTCGTGCGTTTATAATTACATCATCCCAGGCGACTCGCACAAAACTACATCGCTCGCTCGCTCAGCGTGCGGCTTTCATATCTTTGAATGTCAGGGAGGTGTTGATGCTTCACTGGATAGAGGTGGCATGCTTGACCAGGTCAGAACTCGTCGTGCTGAGAGGAGATGGACTGACCCACATACTCCGTTGCAATGTTTGTTGGCCCCTTGTGGCTCGCATTCCTCCGTCTCCTCCCCGCTGTCCGCCAATCGGCGTCCGCTGACTCGTCGCACGCCCCCGCTCAGCCCGGGATGCAATGTCTGACAGCTCATGACATAGCTAGTCGCTGCGGATCGATCCGGGGCGATCCCCGCGATGCTGCGGAACTAGCGCCCATATCTTGCTGCAACTCTGCGCCGTGCGGCGTTCCAGGCTCCAGTCCGCGGCCACCATCGCCTGAGCGACGCTCCGCTTACAACCTGCTCCTCAGGTTACTGCAACTCCCCCAGCGTCGGGCCCGCGACCGCGCGGAATCCGATGGGCTCCGCTTGGGTTGGCAAGGATTTAACCCCAATTCTGGCGTCCACCCTTTTGTGCACGCGGCCTCGCACGGTCGGAAATAGCGCGCACCAAAACCTCTCACTGGGTTCCGGCGCAGCCGTGGCGTAGCACGTATACGAAGTAAGTGAAAAATATACATAAGCTTGCGATATCCCGGCTGTCGGAACGTCAACCCCCGCTCCTCTCGGAGTGCGACATCGTGCAGAGCACGTCTTATCGCGATGAAGCCGCGCACCGCGCTGCAGTGGAGTTGGCCGGTGAGCATCTACTACTGAGAGCTGAGCGCTGAGCGCTGATGGAGATGCTGGCCACCGAGATCTCACTCACACGACCCGCTTTCCGAACGGAACAGGCAGACCAATTTCCCGCACAAACGCGGCACCCAACTTTCCGTGGCACGGGTCCGACGGGTCCTGCCGCCGCCGCTGACGGCGAGGTCAAGCCACTTTGTCGTGCGCAGCACAAGGTCTTCCTGGTGCTAGTCGCGTATATGGAATGGTGCACAGCCGTCTGGCGGTCCGCGCGCGTCGCGCCCGCACGGATGTACGTGCTTCTGTCTTCCTATGACTCAGTGTTATCCGGGCCACATAGCTCCGAACGACAATCCTGCGGCGCCCAGATTTTAACGCTCAACGTTCGTGGAGGTGCCGCGCGCGCGCCGGGCAGTCCATACGACCACTCGGAGCACACTCCCTGGTTGAAGCTCGGAGCCTGGGCGCGGGGCGGTCGCGGGGCGCGTCGAATGCTCGCCGGCGCGGCTGGGGACGATGCGTTCGATCCAAGTCGTCGTCGACTACGAGACTGATGAGATGTGTTCAATACCCTCCCGCCTGAGGGCTTGCAAGACCCACACGGAATCGGTACTCCCTGCGCGCGCCCAAGTATCTCAAGACCGCTGTCCGACTGGAGGGCTCTCCCGCGTCTCTTGTTGAAGTGTGTCTCGCACTCGCTCACCGCGGACGGGATGCGGGCGCCCGTCCACACTTGTCGACCGTCCGGCGCCGGCGTATACCGATCAGTTCACACAACGGTGGGCTGCCGGCCGCTTCTCGTGCGCACTCTCCGGCTGCTTCGTGCACTTCGCTTTGTCCTTCATAGTGGGCGCCATGGTTTCGTTAGACTCTAGATATGGGCGAATTTTACATAGCGGCTGCCCTAGGACACCGGCGGATGCGCGGCGGGGTCGGCTGCTGGTGTCCCGGACGCGTGGGATGCACAAGCAACAAGTAAGTACTGCGATTATAGCTCGGACATGCGGTCCGCTGACTCGCATGCATTGGACCGATGGGGACTGACGGGGAGGGGGGCTGCGGATCACGTACTTACGCGGGCGCGAGGGAGACGAAGAGGAGGGTGCGCGCTGGGGACGCCACGCGGCACCCAATATTGTTAGGGACGTGGGACCGGGGTGGAGTTCGAAGAGGATGCGTCGTCTGCGCCCAGGTACATGGGTGAGCTAGAAGCGGCTGTGGACGGTGCTGGAGGTGAGTAGTGCCTGTAGTGCGGTGCATGGGACAATACCCCGTTCCTACTATCACGTCTGCCTTCTGCTTCTACGCTTCTCTGGAAAACGAGGGTGCGAGGACTGGAGATAAGCTGCCGTAATTCGTGAACTCGAACTGTCCAGGCATCCCGCCACACCTGACCGGGCAAGGATGTTTCACGGAGCTGAGACGCGTCGCGGATGTCGAATGGCAGCCAGCTTGAGGAAATGCGAGGGCGTAAGTAGGCAGTCTGAGCTGACAGAAGATTCAGTGAAGGACATCCGCGGGTTCTCACACGCACAAGACGATGACGTCGATGCTGATGCAACCTGCTTCCTGTACATGTCCGCCTGCCGTGCAGACCACAGACGATAGGCGGGCATGGCGGGCGCCGGCCAGACGGCGGGCTCCACGTCGCGCGCGCCGACAGCGCATGGCAGTCGACTAACCGCGTCGGTGCGCGCGGTGTGCCCGCTCGACGCCATTGTGCGGCGTGCGGCGACGGTTGCGCGACGCACACGCCTGCCGGACGGGGGCGGGGGGACTCGCGAGATCTGCGCGTGCGGCGTGGCAGCGCGCGAAGAGCTTCTCCAGGGCGACATAAAACTCTCGCGGTCGATGTGGGCGCCCGTCGCCCCCGCCTCTGTGACCCGCTCCCCCGCCCCGCTGGGCACTGCAGGCGACGCTGCCCCCGCCGCCGTGGTCCAAGTCGGTGCCGTGCCGCGCGAGAAGGCCCGTGCGCACGCCGGGCGAGGAATCGCTCGTCCCAGATCCCGATCGGCGCGCAAACACAAACGCGCCGTGCTCCAGGTGCCCATGGTCAGCACGCCGATTCCCTGTTCCCGCCCTGCCGCCCCCGCCCATCTGCCCGCCGTTGACCTCGTCCTCGCCCACGCCCCGCTCCGCCCGCGTCAGCAGGCGTCCGCCTCGCCGCCACCCCTGGCCCCGCAAGTCGGCGGCTGGTTCCCGTTCGACGCCGGGCCCCTCGCCGCCCGCGTCGTCCGCTTCACCATCGACGAGATCCAGCAGGCCTCCCGCGGTCGCAGGTGCGCCCGCCCCCTCCCCGTCCCCATCGCCGCTCACGGATCGCAGATACGGCCAGGCCGACAAGCGGCCGCTGGACCCGCCCCCCGTCGTCCGCCTCCGCGCCTTCCAGCTCCAGCACGCCGGCACGCCGTACGAGGCCGAGGTCGAGCTCGACAGCTACGAGTGCGTCTCTCTTCTCTCCCCGCACTCGCCCCGTCATCTTCCCCGCACTCCCGCGTGCTCGTCCGCGCGGCTTTTCCGTTCACCCGCGCCCCGCCCCCGGCTCACCGCGACCACAGTGACCAGCTCACGCACGACCTCATCTGCCACATCGACCTCTTCTCTGTCCCCCGCCCGCGTGTTCTTCGCCCGCCCACGGCCTCGCTCTCCCCCGCTCAGCAGCAAGAACAACCGCAGCAACCGCAGTATGTGTGGCCACCTCCCGACCCGCACAACGGTACGGCAGCGCGTCCGCGGAGTCCTCGACCTCAACGTCCACCTCGCGGCAGCAAGTGCCGGAGCCGGGCGCACCGTGGCCGTTCAGGCCGGAGGCGATGTGCACGGAGCATTTCGGGGGGAGCACGTTCGTCGCGTGCCGTCCGGTGGAGTACCAGGGTGCGCAGGCGGCGATGTTCGTCTTCGCGGTGCGTCTCTCGCTCGAGCCTCTCTCACGTAGCGCTGACCCATATCCACAGGACCTCGCAGTGAACGGGAGGGCTGGTTCGCACCGCGGTACCGCGTCTTCCAGATCGGCGGCAAGGTGCGCGGGTGCGACGACATCCCAGTGCTCGCGAGTGCTACGGCGGCCCGTTTGAGATCTTCTCGACCAAGAACTTCCCCGGCCTCCCTCCGTCGACGGAGCTCACAAAGGTGCGTCTCTATCCTCTGCTCTCCCTATGCTCCTCTTTCCTCTTTCCTCTCTGCTCCTCTTCCCCCTTCCTCTCTGCTCCTCTCTCCCCCTTCCTCTCTCCCTGCTCGTCCCCGCGCCTCCATCCGTCCCTCGCACACTAACCCCACGTTATCCTGCGCAGCAACTCTCCTCGCAAGGCATCTCCCTCAACTCACGCCTCACCAAGCGCAAGGCCGGCACGCCCAAGTCCACCGGTCCCCCTGCCCCGCGTTCCCGCGTCGGCGAGCGGGAGCGACTCGCGGCAGCAAAGCGCAAGCGTGAGGCGGACGCCGCCGCTACGGCCTCGTCGCCGTCGCAGGCGGGCAGCAGCCCGCCCTCGGTGCAAGACCGGTACTACGACCATCACCCGCAGGCTCCGGCTCAGGGACACGGTTCATCACCGTGGCCGCACCCTGGCTCGCAGCAGTGGACGGGGTACGGCGGTGTGCCGGTCGGAGTCGGGGCGGAGCCGCCGCCGGACTCGCCGGAGGTACTGAGCTCGGGGCAGGACGACGGGGCGGTGTATCGCCCGTGGTGAGTGCGCTTCCGGGATGGAGAAGAGGGAGAAAAGGCGCGTTTGGCGGGCGAGTCGCCCGTGAGGTATGCTCTATTCTTCGTTTTCGTGCTCGTGTTGTGCTCGTGATTTGCGCCGCGTCTCTGTGCGTGCCCGATGGTTCGATACCCGTATATGCTTCCCATTTGCGTCCTCGGCCCACCCCTATGCGCCCGGTGACTCTGATATGTGATATACCTGGCTCGGACGTTGGACGGTCTCCGTGACGCCGCTTCGCAGGGCGTTCGCCTCGGAATGTTTCTTGTGTACGATTACGTCTGCGCTCTCGTCCGGTCTCGGCTTCGGCTTGCTCTATGTACGTGCTGGATTATACCTCTCTAGACACGACGCCTTCTGTTGCTCTCCCCTCCGCCTCCTGTGTCCCGTGTCCCGCTCTCGTGGTGTATCGTAGTACTTTGGCGTGTGTACGTGGTCTCGGACGGCGGTGAATGTATCGTTACCCCCCTGTTGGTGTGCGACGCTCATGTAAAGCTCGTCAACGACGCAGGCTGGTTTTGAGAGCTGAAACTGTCACTCTCAGTGCATCCTTATCCTCTAAGCTCGAGAGGAAGCCGTGGAGAGCCTGAACACGGTCACCAACCGACCGACGCGCGTCGCGACCTCTTGACTTGCGGGAGGCGGAGGAGCGCGAACCTCAAGGCGATACGCCCGGCCGATGACTTAGGTGGTTCTGTTGTGTCGAGAAGCTCACGAGTCCAATCAATTGGCAAAGGATAATCCTCAGCGCTGCGAGTGCTTTCGCGGAGAAAGAGTTGAACTGGGTCATCTCCCGGTTGTCCCCTCCCGGTCCGTCGCTGGTGAGCAGCACGAAAAGTTCTACTAATTAGCATGTTGCATGTACATGTGGCAGTCAGTGACTCGGTGCACGCCTAGTGAGGATGCACGCTGAGCGAGCGAGTAGCGCATGTACGCCATTTGTACGAGCTGAAGCCTGGCTTGGCATGTGATCCACGTGGACCCGACATTGTGCCGAGCCGACGGAAGCGCACGACCAGGCAACTGTCGCGGCGCTTGTCGACCAGTGGCTGTGACCTTTTCTCTTCCTCCCTCCTCCTTCTAAGGCGTCTCATCATCAAATGAAGAAAGCGGAGCGCGAACCGCACTCATCCGCCTCTTTGCCATGCAGCACACCACTCGGACATCGAGCTTCTGGCGAGGAAGGCATGAAACGCCGGCGGTCTTATCGAGGGAGGCGCAACCAGTCTGCAATTCTGAATGGTCGAGATCTATGCAGCGGTGACGATACCCTGCTGACTTTCCGTGCGTTTCGTACGCACTCCCGGTGCTCAATAATCATCTGTGTCGTTTAGTCCGAGTTCTCGGTCTTCTGGTGATATATAGCTTCCCGCCTTGTTGGCCAGGCCCTCCAGTCCTCGGATTCAACCACCTTCTCCTCCATCTCACCTCCCGACTCCTCGCACTCCTCGGGTTCCCTCTGTTCCGCCGCAATGCTCCCATGCAGCCATCGGGAATCCTCCCCCAGTCACAGAGAGACACCTCCCGCACACCAACTTTGTCGAGACCCCGAAGCCGCCGCAGAAGATGTCAACGTCGAGTTCGAGCACGAAGCATACGGGCCGGCACCCGGAGAAAAGCCGTCGACCAATTGAGGTCCTCATGCACCCAGACGACGTCGACAATCCCAAGGCATGGCCCCGCCCAGGCGCTGGGTCATCACCATGTTCTCCGCCGTCCTCGTCCTCAATGCGTACGTCTCTTCTCTCGTCTCTGCGCTTCTCGTCGGTCCTCAACGTGGGTCTCCTACAGCACTTCTCGTCTTCCGCGCCGTCCGGCATCATCCCGCAAATGAAGGAGGAGTTCGGGTTTGGCAACGAGGTCGCAGTCCTCACCATCTCTCTTTTCGTCGCCGGCTATTGCGTCGGTCCCTTGTCTGGGGCCCGCTCTCTGAGCAAGTCGGCCGGCGCCCGGTGTTCATCGGCTCCTTCATCGTCTACACCATCTTCCAGGTCGCGTGCGCCGTCGCGCCCAACACCGCCGCGATCCTCATCTTCCGCTTCCTGGGCGGCACATTCGCTGCGGCACCCCTGCGAACAGCGGGTACGTCATCGTGTGCCCTTGTGGGTCCCTTCTTGAGGCTGATGGTTACGTGTGTGCAGGGCCGTCATTTCAGACATATGGGACGCGGACACGCGTGGAAGGCGCTCGCGGTGTTCACCCTCGCACCTTCGCGGGTCCGTCGCTGGGCCCGATCGTCAGCGGCTTCATGGCCGTCGCGGCGTCAAGTGGGAGTGGGTGTATTGGTTGCAGGCGATCTTCGCGGGGGTCTGCACGGTCGCGATCGTCTTCTTCCTCCCCGAGACCTACGCGTACGTCTCCGCGCTCATCGGCGTCTTGGTACGGCAAGACTGACGGAGTGCCCTCTGCAGGCCGATCATCCTCGTCAAGCGTGCGCAGAAGCTCCGGAAGGACACGGGCAACGACCGCTACTGGGCGCCGCTGGAACGCAACAACCTCGAGATCCTGCCGCACATCCGCCACGTCCTTCCGGCCTTCGTCGTCCTCGCCAACGAGCCGATGCTCATCGCATCACCCTCTACATGAGGTACGTCCCCAGCCTCCCACATCGGCCATGTCGCTGACTCTGTCCCCGCAGTTCGTCTACGGGGTCATCTACCTCCTCTTCGAGGCGTATCCGATCGTCTTCACCGTCGGCCACGGCTTCAACGCCGGCCTCACTGGGCTCACCTTCCTCCCCATCTTCGTCGGCGGCGCCATCGGCGTCGGCGCGTACCTCCTCTTCTTCAACCCCCGCTACCAGCGCGCCATCGCCGAATTCGCCCCGCACCCCGTCCCACCCGAGTACCGCCTCGAGATCTGCATGTGGGCCGCCCCGATCTACACCCTCTCCTTCTTCTGGTTCGGCTGGACGTCCTTCCCCTCCGTCTCCTACTGGGCCCCGCTCCTCGCCGGGCTCCCGATGGGCGTCGCCGTCACCTTCCTCTTCCTCGGGCTCTTCAACTACGTCATCGACGCGTACCTGTTCGTCGCGGCGTCGGCGCTGAGCGCGATGACGGTCGTGCGCAGCCTGTTCGGGGCCGGGTTCCCGCTGTTCGCGACGCAGATGTACGAGCGGCTGGACGCGCGGTGGGCGAGCACGCTCCTCGGGCTGCTCGCGCTCGCGATGACGCCGATCCCGTTCGTGCTGCGGCGGTACGGGCACCACCTGCGGCGGCGGTCGAAGTACGCGCCGACGGGGGACGGGCCGCGGAAGCCGTCGCGGCCGGCGTCGGTGGACGGGGAGAAGGCCTCGGCGTGAGCGCGCGTCGGTCCTCTCATGTCGCTGTCGCTGTCGTTCTCCGGGCTCGGACTGGGTTTCGTTGCATTTGTGCGGGCCTGTAACGGCCGCGCGCCACCGTCCTTCCTATCGCATTTTCATTTACTCCCACACATGGCATGCCTGCCCTATAGACTGCGCCTAGTTATTCATAGTGATATCCCCGGCTTTCCGCGACTATTATAGCTTCTCTCCTGCACCACTTACTGGGTATACGAGTGTCGTCCGATATCCCTCTAATTAGGATGACACAACGGAAAAACGCTTGTCACGACTTTGACCCCCCCTTTCAATCGCCGTAGCCGAGCCTCGCCGCGTCCGTATTGCACGCATTCAACATATATATCGCCTCCCGTCGACAAGAAGGGCGTTTCCGTAGAGCTTGTGCACGGCACGGCGACGATAGGGGTCGTAGCGTCAGTCCGCGTTCCTGCTGTCTTCGTTTATGACCTGAGTTGAAACGCTAACGCGACTGCTGTCAGACATCCTCCCTTCCACGACTACGTTGTGGAGCCCCACGCGTGCTGAGGAGCTGATAAAAGAGGCCCGGCGAGGCGTTTGAGAGTACTATATATCGGTTCTCACGAGGTCTTGGTGATTGGGCAGAACACCTTTCGTCCAGTGACGTACGGGCACGACAGACGAAGCGAACTTCATGTACTCTACAGACCGCACGAAGGGCCACACCCCACCCAGCGCCCTCACTGCTCATCCGTCCTGCGAAGACGACGACGTGAGTATCAAGTCGGCGCGCCGTCCCAGCGGGGCTTGATCTCGCAGCCAAACTCGAGGGGCCGACTGAAGACCGCCTACATCAGCACCGACAACGTACTCGAGGAGATCAAGAAGCGGCACCCACCAAGTGATCGCGCTCGTCGTGAACCTCGCCTCGAGCTTGCGCGGTGCCCCGCGGCGTCCACGCCCGGGGTGACCGTGAACGCGTGCAAGATCGACGCGAACGAGAGGAAGAGCGTCCGGTCCGCGAGGTGGCGGCCGGGGCAGATCCTGGCGGAACACGGTGAGCCGCGCGCATCCCATTACATGGAGCACCCAACAACGCTCACCTGCGGCCGAAGCCGAACACCCAGTCGTACGGGTCCGCCGCGGGGTCGACGTGGAACTCGCCGTCGCGGAGGAAGCGTCGGGCCTGAGCTCCTCGGGTCCGGGAAGACTTCGGGTCGCGCGTGTACGCCCTGCGTGGCGCGGCGGCCGGTCGTCAGCTTGCGCACGTATCACCACCGCTGAGGTTCGTGGACGCGTACCAGATGTTCGCGATGACGAGCGCGCCCTTCGGGATGCGGTAGCCCGCGTACTCGTCGTCGCGCGTCGCCGTGTGCGGGATCCCGGTCGGGACGATGACGTGCCAACGGAGGAGCTCGCGGAGGAGCGCATCGATGTACGGGAGCGAGGGGCGGTCGGCGAGTGTGGGGAGACGGAGGCGGCCGACGACGGCGTCGATCTCGGCTTGGGCGCGCTTTTGGATGTCAGGGTGCATAGCGAGAGCGAGGAAGAGGCCCTCGACGGCGGATTCGGTCTGTGGAATGAACGCGTGAGGAGATTGTTGCCACACGAGAGGTATGATTACTGACGGTCTCCGCGCCGGCTGATGTTTTCCCGATTAGCTTGAGATATGGGTGGAAGACGAACGGGGATGGACAGACCTGTGTACAGCGTCCCAGTGACACCCCAGATTTTCCTCTCAGCCTCTGCCAACTCGTCTCTAGTCAATGTCGTAGAAGCGATCTTTGAGACTTCTTCGTTGACGATGGATTGCTTGTCCTAATGTCCGCGATGGATTACGTCACATCATATCCACGCTGGTGAGGACAGGACCTCAATCACTCACCGTCTCAAGCTTCCCACGTTCATACACATTCACGAGCACGGCATTGACCTCCTTCTTGATGTCGGCTGCAGTGCGCTTGAACCCGGCGCCAGGCATCCAGTCCGGGAGGTGCCTTAAGGGCGGGAAGAAGTCCACGATGTACTTCCCCGGAACGAGAATCTCCGTTCCGGTCGTCAAGATCGAGCGGAGTCCGTTGATGTGCCGGTTCTTGTCACTCTCCTCCATGCTTGGGAGGTCGAGCCCGTACGCGATGCGCATCGCGGTTGTCGCGAATGCCCTGTGTTCATCGTCAGCCTCAGTCCACCTAGTAGTCGGACGAAGGAGCAACTCACATCGTGATGTGCTCCACGAAGCGATCTGGATCCTCGAGCAAGTCTCGCAGCATCGTCGCGGTCGATCGCATCTGCACGTCCTCGAACTTTTCAAGCGCGCTTGGAAGGAGCGCCTGGTGCATGATACGTCGGTGGGCGCGCCACTGGGCGCCGTACTGGAAGATCGTGCTCGACCATTCGTACCACCCGACCCTGTTGCACGATATTCAGTTGGAGGTGACGCGGTAGCTGAGGAGATGTCAGACGCACAGTTCGAACATCGTGGATCCTGTCCGGTCAGAGTAGATCGATGAGCGGGTTTCCATGAGCGCCTTGGCGTGCTCGGGCTTGTTGAGCACGACGGCGTGCATCCCGAACACGTTGAAGTGCATGATGTCCCCTGGAAGACCTGTTCGAGCAGAGTTCAAAGTAATGAAAGGAAGGGGCGTACCATACGCTTCAGAGAGAGCGCGGAACTTGCGAGCTTGGTCCTGGTTCGGGAAATCGTATAAATTGCCTATGATTGGCCAGCCCTTCGGTCCAGGCGGAAATGGAAGCGATCGCCGTCTGGTTGCCAGCTTGTAGAAAACAAAGGCAGCTACGCCGAGCGCAATGCAGACCGATGCCGAAGAAGTGTCGAACGAGAGTGAACCCATGAGAACAGAGGTAGCGGGGCGGCTGTAGGGGCGGCTGTGAGGTGAGAGGCGAGGATGCTGCTCGACGCCGGCATCGACCGGCATATATAGTCCTGTATTCCTGGCCAGCTCGGCGTTGCCTGGTGGTTGGGAGTCACTTCGCTAGTTGCTGAACCGGAGCCTCGTAGTGACCCCGTACATACACGGCGCCCGGGCTCCGGGCTTGACGCGAGTGGCGATGTCGGAACTGGTGGAAGTTGCCCGACTGGATCGGAAATGGCCTCTGATCTCTGCGTGAGTCGTGACTGACTGATGATGATGATGATGATGTATTCGTGCCAGAACTCTAAACGTGAGTCGTGACTGAAAGCCATGAAAAAGGGCAGACCGCTTGGTGCTGTGACGCCCAGCAATTCTTCCGACCGGAGTGCGTCGAAAAGCGCCTGAGAGACAGGACGTCAGCGAGATGCGCCAACACCAAAAAGCACCGGAGTGTTCGAAGACTTCGACGACTCGAGGTGAGTCACATCCAATTGAGTACGGCGTCAGGCCTCGGCAACCGTAGAGAATTTGGACTACAAACTCACCGATTCATTTAGCGTGAGTACGTTCCTGTAGGCAATCGGTGCATCTGACCAGCACCCATGTGATACTCGGTATGTATCGCCCACGTCTCGGCAGAGCTGACCAGCAATATGCAATGTGCATTGTGAGCGGGGGCCTGTGCATCAGCAGACTTCAATCGCAGGATGAGTAGCACTGCACTGTTGAGTGCGGCCGAGGTTGTGCCCGACTTGGAAGAGAGGCTAGTCGTCTAACCTACACGTGCCTGCATAAGCTGAAGTGCTCGAGAAGGAGTCCCTCATGTGGGGGTAGTTGAAACGGGGCACTATCGATGACGTACGGCGGGATCCTTATGGGGCAACTTTACCACGGTCACGCGACTTACACTTCCGCCCGCGGCCCAGCCATCAATGCGCACCAACGCCCAGGCGCTCAGCTGTGGGCTACTGCCAGACAGCCACATACAGACAATGGGCTTGTACGTACATCCACCCTCCCCCAACTACTTTTCCCGCTGCTTTCTCTCACATTCTCTGCTGTCCGTACTGCCACAAGTCGCAACGCATCATGCCGTAGCCCGAAGGCCTCATCAAATATTGCACCGCTCCGATTCGGTTCAACGTTGAATACGTGAGCAACGACTCCGTCTTGCCGATGTGGAGGGATTCTCATATACAGAACATGTACAGGAGAAAGAGATGAAAAGGTATGTTTGCACCTTTTGTATAGCATTGTTTCTCGTATTATGCAACACGTTGTGCCGGGTCTACCTCCTTTGCGCTGTGGCGTACACTAAGAGCGGTCGTGCTGAGCTTCGGTGTGACACACACTAGCAGGCTCGAGGGATGCTTAAGGCGGCATCGGTTGCGGACTCTGTATGGACCGCAAACTTCTCACCCTACCCATGTGCTCCCCGAAGAGAATACTCCATCCCCGGCTGAGGTGACGTACTCCTCTCATGCGCAGTCATCCTCCCATCTAACAACGCGCTCTCGTGTGCATAGGCGTGACGTCCATTTCCCTCCCACCCAGTCCGCCATGTATGTACCGGTGATTGAACAGTACGGAGCAACTTCAGGCGCTGATGGCTCCAATGACGAACATGGTACATGGGATAGTACCCATATAACCAATTCCAGGCGCTCGCGGGATCGCTTGAGAGTCTCCGCCTATGCCCATGCGGAAGGAAGCCTGCCAGCACGCAAGACATTCCCGCGACTTGGTGTACGTAAGTTTTTTCGGGCGCACTATCATCATGGCGACCCTTCGATTCTGACGCCCTCGACAAGGTATATCAGGCTTTGCTCGACGGTGAATAACCCTCCAACCCACTCCGACTATGGTCCCCGACGTGCCTTCTCCCTGGGTATGGACCGTTGTTGCATCGGTCTTTGTCGCCCTGTATTGGCATTCTCAAGCACAAAGACACCGTCGCCGCCTGCCACCAGGGCCCACCCCTCTCCCGATTCTTGGAAATGTGCTTGACATTCCACGACATCACTTGGGTTTGGAGTTCTGGAGGATCTCACAGAAATACGGTAAGGAAGGATGCTATCTTTACGCTCGAGCCTTCAGCTGACCGATGCCTGATCCAGGTGACCTCGTGTATCTGAATGCGCTCGGGAAGTCCATGCTCGTCGTCGGCTCGCACCGAATCGCGCGGGAGTTGCTCGAGAAGCGGTCCGTGAACTACTCCGACAGACCAGGTTCAGTCATGGCAGAGTTGTACGTTTCTTTGGTTTCCTCGCTGGCGATCGCTTCCTCACTCAGACCTGCAGGACACAGTTCGACCGATTTTTCATCACTCAACGCTACGGCGAACGCTGGCGTCTGCATCGCCGCGTCTTCCACAAATCCTTCAATGTCGGTTCGGTAGAACAGTACCGGCCCATCCAACTGAATTCGGCAAGGAGATTCTTGGCTGCCGTCTTCGACTTCCCCCGCGATATCGCGACGCGTTTGAAATTGTACGTCAATTGGCTTCTCGTGATTCCGGCCTGTTCCGTGCGTGGCCGTCCCAGCTAACCCTCTACGCTTCACAGCGCTATTGCGTCGAGTCTGATCCTGATTGCATACGGCATAGACATGAAGGAGAGGAATGACGAATACTTCGAGATGGTCGGACGCATCGCCGAGACCGGTGAGACGATCTCCGTCCCTGGTCGCTTCCCTGTCGAGGCGTTTCCGAGCCTGCGGTATCTGCCCTCGTGGTTCCCAGGCGGCGGGTTCAAAGTGATGGCGCGAGACGCTGGGGCTCATATGGAGAAGACTATCAGCAAGCTCTACAGCATCGCCGTGGAAGGGATTGTGAGTCGCCGACCAATGTCATTTGGCGCAATTGGGCTGACCACTCTCGAAGCGTTCTGGATCTGGGTGTGAGTCGTTCGTGTCTGGTCTGCTTGACGATGCGAAAAAGTACGACCTCGAGGGCGCCGGTGAGCGCGATTTGGAGACGTTTGTAGGAGATTTGGCACTTACCGTCTACGCCGGTACGTCTCGTCGCTATCGGCCGGTACTTTTGTACTCACAGACTTATTTATCCAGCTGGCGCGGATACGGTGAGGTCCTATTTCTTCGCCTGGACCGGTCCAACGGGCTCATGGTGTTTTTTGACCTTAGTCAAACGCGGCGATGCAAGCTTTTTTCCTTGCCATGGCCATGCACCCCGACGCCCAGCGAAAGGCACAAGAAGAACTCGATCGCGTTGTGGGAACAGATCGTTTGCCCGACTTCTCCGACATGGCGTCCCTTCCCTACATCCGGGCGCTACTCAAAGAGCTGCTCCGATGGCACGTCATTACGCCCATCTCCTTGCCTCACGCAGTCATGACCGACGACATGTACGACGGGTACTTGATCCCCGCCGGATCCGCTGTAACCGTCAATGTTTGGTGAGCGTGATTTGCCGTTATCGTCTCTCGGGGGGCTCATTGGGCATGTCTAGGGGCATTGCGCGCGATCCTGAATTATACCCTGACCCTGACGCGTTCCGCCCGGAACGGTTCCTCGACGCGAACAGCCAACTGGACCTCACCAGGTCCGACCCCTCGGATTACGCGTTTGGGTTCGGTCGCAGGTACATAATTGGTGCTTTTCCCTTGAAAGGCTGCGATGTTGCTAACATCTGTCTAGGATTTGCCCCGGCCAGCATTTCGCCGAGGCGTCCCTCTTCATATACGCGGCGTCGATACTCCATGTCTTCAGCATATTACCTCCCGTCGACGACAAAGGCGTCCCCATCCAGCTTGTGCATGACACAGCGACGATGGGTGTTATAGCGTAAGTCCTCCATTCTGTATAAGTATGCTGGACCCCAAGAAGCTGACGCTAGTGCTAGTCATCCTCATTTCCATGACTATGTGGTGAAACCCCGTTGTGCGCGTTCTGTGCAGCTCGTTCAAGAGGCTTGTCGGGACACTTGAGGTGAGGGGTTAGTGCATATAGCCGTACTCTATTGCGGCACATGCCTTCTCCTGGGACTTATAAACAGCTGCGCGCGTCGTAAGCGCTCGTGCGCACGGCCGCCAGGAAGAGCGAGAGGAGGGGGCCATTGGTGGGGTTGCGGAAGAACTAGACCGCGTGCTCGCGCAGCGATCGCGGAGTCGGCGGCAAGCGAGTGTGGAGAGATATTCCCAGCCGTACTCGTCCCTCAATCAAATGTGATGTACCGTAATCGGGTAGTAAAAATGCCTTTCTAACCACGATCTATCGGATTTCTCAAGCTATTTCTCGGGCGGGGCATCTACTAGTCCTCCTCTAAATAGGGGCGCTTGAGGGTTTGAGTGCTTACATAAACCATAAGCGTTTTATCATTATGTGATGACGTCAGAATTCTCACCATGGCGCTAATCCCGCTTGAATCCGCCATCGGCGACTCACCGCTTTAGCGTTCGGGGTGTATTTAAATAATTGCACACAAAGTTTTAATAACCGTTTGCAAACACTGTTTACAAACGGGTGTGTAATGGCCCTCTGGGAAGGTCCGGTTTTGAGTTGTTTGCAAACAAATAGGCAAGCGCGCGCCTACTATGAGATCTGGTGGTCGATGCTGAGGGGGATTGGGACTGTACTCCGGCCTCGTCGCTGGGTGTGACGGCTCTACGAGGTCGGCGGGCGTACACCGGACAGTGAGGCCTTGAGGGTTGGGCCTGGGCGCGGCAGAGCCAGGCGCGGACGCGGAGCGGAGCGAGCCGCTGGATGGGCGGGATCGCTCGCGCCGCGATTTGGGATGTCCGGCGATAGCCCGTGGCACGTGCAAAACATTTCAATAGGCAGCTATGTACGAACAATTACACGAGCGAAAAGGGTGTGGTGGGCGGGCGCGAGAAGACGATGGATGGTACGACGCAGAACCGGATGTAGGGGGGGAGAGCAGGCGCGCGAGCAGACGGGCAGGCAGCACGGGAAAACCGCCTGGGGACTAGGCGCCCAGAGCTTGGGGACCCGCCGAGCCTGATAGATGGCAGCGACGATGACGACAACGACTCGGATGACGACGATTGGGAGAACGACGACAACGGCAACGAGCCGGAGGCAAGCGGCCTAACAGAGGGGAGGACAAATCGATGAGTCCACATCTCTAGCGGTGACACGCGTGCATCTCAGCGTGCCGGTGTCCTCGACGCTCGCCGGGAGTGGGTTGAGGTGGCAAGCTGGGCCCTGGCAGGTAACGCGATGTTGCTGGACTTTGTCGCGGACGCGCCGATTGCGAATGGTTAGTTTCGCGCGAAGGCCCGGGGCTACAGATGCCACGTTCTGAAGTATTTCCTGGTGATCATATGGGAGCTGACGACGCCGACGTGCACATGGTCCCATATGGACTGGAGCCTTCGAAGCGGAGCGCTGATACTTGGTCTTGTTTGCAAACGTGTTAATTATACCTGTTTGCAAACGTGTTATTATTGATACTGTTTGCAAACATGTTCAAAATTAGTGCCCTTTTACACCCCGAACGCTACACCGCTTGACCCCCATGTTACCTAGCGACCTGAGCCTCGATGTATCCCTCTCAGGCGGCGGCCAGCCTCGCACCCAAATGCGACTACCTCTCGCCCTCGACCGGTGTACACTCGTGATCAGTCCGCCTGCAATTTGAGTGCGACTGAGCATAGCCGAGCATTCGTGTTCCGTCCTCAGCTGAGGTGAGGCATTACTACTCTGAATTGCACCCCGTCTTGCGCTCAGAGACGTCTTCTCGCCTCTGTAGACGAATAGATCCCTCCAACTGCACCGGGTACTCTCATCCGAAGAGTCGTTAACGTGGCCAGCTGGCAGATACCGGGCGGCCGAAAGGCTGCGAGTTCGACGGCACGCTTGGTCTGAAACGCCCATTTTGTACGCGCACTACGGAGGGCACGTAACAGCGCCTGATTCAGCGACGTTTTCCCCATAAGGTGCATCATAGTGGTACGGGACCATTTACTTTATTGGAGAAACGCACGTCGTTTGACTGAATGATAAAGTGCCTAAAAGCCACCAGCGTGACAATAAAGAACTTAGGTCGAAGGACTCAGCATTCCATGTTTTTCAATTACCCGGGTCTGGTGAAAGCTCATATCTTATCCAGCGAACTTATACCCCTTCAGAATGGGCTGATGCTGCTCATGTCCACTGCGTAACCAAGAACCAGTCGGGAGTCCACCAAAGCGCCGCCGTAGCTCCTGCCGATGAATGGGTATGTCATGCAAGAATCCGGGATTTTGAAATGTTCGGTCGATCGTTGATGGAGATATCGCCAGAAGCGGAAGTGAAGGTACGCTTCGCGGCCCTGCACGGCTCGTAGCGGCCGCTCCTTGTACAGAATTTCCACGGAACCACGAAGACACTGTCCGGATCGATGCGGCATGTCATACGGCGACTTGTGTCTTCTGCGCTAGGCATGCAACAGACGTCAAGATCAGCTCCAGTCGTTTCATATGCGGCGCTTATAGTATCCCGATCGGGCCCACATGTATGGTGATTTGTATGCGGTAAACAACACCTCCGTCAACTCACACTTACTTTTACGGCGATATCTCAGGCTTTCAAATCATATCGAAGTCGGTGGTTTAGAGCTGCCCCTGCCGACACGGCCGTTGGGACGCGTACACCCGTCGAAGAACACTCCGCACCAGCTACCGGTGCGAGCAATCGACCCACGAAGCGTTCGTTCAGGGTACTTAAGCATCTCAACTGTTCCTCCAACTTCACTCGCTCACTCGTTCCTCCGCCTCTGGTCTTTCTTCTTTGACTATGTTCGCCCGCCTCGTTGCCCTCGCCTCCCTCGCCATCGGCCTCGCGCAGGCGTCGACCCCACTCCCTACCGTCCACCTCGACCACGCGACTGTAATAGGCCTCACCAACAACTCAGTGACGAGCTTCACCGGCATCCCTTTCGCCAAGCCTCCGTGAGCCCCCGTTGATTTCCCCCCTTTCCCCTGCACACAATCTGACTTCGCGACGCCGCAGGGTGGGCAACCTCCGCTTTCGCCTGCCCGTTCCAGTCGCCGGGTACAGCGGAACGATCAACGCCACGCGACCGGCGGCGCAGTGCGTCCAGCTCGCGCAGGACCTGCGGGCCGATATGCCTGCGGAGATCCAGACCGACATTGCCAAGTACCTGGCCACCATTCTGATGCCTGCCGATGTCCCTCAGAGTGAAGACTGTACGTGGCCCTCGTTTCTGAATGCTCATCGTTGGTGACTGAATGCGAGCAGGCTTGACGGTGGACGTGACGGTCCCGGAGGGCACCAAGGCGGGGGACAAGCTCCCTGTGCTCGTGGTACGTCCTCACGGCTTGTCCTTTCTTATGGCTGAAGCTCACTCGACATTGGCGCAGTCTATTTACGGAGGCAAGGCAGTCCTATGTGTGCAAGCGCCTTTGCTGACCTCTGCTCCGGCACTACAGGCGCGTGGGTCCAAGGCTCGACCGCGCAGTACCCCATGGACACTGTTGTGCGCCGCTCTGCGGAGCTCGGTGAGCCGGTAGTCGTCGTGGCCATGAATTACAGGTGTGTCCCTCGTCATGCTTCCTCGTGACAGCATCTAAGCCGACCATCTCTTCAGGCTTCACGGTACGTGCCATCAGTGTGCAAGGGGGCTTCTCGGGGTTCTGAGTGCCCAGCAGCATTCGGTTTTCTGGGAGGAAAAGAAGTCAAGAATTCAGGGGTCGCCAACCTCGGGCTGCAAGATCGTAAGTCACCCCACTCGTCCCGGCGTTTGCGCTCCTCGCTCACAGTCTGATGCGCAGAACGCCTCGCACTGCGCTGGATCCAGAAGCACATCTCCGCGTTCGGCGGGGACCCCACCAAAGTAACGATCTGGGGCGAGAGCGCGGGCGGCATGTCGGTCGGGTACCAGATGCTCGCCAACGACGGGGACGCCGAAGGCCTCTTCCGCGCGGCGGTCGCGCAGTCGGGATCGCCGCTCCCCACCGGCGACGTCGCGGACCTGCAGCGCGCGTACGACGCGATCGTCTCCCGCGTCGGCTGCGCGCGCGAGGCGGACACGCTGCAGTGCCTGCGGGGCGTGCCCGTGCAGGCGATCGTCGCCGCCGCCGGGACGCTCGGGGGGCAGTTCAGCTACCAGGTCCGTCTGGCGCGCTCGCTCGCCGCGTTTGCCTCCGTGCTCAACGTCCGACTTTGGCGACACAGGGAACGGCCGGGGTGATCAACTGGACGCCCCACGCGGACGGGGTGTTCCTGACGGACCTCCCGCAGCGGCTCATCCTCAAGGGCGCGGTCGCGCGCGTGCCGCTCCTCAGCGGCGACGTCCTCGACGAAGGCACCCTCTTCGCGACCTCCAGCTTCAACGCCACGTGCGTGTTCGGAACCGCCCCCACTAAACCTGCGAGCTGACCCGCGCGCTGACCCCACAGCACCGACGCCGACTTCGCGGCGTTCGTGCACGACTTCTCCTTCCCGGGCGCGCCCGCGGGCGCGACCGCGCCGCTCCTCGCACTGTACCCGGACGACCCCGCGCGGGGCTCGCCGTTCGGGACGGGCGCCGCCGACGCGCTCGCGCCGCAGTACAAGCGCATCGCGGCCTACCAGGGCGACCTCGTCTGGCAGGGCCCGCGGCGGTTCTTCCTCGACGCCGTCTCCGGGACGCAGCCGGTCTGGTCGTACAGTGCGTCGGATTATCGTTCGCGGGGGGCTCGTGATGTCGGGGCTGGTGCTTACGCTGCTCCGTTCTAGGGTTCGAGCGCGAGACTTTTACCGGGCTGGGGACGGTGAGTGCTCACTGTTTTATCCTTCGACCTTTCTGGAGGTCGTGACGGAACTCATGATGTGCACTGTGACAGCCGCACGGGTCGGACTACTACGAGCTCCTCCGCGAGGCGAACGACATGGCGGACTACCTCGTCCACTTCACGCACGCGCTCGACCCGAACGGCGCGCCGTCGAACCGGACGATCGGGTGGCCGCGGTACGACCCCGTGCGGCGGCAGGTGCTCAGGCAGCTCGCTGGGGACGTCCCGCTGGACGTCGCGGACGACTTTGCGCGGCTGGGCGCGACGGAGGCGCTGATGAACCTGACGCTCGCGTATCCGTTGTGAGGAGCGGGTCGGGGGCAGAAGCGGGCGGCGTGCTCTTTGAAGCTGTATGTTCTATCCCAGCTTCAGCGTCCGTAATGAAAAATCGCCACCACCACCCACCGATATCCGCGGAAGCACACCTCGTCAATCACAAGCCCGTCCAAGGTTTCGGTGACCGTTACCAACAGTTCCTCCGAACAGCGTTCCATGGCCTCCCTCCGAATGGCCTCTCGACGTTTTCCAGAAGAAGTTCAACCGCAGACGCCGCAAACGTGCTCCCGCCCGCCGAGACGGCGCACCCACGAGCGCGGCGTGGACGACTGCCGACATCTTCCCCCCCGTCTCCCCTGGGCCGCGGACAGGGAGGCTTCACCCAGCGCGCCGTTCCTTGTGACTCCGGGGAGGGCGACGGCTCGACGCCGAGGACGGAGATGTGAAGGTCGTGAGCTGGGTCGGAGCCACACAGATGCTCGCTGTCCGGGACCTCCGAGTTCGCAAGTGCGTGGAGCGCCGGAAGCGTGCGTGGGCACGCCACGAGCGGCAGCGTGGTTAGGTGCGGGAATGCATCCCGGCACTCCTTGTGCTCATCCGCCGGGAAACAAGTGCTGACGACGAGGCTGGTGGCCGTACAGGGAGTGCGCAGCCCGGACGGGGTGGACGTTCGGACGCCGATGGTATCCTCTGGGATGAAGGAGCAGAATAGTGCGCAGGTTCAATCTGTGGGTGCGCCGCTGTCCTCGCAAAATACTGCAGCGAAAGCTACGAGTCTGTTGGCGCCTGCGGGCGACATGTAGACCAGGTAAATGCGTGATGCCATTCTTACGAGGTCGAAGCAGTTGGCCGCTCGCCTGTGAGGCACCGATTTCCGTATCCGTCAATCGCTGCTAAGCTGTGACTGGAACGACCGAACCCGGTGAGACCTCTTTATTGTGCGCGGGCCAGGGCCCAGCACACAGGCCTCGACAGTCTCGAGCCTACGTCGACGCGCCGAGGGGCCTGGATACCAATCCGCAGGCAGAGGCACTGCTCGCCTCGTTGCTGGTGCGGACGGCGGCACTAATCGCAAGCACAGCATGAGCGCAGTCTTGCAGGGATGCCCAGAACTTGCACTCACCGTGTGTCCGTGTCGGTGGGGCCGGACGGCAGCGTGCGCAGATCGGTGGGCCTCTTGTCCGAAACCTGAAAGATACGACGATTTGCCTACTCTGAACAAGAACTCGCGCCGAGCGGCACACGGGCAACGAGCCAAACGATCCGAGAGATGCACATCACCCATCGTAGCTACAGCTCTCCCCGAAGCATTGGGTTTGACCCTGCCAGCCCGGACGTCAGGAACGGAGCCGCGCCCGACGACGACAGCAAACTCACCGACACATCCGTCCTCATCTAGCTGGTACATAGCCGCGTGCCACCACGGGGCCTTCGACCCGGCGCGCTGTGCGGCTGAGTCTCAGATCCCACGCGCCTGCCGTTGGGGGCTTGTGCGGGCCCGGGCACCCCGCCCGCAGGGAATCTGTGGCTGAGGATGGCGACGACGCGTTAGCCTCCGAAGACCACATTCGGCCTCGGTGGCGGCCTCGGGTCCGGGGCCCACGCAGGTCTCGACCTGAAGGAGGTGTGTGGGACCACACAAGTTGACGGGCCGGAGCTGTCGAGCCCGCGCGAGCTTTGCACTAGAGGGAGCGATCGATGCTATCGGAGCTAGGTTCGTGGACGCTGTGGGCACGCCGAGTCTAGTGGTGTCAGAGAGATGATGTGCGGCAGCGAACACTCCGTACTCACCTTCCCGATCTTGGCACGCGCGTGCAGGCGGGGCGCACGCGGCGGACGACCGTGCCGCTCTCCTCCCGGCGGCAGCGGCGCGAGTACGGCGAAACGTGAAGAAGAGGTCCCCGCAGAGCGCACGCGCTGGCGGTGGCATGGAACGTCCGCCCCCAGCGCCATATCTTCTCTACAAACGGAAGACGACATTGCGCGCGGGGGGAAGACCGACGGTCGCGCAACATAGACCGTCTGATGCACGAGAGGGCCGTGGGAGGGATCCGCCGCGCCACTTCGAACGGGGGCGGCGTTCGCGTGTATATCGAGCCGGGATCGATGGGATATCGCGCGCGCGCGCCGGAGGGGCTGTGAATGCGTGCGTCGACGAGTGAACGCCTAGAATGTCGCAGCATGTGAGTAATTAAGTACCCACGCATGCTGGAACGTACGACATTGCCCAGCGCGAGGCCTTGAGGCGTTGCACGTGTCCGTTCGCCATCCCAGCGGTGGATGGTCGAGAGAGATTGAGAGTCCCACTCCCCGGAGTACTGGCAGTTGCTGAAGCCCATCGTCGCGGGAAGCAAGTACTGGCGCTGGGCCCGAGTCTAGACCGCGCACGGCGTCCTCTGCTCCACAACGCCCACCGCCACAGGTCGGTGGCAGCTCCGGGAGACGCGGACCCCGAATCGTGCGCACCCCGCAACTCGGCGCGACTCCGTGCGAACGAACAGGTCAGAACCAGCGCGCAGCAGCTGCAGACGCGACTCGCTCGCCGCGCGTTTGCAAACCGATGGATCCTGAACGGGGGTGCGCACTTTCGTAACAAGCCGCCTTCGCGAAGGTGCGTCGGCGGCGTCCGAACGACTCAAGGCCCGAGCTGCCCGTCGCCAGTATATGCGAGCCTTCCGCGGGATAGAGCGCGGTGGCGAGCGCGCCCTGTGGATCGTCGACGAGGGCGACGCCCTTCGCGAATGTGCGCTTGTAGCCTCGTTGAACTGCCACTCAAAGCGAACGCCGCATGAGCACAATTAATGTCGTATACAGTAGAAGCCCGAGGGTCGGTGAGAGGAGGCCCTTCGTTGGGGAGCGAGGTGGGCCCGCCGCCCGGGGGTGTTCAGATCGGACGGCCGTCATGATAAAGGAAAGGCAGACTTGCGAGGTACATAGTAGTGGGAGTTCTGGCGGATGAGCGATGGAAAATAGAGGGAGAGTCGCCGTCCTCGACACACATGAAGCTTTGTCAGCACATCCATATCAGGAAGACATTTCAAATGCTGGGGACAGACTCAGCGCTTGCTCTCAACCATCGACTGCTCGCCGTTCGAACGTGTAACCATTCCTAGCAGACTGGATCAAAGGTACATCAAAGGTCTGTCGTACACGTCGAAATCGAAAGACAACAGTGGTATTGTACACAGTGCATATATGCACTGGGAGACTTCGGCCACGTGCGAGGTGGAAACAATACTACCCTCAGGCTCGTCTCTGACCCTCGGTGCTAGTCGCGCTGGACATAAGGGTTTTTCTTCCACGTCTCGAGGCACGCAACCTAAAAGCATTCAAACGCTCAAACTCACCCCCCAGCGACTCCGACCGAAAAAAGCTCGCTCACCTCGTCAAACGTCTTCTTGACACTCGGCGTTCCTTCAGGTCCCGACGTACTTCGCGAGCCGCGCAAACCTGGGCTCCGCGAGCGCGTCCAGCACCCTCCTCCCCTCCCCGACCGGGTACTTGCGGATCTCGTACCTCATCAGCACCTCCCCCCGCAGCAGGAACGGCGCGACCGCGACGTCCGCGAGCGAGAACGCGCCCGCCGCGAACCCCGCCGCGGGCGGGAGGTGCGCCTGCAGCGCCGCGCACAGCGCGAGGTACGCGTCGACGGAGCCGCGCCCAGCAGGAACGCGCGGAACTGCTCGAGGCCGCGCTGTTCCCAGAGCGCGACGAAGAGGCGCATGTCCGCCTTCGCCAGCGGGTCCGCCGGCACGAGCGCCGCGGCGGGGTGGAGGTCCGCGAGGAGCTCGGCGATCACGAGCGACTCTGGGATCGTGCGCGACTCGGGCGAGGGCGCGGCCGGGTCGGTCGCGGGCCCGCCGTAGGAGATGCAGGGGATCTTTGGGAACGTCAGCAGGAGTGGTAGCGTTTCGGGGAGAGCGCGGACGCGGGCACCTTCCTGTGGCGGGTTCACCTTCTCGGTGAACCACGCGGGTTTGTTGGTGGCCTCGATGGGACACATTGTGTACTGGGCCCCCACTTCTTTGAGGGATATAGTCACGCGGTGACTGAACGGGGAGGACTGATGTTGAAGTTTAGTAGAGATGGCGTGCCGGACTTGCGCGGCAGACATACGTCGTTACCATAGAGAGTGATCTGTTCAGGCATGTTCAAGCAAGGGGCGGGTCACGGCTATATGATGAGAGTATTGTTGTGGGCAGGGTGCGCAAGAGAGAGCTGCCTGGAGCGAAGCGGACTGCGTCCCGCTCTATATATCAGTCCTCATGCCGAATCTCCGAAGTGATCGGCCAGAAAGGAATCTTCTTCGATGTTGAAGTCGGTCTGAGATAGAGACTCAAGACTCAATCTGACTTCAGAACAATTCTGAAGTAGACGATGGACTTGGTGCCTTTGAAATGGCGTGCGAGGTAACATCCACCCACTGCATAAAACACTCCGACGCTGGAGACAAACAGGGCTGCGTATAGCTCAACTACACTGTAGCTCGGATGTTCCTCCGAGACGCAGCTGAGGGTCGGATTCTTGTGGGGTGGGTTTCCAGCTGCGATCTGTCAAAAGCGAGGGACCTCAATTCAGACCAAACGATCCCCAGCCGGTTCTCCGCCGCCAGCATCTCGCGGAAAGTTCTAGCACTTAGCGGCTCCCCCGTGTGCGCACGAACAGATAAGATCGGCGCGCAGCTGCAGACGCAACTCGCTGGCCGCAAGGGGCGCGTGTGCGAACCGACGGATGGATGAACGGGGGCACGCACCTTCGTAACGAGCCTTCGCGAAGGTGCGCTTGAGGCGTCGACGACTCGAGCCGAGCTGCCCGTGGTAGTATATGCGAGCCTTCCGCGGGGATAGAGCGCGGGCCTGCGGATCGTCGACGAGGCCCGACGGAGGACGCGTCGCGTTGGCAAGACCCCGGTACCGCGACGACCTCGCTCGGAGTCAGGTGGCCGCGCGCTCTGTGCAGACCGAATCGGAAGCCCTGGGAGATCACAAACGATATCAGTGAAGGCCTGTCCGCCGCCGCCACCCAGCGCCACCGCGGACGTCCGGACGTGCCCAGCTGCTCGCTTGCGGGCCACGCGTGATCGATTCGGCTTGCTCGGGGCTCGTCGCTTCCCGGAGCGCGAGCGCTGTCACCGACCCCGACGCCCGACCGAGTCCGACTGGGGTGGGCACGGGAGCGGGCGCGCGTGACGCGCTTTGAACGAGCGCGGATGCCAAATGGGCGATCGGCCAGCTGGGCGCGCGGGAGGCAATCAGGTCGAGGTGCGCCGAGGGTGGCAGGGAAAGAACGTTCGGAGCGCGGGCTGCCGGACGCAGAGCGCTTGGTTCGCCACAGAATTTAAAGAAAACGCGCGCAGACTTGACCTGGAATGGAGAGCTCGGCGGCCAACGTTGACAAGCTGCGCTGGCCCTGCGTACAAAACAGAGAGTAAGCACGCCGGAGCATCAAACGCACGACACAGCACGCTACCCGCAGCTCGTGAAGAACGCACTCACCTCTGAAACGCGTCGACCGTCCCGCGCACGAGGCTGGCCCGGCAACGCACCGCGAACACGCTGCCCCGGCATTCACAATGCACCGTACCCATCCCATGCGGTCGAGGTTTCGCGTGCGCATACACGGCTGCCTTGAGGCATCGATGCGCCTCTGCGGGGACGCGGACTTCCTTCCTTCCTCTGTCCTCAAGGCCCAGTACGTGCGCGTTGTGATGGAAGAGGCCCACAGTCTCTCATGCGCCGACAAAGGCCAAGGCGAAGAGAGGGGACGGCGAGCCGCGACGAAGTCACGAAAGCCTGATCTGGCGCTGGCAGGTCTGTGATCCGGACGGGTTCGGAGGTCCGGTGCGAACGCGCGCCTGCTCGCTTTTGCCGTGGGCGGTGCAGCCTCGACAGGATTTCAAGACAGGCCTGGCCGAATGACGTCCGAGCGGCTGCGCTGATGGAAAATGGGCATGGACGGGGGAAAAAAAACCACAGCGGACGTCCCTCCGGCTGCGCAACGTAGTGGTCTGCTCCGTGCCGGGGACTGGGTGCGACGAGCTGGGTCTGGGCAGAAGCTTGGTTCGGAGCCCGGGCCAGCAACGTCAACGTGGTCGGATCCCGGGTGCCGATGAAAGCCCGAGGTCCGCGAGATCTGAAGCTGAAGCTTGCAAAGACCATGCCTCCGGATCCGAAGTATCCCAAGAAAGACGGTGGCACGCGCATCGACGGGGAGAAAGCGCGGCGGAGCTCTCGGCCATGGGCACGCGCACCTAGCTAGGTCGTCGAGCCGGCGGCAAGTCTTCTTTGGGGGCGAACGCACCATGCGGGGTGCCGCCTCGTGTGCGGGGTTCGGTGGTGGTTACGAGCATGCGCGTGATGCGAGTCGGCGGGGGAGCTGCCAGACACCCGCACCCGGTGCTTCTGTACAGACTCTCGTTGAAGCACGTCGCACAGCACGAGACACGTCGGGCGCACCTGTCGTGGATCCTCTTTCCAGGAAACGGTATTAGATCTGGAGTCTAGACAGAGTGCCGTCGACGTCACTGCCAGCGGCCACTGCGCCCGCCCGTCATGGGCGCCAACCCGGAGACGCGGTCACGCGCTCGGGTCGACCGACGGCGGACGCGTCGAACCCGGTCCAGTCTGAGTCTCCCCCGCGTCCCTGCGCCGTTGCCAACGACGACGACCGAGCGGCGAGGAGCCGATTATTAAAAAAAACGCACATTAATTGCCCCGCGATCGCAGTGCCCGCGCGCGCCCGTGCCCTCAGGAGCTCCTTGATGAACGCGCGCGCGCGCGCGACCCTGCACATGAGTCGATGTCGTGCACCGCGCGCCCTGGGACCTTGGAGTCGGGCGACGGAGCCTGGAGGAGGGAGGCCAGGGCCAGCGTCGGAACCAGAGTCTCAGACTCGAGTCACTGCGGAGGGGAGGCGGCTCGAGGAGAGCCAGGATCCTGAAGGCCTGATTCCTCACGCGCGGACCTCGAGGGCGCTCGCGAACGTTCCTGCAGCTGCACCCTCCCCCGACCCGACCCGACCCAAACCCGGCTTGCCGCTCCGGCAGTCGCGCGGGCCGACGCCACGTCTGAAGAAAACGGGCGTCGGGAGCCCGGGAGTCCACTGTCCGGGAATCCAGGTGTCGAGTTCGCCCGCGGTGACGCGGGTTTCGGGCGACGGGGAACGTTTACGAAAAGATTGGGAGCAGCAGCGCGCCACGGCACGTACGGAGGAGATCGGCGGCGTGGGCGGGTGGGATCGCGGGCGCTCAGAGTTCACAAAGGGCGTTGTTCTAGGTCGTTCTTCTCCCCCCTACGCCCCTCGCGTGCGCGGCCTTTTGTGGGGGCGCACAAAAGCGTGTCGCGACGACGAGAAGGCGAAGGCTGATGCGCAATATCATTCGACTGATGGCGCGAGCCTTTTTGTCGTCCGTTGTTTCACCCGCTCAGGGCGGGCGCGGCGTGGCGGCGGCGCGAACAAGGGCGCGGGTGATCCCAGCCTCGGGCGGCAGACGTTCATTATCCGCCAGGCGAGCCGACGTTCCCGCCGTTCAGCCCCGAAAGGAAACATCACGGTGGCTGTCCGCTCCTCCCCAGATGCGCGTACGCGAGGCGTCGAGTGACGGAGTCACAGCGCGCCTGCGGCCATGGGCACCTCGGAGACCACGACAGATTGCATTCGTCGCGAACCGTGCAGGCGCACAGGGGGGAAACAGGGCACGCACGTCGAAGAGCGCGGTGCGGGGATTGTTGCACGGGCGAGCTGATGGGAGGGAGGCGGCGGGCACGGCGGGATCGGCGTGCGTGTTTGGGCCCGCGCAGGGAAACGGGCGGGCGCTGGCCATGGATTCAGCGTCCGCAGAACCCGCAACCAACCAACCACCCGCGCACCGTCTGACAGATCTGGGAGGACGGGTCCTCCGCGTTGCATGGCGCCCACCGTCGCCGCGCGCGCGCGAACGCCACCGCTTCCGTCCGTCCCCAGTCCCGGGGGCGGTAACAGAGTGCACTCTATTCCGCCGCGCACCCGGGTCTGCGTGCGCACTTGGGGAACGGCGGGGCGACCGCGGTCGCCACCGCCAGAGACACCCTCGCACCGATAGGAGCAAGTGCGGGCGTGCGGAGATTCGTCGCGGCGCGTCGTCGCAACGGCTCCCGCGGGCGCGGGCGCGGGGCCACAGCTCAGCGCGGGCCGAGCTTCGCCGCACCCCCCGCCGGTGCGATGTGGGCCCGCGGACGAGCTAAGAAAGCTAGTTCGAACGCGGGCCCGGGACGGGGACGGGAGCGGGACGGCCGTGGGCGAGCCTGTTCGCGTTCGTGCACAGGACGGGCGGGAGGAGGGCGAGCCGAGGCCCGGCGCGGGGGTCCGTCGCGCGCTCGGGCGGCGAGAGGACGTCGGGAACGTCGCGCGAGCGAGGCCCTGGCAGGACGGGGCTTACGAGCGCGGGCCGAGCCTGGCCAGCAGCGATCCTCTGCGGGCGCGTACCTCGTGGGGCGGTGGGGGGCATGGGAGGTGGGCGTCGACGCTAGCCTGCTGTGGACGAGCTGCGGGAGGGAGGTCGAGACTGGGAGGGCGCGCGGCTGCGAGACGCGCCACGCCGCCTGCTCGAGGCCCGAAATAGGCAAATGGGCTGGCGTGCGGTCACCCACGTCACGAGCGAGACGATCGCCCAGCCTGCAGCCAGCCGACACCCGCCCGGCGGCAAAGCGTCAACGCCCTCTCGATCGAGATCTGGCGCCTACCCGACACGTGGGGCTCACCAGACGCCCACCGCGCGTGTTCCTCGCCTGACGCCATATATTCCCCCGCCCTCCAGCCCTCCTCCCCTCCCCACCCTGCTGTCCCCGACGCCTTCACCGTCGCCGGTCACCCTAAACACCCTCTATCACGCTCACGACACGTCCCCCATGTTCGCCCAGTACTCTCCTCTCTTCACCTCTGGCCTCCTCTCCGAGAGCAACTCCCCCTCGTCCTCCAGGCGCCCATCCCTCGACCACTCCCGCCCCAACCAACCCCGCGGCAGCCTCCCAGTCGACGTCAACCGCGACAGCTTCTACGAGCCTTTCGCGTCCGAGGATGACGGTATCCTTTTCACCCTCGCTCCCCGCCGCCGCCGCTCCGAGCTCGGAAACTCTTTCCTCTCCTTGGATCTCGCCGAGAGCAGGACGATGCGCTCCATGAGCCTCCGCAGGAAGGACACCATGACGTCCCGTGCGACCACCCTCGGTGGTTCTGCTCCGGCTTCACCAGAGGCAGGGCCCTCTTGCCCGCTTCCGTGCGTTCAACCCGTCCCTCTCTCTGTCCTCCCCTCTAACCCCCAGGCTCGCGCAGACCAACCGTCGGCTACGCGTCCTTCTCCACTCTGGGCCGCCGGCCTTCCCCGAAGCCTCTGGTCCGCCACTCGTCGCGCGAGGCCCTTCCCAAGGTCAAGCCCCTTCCCGCGTTCCAGCTTCCCGAGCTTCCCAAGACCCGCGCCGACCTCGCCGTCACCATCCCGTCCGCGTTCAGCGCCGATCTCCCATCCCTCCATCGTTCCTCCCATTCCGAATCTTCTGTCCTCTCGCCGATCTCCCCTCTGATCTCGCCCATCGAACGCTCCTATTTCTCCTTCTCGCCACCCACCTCCCCTCCCGCCGAGCGCACGTCCTTTGATTGGCCCCAGCCCCCGCGTTCGGCGCCGCCCTCGATGCCCCTCCGCTCCCGTCCGTCCGTCCGCTCCACTGTCTCGTTCAAGACGCGCCAAGTCAACCGCTCGGCCGCGCTCGCGGCGTTGGAGGGGCGCGTCGCTCGCAAGACCCGGACAAGGACGCGTCCGAGCAACTTCATGAGCATGAGCGACGACGAGGACGACATGGATCTCGAGGTCTGCGAAGCCCTCGGCTTCCCCTCCAAGCCCGCCCCCGCGCCGCACGTTCGCGCGACGACGCTGCTCGAGATCCTGCAAGAGGACGAAGACGTGGTGATGCCCTCGACTCCTTCCCACAAGCGCCTCGCTTCGACACCGAGCTCAGGGAAGAGTCGCAGTCGGCGGGGGACGATCGAGAACCTCCTCTTGCCTCTGACGAACTTCATCGACTTCCGCGACGAGGACGGGGCGACGCGAGGCTGGCGCAGTTTCGTCGAGATCTCATGAGGCCGCCCTCCCCATTTTTCCATTCTTCCGCCACTTCGTGCGGACGTCGCCCTTGCGACCAAAAGTTGCGGTTGACCGCGCGCTATGCTCTATGCTTTATGGTTTCTATGTGCATACTCGCGCGCGGTCCCGCGTCGCCTCAGTCGACCGTTTCCGCCGCGGAGGGGTGTATCATTTGCGCTGCGGGCTCGACGCCCGCCGCCGCCGACACTCGGGCGTGGGCCCGTGTTGGTATCTATGACGTGTCTTTGCTATCGCTATTATCACCCCCTACTGTCCTTTCCAGCTAATATCCCATCGCTCTGGTGTATATCCTCGCTGTACAGCACCCTTCTGATTATATCCTAATCTCTCGTGTACATCATCATCATCGGCCCTCGCACCCTCTGTTCAAACATGACGCCGATACAGATCCCAATGCATTCACATCACCCGCATCCATGATATGCAGCCCCGCCATCGTACAATGCCGCGATCCTCGCACTTTAATCTGCCTTGTTCTCCTTGTTGCCTCGCTTCCTGTGTTCTTACCTTCTGTGCGCGCTTGCGCGACGTGTATTATCACCGCTTTCCCTCTCCTTGTTCTTCGAACTTTTTGCCATCACTGCGTCCCGTCCCATCCACACCCCACTCGCGCCTTGTTCCCTATGCATCGCTTCTACACGGACTCATCAGCCTGCTCGAGCTGCCGTTATATATACACACCACGTAACGTAACCGGTCTTTCTCCCCGCCTCGTCCTGCGCCTGCCCACTGCCTCGCGCAGCTCGCACTCGCCATATCACAATGTCACTTGCAGTACCATTGCGCCCGATCGATGCCAGCGCCCGCAGTGTCCCATATGTGCTTTCGCAAGGTAACTCACGAGGCTCGGTGTGCTCGGTGCGATCCTGTGCAATCCGACAAATGCACCGCTCGCGGTCGCGCGGTCGACGCCTGCACCGGGTACAGTGGAAGTCTAAAACGTTGATTGAGCGAGCGAGCGAGCGAACTTGACGTGATCATCACGCATCATACTCAACACCACCCAAGCGCGATCGCGGCGGGTCTGCGGACCGTCCGTGGCGCGTGGACCGTGGGGTGCGCGCGCGTTTCCGTCGTGTCGCCGTAGAGCACGTACATCGTGCGCACAGGCTCGGAGATCGGAGATCGGAGGGTGGAGGGTGGTTGTGGGGGCCGCGGCTGCGCTTACGCACGCAAACCTGAGCTCATTCATGCAGAACGGACGGCGGAGCCGCTACCGTGCACAGCTAGATCCCTTCACCACAAAGGTGCGCAAACACGTGCGCTACGGCGAAACAGGCGGAGGAGAACCACAGTCCGTCCACGATCAGTACTCAATTTTCGAACGAGACCGACTTTCCGGGACCCTGTCCCGTCTGGACTCTGCGGCGGTTCGCTGGTGTGGCTCGGACGAAGGTTGACCGCAGATTTGGCCCCCGCGCGCGCCGCTCGGCCGCTCGGAGATGACTCGTGCGAGTGGGTTGGGTATACCTGAGTCTGCGGGGGGTCCTTGGGTGAGGCTGCGACACGGCACTGTGCTCGTCTGTGACCCGCTTACGCATCGGTCGGACGGACGGACGGATCCGGGGTGTGGTTCCTTGGGCGTGCGGCGCCACTGCGGGTCGGCGGACGGGGCGGACGATACGGGGAGTGCTTGCGCTCGAGCCTCGCGCACGTCCGAGGGTCGCGCGCGCGTCGCAGGAATGGAAGGGCGGCGGAATGGACGCGCGCGTCATCTTCCTCGTCGTCGTCGTCGTGCTCGAGGTCGAGGCCGTTCGCTGGAAGGAATTCGAAGGGCCCGAGACTCGACGCTTGATCATGCTTGATAACGCAGTGCGACCTGCGGGCCCGCTGGGACAGTCACGGTGGCGCGGTCAGTGATATGATCGGAGGGGGCACGCACGCTAGAACTTGCGGTGGGAGAAGGTTCGGGCGTGGTTCTGTCGGTGCGCGCACGCGTCGAACGTTCTTCTGCCCATCGCTGTCGCCGTCGCCGCGATCCGTCCGGGCAGAAGCCTGCGGAAGCTGATGCCCGCGACGCAGCGTCAGCAGCGGCCACAGCAAACGGCGGCTCGGGCGAGCGGAACTCGAGGCTTCTGCCACCAGAACACGGCCTTTTCCGCGCCGGTCTGTGCTCGCTGCGCAGCTGTCTGACGGTGGGCCTGCTCCGGTCGGTGGGACTGGCGATCTCGGTGTTCGGGATTAGGCTTCCCGCAGGAGTGAGGTGAGATGAAATGAAAGAAATGTTGGCTGGCTGAGGAAGTGTTTGTTGCCAGGGAGGCACTGCAGTACGGGCGCCCACGTGGCGACTACAGGTTCCTGGTTCGAGCCCCGTTTGAGACGCGCACGCTTTATGTAGAACGTTTGAGCTCCCATCACACTACACGCGTTCCGGCATCGAGCTCTCGAATCTGAAGCACCTGCTGCGGGGAAGAACGATGCGGGTGGGCCCGAATCGGCGCATGGAAAGTGCCTGTGGATTGAAGCGCGGAGTGAGCGCACCGTTCTGGGTGGCGATCTGATCTGGCCTCGTCGAATCTTTGGCTGCTCCTGCGATCGGTGATTTCCGCTGCCGTCCTGCGCGCGTGTCTTCCTTTGCGAACTTCTTGCCGCTGTGGATGAAGCCCATTTGAACGCGCCCGTGCGCGCCTCAGCGTCGCGTCATGGGACCCCGTGACCGCGTCGGACGGCGGAGGCGCCAATCAGGCGCTTGAACGACCCACCACGATGACGAGGACTGGTCTGACTCGGATCCGGAGCTTCGTCTGTGTCTTGATCTGGTCTGGACAGGTGAGCACTTCGCGCTCGATAGGACCTCGAGGTTCAAAGGCTTGCATACACTCTTTACCTGTGCAGGCCCCGAGGCTCCTTTCGCAGGCTGCCATCGCGCACATTTTCGAAACTGGCACCATCAAACCCTGCTCGCTCCTTCCACGACGCGGAGCACACGACTGACTGCACGATAACTTTGCGCGCGGGGAAGCTAGCCATTCTGCACACGCACGATCTCTCGGGCCTCGCCGTGATCAGGGTGGCGCTAGTTTCTCGGATCCTCGAGGCCTCAAAACGTCATCTCTTCAACCGTACATCATTCCCTATCATTCCCTGGCACGGTGCTGCGTTCGGCCAGGTCCTGAGGGCTGAGGCCGCACCAGGCCGCACCGCCCACGAAAGATCAAAGACCTGCCAGTGCCACGAGCATCAGGTCAGGTTTTCGCGGCGGCGACCTCTTCGCCTTCGCACTTGTCGGGGCTCGGCCGTGACCTCGTGCGGTACGACGAGATCCGCCATGCGGTGGAATGCGCCGTGTACTACGACAAGCGGGGGCGGGGCGGATCCAGGTGTGTGCTTTCTTCCGACTTCTTGCATCACAACGTGCATGTACTGAGCCTAGAGGACAGACGAAGGAAGGACGTCCGTGTCCTCGCGCCGCCACGACAAAGCCTCGTGTATGTGTACCGGCAGCCTCGAGGCTCGACCGCACGGCGTGTGCACAGTGCTTTATGAATGCCGGCGCAGCGTCTTCACAGCGCGTTACCGGATCAGCCTCGCGCGCGGGACGGTCGACGCGTTTCAGAGGTGAGCAGCGCACTCTTCACCCACTACGGGCAGCATCGTATGTCGTGAGTCTAATGATCCGCCGTGCTTACTCTATGTCGCACGCAGGGCCAACCCAGACGCGCGCGTGCCGCGGTGTGCCTCCGAACGCTCGACCATTGCGCAATCCGTCAGTGTCCAGGCTGTCAGCTGGGGGCCCCGCCCCACGTCGCGTCTGTCAATCCAGAAGTCATGTCGTGCTTGAGCCGTTATGTCGCGCACGGCGACCTACTCTCCGTATGTGCTCTTCTTCTCACCCGCCGCGCGACGTGGACTGATGCCTCGAGCCTCCCAGCGCCCATCGACGTGATTGCCTCGCGCGCGCCCAGTCGATCTCCTATTTAGCACCTTTTAGCATCCGCGCTCGTCGCAAAAGCGTGATGACCGCCCGCTCCCGCGCACACACCAGTCAGGGGTCGGGCTCGGTGACACTGACGGCGCTCGCCCTCCGGGGAGCGACGAGCCCCGAGCAAGCAAAGGCGTGGATCACGCGTGCCATTGGCGGGTGACCGCGGACACCTCCACTGATACCGCGCGTGATCGCGCAGGACGTCGCGGTCGAACGCGGCCACCTGACTTCCGAGCCCGTCGCGGGCTTGCCAACGCGACGCGTCCCCCGTCGGGCCTCGACGATCCGTGGGGCCCGCACGCCACCGCGCTCTATCCCCGCCCAACGTTCAACCCTCAAGGAAGGCTCGGGAGGTGTGCGGACGAAGATGGTCGCGCATGTACTCACGCAGCTCGGGCATGGAGTCGAACGACGCCACAAGTGCGTCTTCGCGAAGGCCTGTTACGAGAGCACGGTACGCTCGCCCGCCCATCTATCCATCGATGTCTTTCCCCGTGTCCACGCGCGCGCCCACTTGCGCCTTGGCGAGTCGCGTCTGCAGTTGCGCTGATGCCGACTTGTTTGTCAGTAGGGTGCGGAGTTGCGAGGTGCGCACGATTCGGGGTCCTCGTACGTCCAGCCACCCCACCAAGTTCACGGGCCCGTGTCCCTTGGCGTTCTTTGATCCACTGCCCCCACAAATATTGGACGCCGTCGGAGAATGTCCTGGCCGAGGACACCGCAGCGAAGCGCGCGCGAGTTCGTCGTGGGCGGTCCAGACCGCGTCCTCGGGCCCAGCGCCAGTTCTTCCCGCGACGATGAGCTTTTCCGCACGATCCAATAGCGACGCGCATCTGGGAAGCTTGGAAGGTGGCTCTCAATCTCCATCGGCATCCATGGCCACTCTCGATCCATGGCGATTGCAATCACGATCCGCCGCGCGCAAGCCGCTGGAACTGCGAACGGACACGTGCAACGCCTCGCGCCGGGCAATGTCGTACGTTCTTGCTTGCGTGGGGCCCTCACTCACATGCTGCGGCGTTCCAGGCGTTCGCCCATCGACACAGCCCTCTCATCGATACCGGCTCGACATACACGCGAACGCCGTCTTCGCACCCCCGGAAGCAAGACGCCAGGTCCGACCCCCGCGCATTACACGATCTGCCACATCGCGTCGCCGTCCTTCTCAGCAGCACATATGGGCGGAACGTCGTATTCCATTCGGAGAGCAGATGCGACGCGCTGGGCGGGCATTCCATGCCACCGCCGGGGGTCGTGCGCTCTGCGGGGCCGGCTTCTCCACGTTTCACCGCACTCTCGCCGCTGCCGGCGGGAGGGAGGGCGGCGCGGTCTTCCGGCGCGTGCGCCCCGCCTGCGTGCGCGTGCTAAGATCGGTAAGGTGAGTGTTCGAACGCTGCCGCGAAACCAACTGCGATAGCAGTCTAGCTCACGCGCGGGCCTGTCAGCTTGTGTAGTTACGCACCTCCCCCTCCTCGTCGAGATCTTCACGAGCCAGGGATCAGAGGTCGAAACCCAGGCCGACTCTGATGGTGAATATGGCCTTCGGAGGCCCAGCGTCGTCGCCACCCTCAGCCACAGATTCGCCGCGCGCGGGGTGCCCGGGACCGCACAAGCCCCCAACGGCAGGCGCGTGGGATGCCGCATCTGAGACTGAGTCGCACAGCGCGCCGGGTCGAAGGCCCCGTGGTGGCATGCGGCTATGTACTGGCTAGATGAGAACGGATGGGATGGTGAGTTTGCTGTCGTGACTCGTCGTCAGTCACGACTCCGTTCCTGAAGGCCTGACATCCGGTCGACCAGGGTTAAACTGAATGCTTTGGGGAGAGCTGTAGCAACGACGGTGAGGCAGTGCTGTGTGGACGAGAATGAACAGATGGTCGTATTTTTCAGGTTTCGGACAAGAGGCCCACGGATCCGCGTGGCACGCGATACAGGCCGCATACACGGCAGGTGAATCCCTGCAAGACTGCTCCCACGCTGTGCTTGCGATCGGTGCTGCTTCCCGCATCAGCGACGACGGCGAGCGGTGCCTCTGCCTGCGGATTGGCATCCGGGACCCCCGGCGCGCCGACACAGCTCGAGACTGCCGAGGCCTGTGGACTGACCCACAAGGCGGTGCCATCACCGTGGTCGGTCGACCGCGGTGGGATGATATGATTGACGGAGAAGTATGTGCCTTGGCACGGGTGAGCGACCAACTGCTTCAACCTCCAAAGAATGGAAGCCTCCTCGTACAGTTCACAGTCATCACTTATTTACCCAGTGTTCTAGATACCATGGCCTGTATGCGCCAAAAAAAACCTGTAGCTTTTGCTGGATTAGCGCGTCTTTTGCGTAGACATCACCCGCAGATTGAACCTGTTCTCCATTCCACTTCATCCCGGAGGATACGATCCGCGTCCGAACATCCACACTACACAACGGCCCACCATCCAGGCTGCGCACTCACCGTGCGCACCAGCCTCCTCGTCGGCGTTTGCTACCCGCCGGGTGAGCCTGGACGCCTTCCCGCACCTAACCACGCCGACACTCGTGGAGTGCCCGAGCACGCTTCTGGCGCTCCATGCACTTGGGAACTTGGAGGACCCGGACAGAAAGCGGTAGGTACTTTGTACAGCGCCTCGACTCTCGTCAGCCACCCTGTCCGCGGTCCAGCATCCGGGGGAGACGGGGCGGAAGATGTCGGCACTCGTCCACGCCGCGCTCGTGGATGCGCCGCCTCGGCGGGCGGAAGCGGGTCTGCGCCTGCGGCTGGACTTCTTCTGGAAAACACCGTCGAGAGGCCATCTGGAGGGGGTCATCGAGCGCGGTCTCCGCCACCTTGGACCGGCTTGTGATTGATGCGGTGTGTTTTCTCGGATATCGGTGGGTGGTGGTGTCGCCACGAAACGAGCGAGTTGTCATTACTGAGACTTAAGCTACGAGTGAATCATTGTAGGGCTTCGAGGAGCACGCCGTCCGCATCTCCTCACAAGGGATACGCGAGCGTCAAGTTCATCAACGCGTCCGTCGCGCCCAGCCGCGCAAAGTCGTCCGCGACGTCGAGCGGGACGTCCCCAGCGAGCTGCCTGAGCACCTGACGATTGACGGGGTCGTACTCCGGCCACTCGATCGTCCGGTTCGACGGCGCGCCGTTCGGGTCGAGCGTGTGCGTGAAGTGGATGAGGTAGTCCGCCATGTCGTTCGCCTCGCGGAGGAGCTCGAAGAAGTCCGACCCGTGCGGCTGTCACCGTGCGCATCATGAGTCCCATCGCGACCTCCCGGAAGGAAGGGTCGAACGCTCACCGTCCCCAGCCCAGCAAAGGTCTCGCGCTCGAACCCTGAGCACAGAAAGCGTGAGCGCGAGCCCCGACGTCACCACTCCCCCGTGAGTCCGACGTACTGTACGACCAGATCGGCTGCTTCCCGAAGACGTTGTCGAGGAAGAACCGCCGCGGGCCCTGCCAGACGAGGTCGCCCTGGTAGGCCGCGATGCGCTTGTACTGCGGCGCGAGCGCGTCGGCGGCGCCCGTGCCGAACGGCGAGCCCTGCGCAACATCGCTCGGGTAAAGCTCGAGGAGCGGCGCGACCGCGCTCGCGGGCGCGCCCGGGAAGAAGAAGTCGTGCACGAACGCCGCGAAGTCGGCGTCGGTGCTGTCGTGCGGGGTGAGCGCGAGGTTTCGGAGGAGCGCCGCGACGCGGGGAAGACGTACGTCGCGTTGAAGCTCGAGGTCGCGAAGATGGTGCCCTCGTCGAGGACGTCGCCGCTGATGAGCGGCACGCGCGCGACCGCGCCCTTGAGGATGAGCCGCTGCGGAAGGTCCGTCAAGAACACCCCGTCGGCGTGAGGGATCCATTGGAGGACCCCGCCAGTGCCCTGCGTATCGTCGCCGCATTCAGCATGCTGCATCGACGCTCGAGCGGCAGAACCTACCTGGTAGCTGAATTGCCCTCCGAGCGTCCCGGCGGCGGCCACGATCGACTCCACCGACGCGCCCCGCAGACATTCCAGCGTGTCCGCCGCGGTCGCACACCCGACCTGCGAGACGACCGCGTCGTACGTGTCCTGCAGGTCCGCGACGTCGCCGGTGGGGATCGGGGACCCCGACTGCGCGACCGCGGCGCGGAAGAGGCCTTCGTTGTTCCCGTCGTTGAGGAGCATCTGGTACGCGACGGACATGCCGCCCGCGCTCTCGCCCCAGATCGTGACTTTGCTGGGGTCGCCGCCGAACGCGGAGACGTGCTCCTGGACCCAGCGCAAGGCGAGGCGTTCTGTGTGCGAGAGGGTGAGTGTGACGGCCTCGCGGGGTGCAAGATGACTGACGGTCGTGTAACCCCAGGTTGGCGACGCCTTGTTCCTTGACCTGGCTGCCGCCCAGGAAACCGAACGCTGCTTGTGGGGTGAGGAACTTGCGACGTGATGTACGCATCTCACGTACCGTGCAATCTGAGATTCAATATTCAATGTTCGACTCGGACAGTGCCATTGACAAGTTTCAGGAAAGACGCACCTGTAGTTCATGGCCACGACAATGACCGGCTCACCGAGCTCGGCAGAGCGGCGAACAACCTTGTCCATAGGGTATAGGGCGGTAGAGCCTTGGACCCACGCGCCTGTTGTGCCGGAGACCATATGAGCACGAATGCCTGCCCATATATTTGGGACTGACACACCTCCGTAGATGGACTGTGCACAAAGAGGAACGTCAATTGAGCGATTACAGACATCCGATGTAGAAATTGTGAACACACTCACCACAAGCACAGGCAGGTTGTCTCCCGCTTTCGTTCCCTCCGGGATCGTCACATCCACAGTCAGACCTACCCGCATTGGGTCGTCAGCGACACTCTCCACATGATCTTCAATGGGAAGGTAACCGTACAGTCTTCGCTCTCGGGGACGTTCACCGCCGCCGGTCCAACGGCAAAGTATGCCAGGACGTCTTCTACGATTTCCGCGGGCATGTCCGATCGCAGATTCTGGAAGAGCTGGATGCACTGCGCCGCCGGTTGCGTGGCGTTGATAGTCCCGCTGTATCCGGTGACTGGAACGGGCAGGCGGAAGCGGAGGTTGCCCACCCTGCGCCGCCGCGAAGTCAGACTGAGTGCAAGCGAACGGAGGAGTGGGGGCTCACGGAGGCTTGGCGAAAGGGATCCCGGTGAAGCTCGTCACTGAGTTGTTCGTGAGGCCGACTACGGTCGCTCGGTCAAGGTGGACGGTAGGAAGTGAGGTCGACGCCTGCGCAAGGCCGATAGCGAGAGAGGCGAGAACGGCGAGACGGGCGAACATGATTGGAGGCGAAACCCGAGAGAGAAGAAAGAGAGAAGTGTTAGCGAAACCGTCGAAACGCTCGAAACGATTAAATACCTTCTCTTGAGCGTTCTTTTGGATTCACCGGTGTCGGGAGTAGGTGCGGAGTGTTCGATGACTGGATACGCGTCCCAGCGGCCGTGTCGGTGCCAGTAGCCGAATTCGACATGCTAGCATAATCTGCGCGATGGCCGGGCTGGTTAGTATGAAATTGACGGAGGATTGCTGCTCATCACAGGCTCGCTGTATAAAAGCCACCAGGCGCAGGAGCCCGGTCGGTATATAACGAGCGCTCCCGATGAAACGAATAGCGCTGTGTTTATCCTCAGTACTTCAATGCCGTATGATCAGTAAAAGCAACATACCTGGCGTGAGCCCTGACGTGTCCATCCGCTTGGTTTTTTTTCGTCCAAAGAGTGTCAATCAAAATATTTGTAGCTCCGAAATGCGTACATCCACCTCAATCGCAACGATCCGACTCGGGGTTGCCGTGGCACCCCGGCACCGATCCCGACCCCTTCCTGAACGTCACTATACGCCTGAGCAATATCAGCGCATCGTAGTGAAACTCGAGCCCGCTGATTGGAACATGAACCTTCGGGAGAGCCGTGCCAAGACGTAAACTAACCTCGCTCTCGGAGATAGTTTGGGCCCTTGAAGCCCGACCCGAACTTGTCATCAACGTGGGGACGACAAGAGTTGAACGTTTGAACGTTTAAGAACCACGCACTGCTCAAAAGCACTTTGATAGGACAAGCATCGCTGAGCCGGGTGTTTCTATGCGCACTTCAATAACCAGGCACATGTTTTGCTCCATCCAGAACCAAATGCGAGAGTTCGTGGACATGGGCGGCGAGATGGGAGTTTCGAACAAGACCCGTCGCCACTGGGAATCGAACTGGTGGTGTCCCAGTCGGCCCGAGATCTGCCGGGTGACTGGCGCTACTCCGACCTTTAGCGCTTCGTTCCGAATACTCGTCGACAATGACCCACGAAAGTGTCGCGCAGTTTGCTTCAACGTATGCACACAGTGATCAGACTTGGGATTGTACAAATTAGCATACGTACTGTACTACTGAGCTACGAAGACGGGCCATAGAGCTACACAGAAGCGGGTCGAACACAAGACCGAGCACCAAGAGCCACATCCAAGAGGAGCAAATGCAAACGTGCAGCGCCCAGCACCGCACGTTCAGCACATAATGATACAGTCGAAACCCCGAACACACCACCCCATAGAGGGTCTAGACGAGCCTCCCGCCAAAGGCCCCCGGGATATTGTGCCACGGAATGTCGCCCTCCACAAACCGGCCCGACTTGCCCTTCCCCTGCATCCCCGCGCTCGCCGACACCCCGACCACCTGCACGTCGCGGCTCCCCGGTGGCGGCAGCGTCTCGGGCCTGCTCCAGCTCAGGTGCCGCGCCTTCTCCTTCACCTTCACCTTCGTCTTCGGCGGGCCACCCGAGTATTGGCGCAAGCCGAAGAGGCCCTTGCGCCAGCGCGGCCTGTCCTTCGTGAGCTTCGTAGGCGCTGCGGCCGCGTCCTGTGCGTCGCCCGGGCCAGGAGCTGCGCGCCGGACGGGGTGGCAGTCGGGCACCGGTACGCCCGACGCGGGATCGGCGGCGGCGGAGGCGGAGAAGGAGGAAGAAGAAGGGGTGACGGAGGGGAACGACTCGAGCACGACGTCGGCGGGCACGCCAGCGGCGAGCATGGTGCGCATGCGCGCGACCTGCGCGCGTGTGGCGTCAGCTTCGGCCGCCGTGCCGGGTGGTGAGCTCGAGGTGGACGGGGCCGGGGCTGGGGGCGAGACGGGCTCGGACTCAACCTCGGCGATGATGGAGAGGTGCTTGTCTTTGCGCGGGTAAGGGGAGGCATTTCTGAGACTGAAGCCGGAGCGATCGGAGGTGAGATTATTCAGAGTCCGGTTCCGGGTACGAGGGACATGGTACGCACCTCTGCCGAAAGGTAATAAGAGAGGACGGAAAGAAGAGGGTGCTTGTGTGCCCAGCAGAGTCTAGTAGCGTTCATATAAGTACATGCTCACCGTCGTCTACGTACGCACCTGGCCCGATGGACCCAGCCTGCTTCGACGGTCCGCCACAAGGCAGGTACGAGCGGCGCCGGCAGCATTCTGCGTATTGCGCCAAAGCAACGCGAGACAAAAGGGTTTCGCACGGTGCGCCCCCAGAGTCCCAAACGCACACAAAAGCCTGGCTGTGGATCCTCGGCGGGTTGCTAGCCAGCTGCGGTAGACAATAAGCCGGAGAGGGGAGCTCGCAGAAGAAGCACAGACCTGAACGCCAGAGTGCCAAAGTGCAGTGAGACAGGAGGTCCACCATGCAAATGTTGGCACTTGCCAGTGAGGAGTCCAGCAAGTCCGATCCGCTCGTACGTCAATAGACCACTTCAGGTGCGGAGGCATGTGCTAGTGGCGAGTGTTGGTGACTCTTGCAAGAAGCAGGAGAGTGGGTTGGATCCCATTTCGTGACGGAGGGGAACAGCTGAGGCCTTGCAAAACTGCAAAACGAAGATCGATTTGAGAGAATATGCTTACGTGATGACGTCGAAGTAAGCGCCAGTGATATCTCAAGATCGAGGTCATGGCCAACAACGGGTCGGAAGCTTTGAAGCGCGAGGCTTTGAAGAAGCGAACGTCCTTCTCTTCGAACTTCCGATATCCTCTCGTCTTCTGTTGTCAATGCCAGCTGTAGCGCTATGAGACCGACACATGGCTCGGACCCACCGGCTCTCAATTGAGAAGTCGAGTAGATTACATATTTGGTGTGTAATCACGCGCCTTACTCACCGTCCACGACCGCCCTGGATAGTTCACACATGCAAGCCATTCCAATATGTCGACGGTCATAAGCTCTACAGGCTGGTCTCCAACCTCCACTTTTCCACTCATCGCTCTCTCCCGCTAGCACACCTATGGCGCCCGTCGCTCTTGCCCAGCCCAACGCCTCGCTCTCCTCCCTCCTCCCATCTCCTAAGATGAGCGCCGCTCCCACCGACTTCCCTCTTGTCCCGTCCACGGCGTCGTCCTCACGCCCGAAAGAAGTGGTCGACGCCCCAGCGCGCACAACGTTCGAATTCGACCCGATCGAGGATGCCATCGCCGCCTTCAAGCGCGGCGAGTTCCTCGTGGTCATGGACGACGAGGGCCGGGAGAACGAGGGCGACCTCATCGTCGCCGCGAGCGCGACGTCCACCGAGAAGATGGCGTGGATGATCAAACACACCAGGTACGTTGCCCCCCGTCCCTTCCGCGGCCCCCGTTCCCTCATCCTCTGTTCCCTGCCTCTGTTCTCTCCCCTCCGTCCTGCCGCCCCCCGCCGATCCACGCGCCCCCACAGCGGCTTCATCTGCGTATCCCTCCCCGGCGACCGCCTCGAGCAGCTCGCGATCCCGATGATGGTCCCCCAAAACGAGGAGAGGCACAAAACCGCGTACACGATCACCGCCGACTACCGCCATGGGACTACGACGGGCATCTCCGCGCACGACCGTGCGCTGACCGTGCGCGCGCTCGCCGCCGCCGCCCCTGCGACGGCGTTCGCCCGCCCGGGGCACATGGTCCCGCTGCGCGCGCGTGAGGGCGGCGTGCGCGTCCGCCGCGGGCACACGGAGGCCGCGCTGGACCTGTGCGCCGCGGCGGGGCTGCCGCGCGCGGGGGTGCTGTGCGAGCTCGTGGAGGACGACGCGGAGGGGAGCATGATGCGGCGGGATGGGTGCAGGCGGTTTGCGGACCGGTGGGGGGTCCGGATGATCAGCATCGAGCAGCTCGTGAGGTGGAGGGAGGAGAGGGAGGGGCCGCTGAAAGTAGCGGGGCAATCGTAGGGGGGGAGGAGGAGGATGGGGACTTTAGTGCCTCAGGAGGGAAGAACAAGAATGAACACACTAGGTTTTGTATCCTTAGATCCTCTAATGGTGTTCTGTTGTAATGCCTAGCAGATACTAGCACACTGTCTACCAATCCTGGCCACCCACCAAGTCCACTCACTCTCTTTGCGTCGGGCTCACGAGTCCGAATTGTTCGCCGATAAAGCCTATGCTCCTGGTCCTGCCGAATGACGCGGAAGTCCGATGACGCGAAGCGCAAGCGACCCGCGAAACCTGTTTGGGCCTTGTTGGAACATTGGCCCAGCCGAGGCCTCAGTGGGACCCACATTCGGGACGGCGGTGGGTGTTTACAGCGTGAACAACGGAGCGCTCCCATTGGCGGAGGGCATCGGTGACGGCCGGGATGGGTTCCCGGGTGGGGGCCGGGCGCACCGCGGCCGAAATTTATACGGACGTCGCGCGTCGAGCCGGCATCACCCCGGTCCCCTCTCCCTCTCACCACCACCGCCAGCGCCGCCGCTGCCTCGACTTGGACAGGCCATCCAGTCGACGACCTAGACACCACTACCTTATCCCTCACGCCCACTAGATAATACCCGCCATGGCTGTTTCGCCCTCCGGCAAGTGGGATGCCCGGTGCGTCCCTCGACGTGTCATCCATCCCCCACCCCCACTCACCCAATCACCACAGCTACCTCGGCCCCGTCCCCCATGACACAACCTACTACATGAAGTGCATGCTTGGTGGTGCGCTTGCCTGCGGTTTCACACACGCCGGTATCACTCCCCTTGATGTCGCCAAGTGTAACATGCAGGTCAGTACCATTCTTTTGCTTTCTCACTGAATCCTCCTCGCACCCCCACCGCGTCGTTCGCGTTTTCCTCGCTTCATCCGTTCTTCACGTCTGCATTTGAGGCGGTCGGCGCGCGACTTCAGGTGCATACACTGGCCGCGCGATGGCTTTGCTGGCACCGTCCTGTTTGCCGCCCGCACGCGCGTGTTTGATTCTTGCAATATCCCTCGATCACGGAACCAACCCCTCACTGACGCCACAATGCACTTCAGGTCGACCCCGCCAAGTTCAAGAGCACCGGCCAGGCTCTCCGCACCATCGTCGCTGAGGAGACCTCCCGCGGTCTCTGGAAGGGCTTCGGCCCGACCTTTGTCGGCTACTCTCTCCAAGGTCTCTTCAAGTACGGTCTCTACGAGTACTTCAAGGACATGTACATGAACATGGCCGGCGAGGAGGCCTCTGCCCAGTACAAGGGTCTCATCTGGTGTGCCGGCTCGGCCTCTGCAGAGTTCTTCGCCGACATCGCCCTCTGCCCGCTGGAGATGACCAAGGTCAAGATCCAGACGAGCCCTGCTGGCACCTTCCCCGTCCCCATGTTCGCCGCCCTCTCCCACATGAGCGCGATGAAGGCGGAAACCCGCTTCCCCTTCGGCTCCCTCGTACCCCTCTGGTCGCGCCAGGTGCGTAGTCCCACCCACGTTCGCTCTGACTAGCCGACACTGACATCATCATGCCGTGATTCCAGATCCCGTACACGATGGCGAAGTTCTTCTTCTTCGAGTACATCGTCGCGCTCTTCTACAAGCACGTGTTCACCGCGCCCAAGGACACGTACTCGAAGCCCACCCAGCTCGGTGTCACCTTCGCATCCGGTTACCTCGCCGGTGTCGTCTGCGCCGTCGTCTCCCACCCCGCCGACTCGATCGTGTCGCTCATGGGCAAGCCTGCGAACCGCGGCAAGAGCCTCGGCGCGATCGCGTCCGAGACCGGCATTGTGTCGCTTGCGACCAAGGGTCTCGGTACGCGTGTGGTCATGATCGGTACTCTCACTGGCTTCCAGTGGTGGATCTACGACTCCTTCAAAACCGCCATGGGCATGGGCACGACCGGTGGCAAGTAAGCGGAGTGCTGTTGTACGAGGTGGCGGCTGGCGGAGAAGGAGAGCGATGCGATGTTATCTGCTGCGATTATACGGTCGATATGCGCTTCCCTCGGATTATAGAGTACAATGGACATACCCGTATAGAAGTCGTACTCGCTTGTCGTTCCTCGTGTGCATGTTCGCAAGGTTGCTTCGTGATTGCTGGTTCAAAGGAAGTAAGTACTCGGGTTGGATAAGTAGACCAGCCCATCAATGCTTGGCCGATTCTCGGGTTTTGTCAGGAGCCTTCTGTGATGGCGCCGCTGTCGGTTTTCTACCCCCAACGCCTCGATTCCGTACCGGAATGCGGAACATACTACAGCACCAAAGGACTCACTCATTCCGAGCATGAGACAATCACTCTTCAAGAGTTCAGATTGTTCGCCGACGAAGTCTATACACGTCTAGGCTCGATCATCCAGCCGGGTTCCTCCCTAAGCATACACGCCTGCAACCCCCGCACGGCCGGTCCGTTCTCACACCTACACCCGCGTCACGCTCCACTCCATGACACAGTAAACAGCACGACTCTTCTCGGCCTGGTGCCACACCGGCGGCTCGACCAGCTGCGCCTCCACCTCCACCGTGCCCTTCGCGAACACCCCGCCGTCCCACAGCGCCGTCCAGCTCTCCGCGTTGTGGAAGAACATCGTGACCTCCTGCCCCGCCGCGCCGCCCTGCGTGTTCACGCCGCTCTCCCGCTGCGCGGCCTGCTTCCCGAGCAGCATCGAGCCGGGCTCCGCGGACAGCAGCGGCGCCAGGGCGCGCGCGAGCCGCGCCTGCTCCTCCTCGGCGGCGAAGAGGTGGAAGACGTTGCAGACGCTCACCGCGGACACGCGCCCGTGGAGGGGCGTGAGCGTCGTGAGCGCGGAGAGCGGAGGAGCGGGGCCGGTCGGCGCGGAGGCGGCCGTGGCGATCGGAGCGGGGGCGAGGAAGGCGGGGTCGAAGGCGTCCCCGGGCACGAAGGGGACGGGGAAGGTCTCGGGCGTGGAGGCGAACAGCTTGTGGCCGAGCACCCAGAACTCTGTCGTGAGCGGCGGTGAGCGGCGGGTGCGGGACTGCGGGGAGCTGGGAACAAACCTGGGTTTATGTCGGTCGCGATGATGTTCTGGATGGGGTACCCGTCGTCGACGGCTTTCCTGACGTCGTTCCCGACTGCGGAGAGGCGTCAAGACGGGGTGCGAATGTTGACGCGGGGCATCTGCTCACAACAACAACCGACATCCAACCAGATGGCGTCTTTACGCGTCTTGCCGAGTTCGAGGAGTCGGCCGTACGCCGGGAGCCCACCCAGATTCAACCTACACGCATTTTTTCAGAGGGTTCTGTGCAGATAGAACTTCGATAATCCACCGACGAACTTCGTGAAGGAGAATATAACGATGCATGGGTACGGGTGGACCTATGCACAACTGGGTCAACGTCTGGTATGCTGCACAAGACGGATGACAAACCGTAAGCGCCTCGCGCTGCACGGCAAGAATGTGCTGCTTGAGTTCTTCATCAGTTTGAATCCCAGTTCTGGCTTTCAGAAACGTGCGCTCCGTCTCGTCGAGGTTATAGCGAGAGCCGGCGTTTGCCAGCGAAGCATCACTAGAATGGATGGGAGTCGGAGTAGCGGTAGACATCGCGAGGTAGAACAAAGCTAGTGGGGTCCTGACAGTCGTGGCTCAATGCCCTCTCCGTTAAAAGGCTGGTGAGAGCGCCAAGACCATGCTTCCAGGAGGCCCATCCTCCTTCTGCAAAGATAAGCGGCGTCAGTGCGCAAAGCAACTCGGTGAAGTGCCGAAATGGAGATGGGCGTCGTAAACCTAGCATCGTAATTCGGCGATAAGTGCTTGCGACGAAACGAATAGAAGGAGAATAGCGATGCTTCGTGCCATTCAAAAGTGGTCTAACGATGTGCCACAACTTCGAAAAACAAAGTTGTGTCTGGTGTGGCAGATCAGTACGGGCACTCTACATGGACGCTCTCGAAGACTGCACGCATCCTGCTCGGGGCCCGATTCCAGTCGATGGGTCCCCTCGCCCATTCCGACGTGCCCGTCGGTGAGCTGGCATCCCAGATGCCGAACTGTAGATGGGAGGGGTGAGACGGATAGTGAAACAAGCCATCCTTCTTCGTGTCCTCTGCGAACAGGGTTTTAGACTAGACCTAAAGCATCGCGAACACTCCGTACCTTGGGTCAGAGTGCGGACCTCGACGCCGTCCACGCTCCAGATGATGCGCTTTGGACTCCAGTCGATGGTGTAGGAATGTGTGGCTTGAACGTTCTTGGTGTCTCGCGGATACGACTGCACGGAACCAAAGGTGCCGTACAGCGGCTCATCCGCGGATGAAACAGGCGCAAAGACGTTCGTCTGCCAATGCTTCGGGTCGCCGCCGACCAGTTCAACGTCGATCTCGTCCCTTTGGTCCGCTGAAACACGGTCAGAGGGATCTTGCGAGGCATGAAGACTACGCACCTAACAAGATTGCCGCAGTCACCACGCCAGCTACGTCGGGCCCAGACAGGACATACGTGACCTTGCCGTAACTAGCGGGCAGACCGAGCTTAACACCGCACGCATATATACACCCAATTCAGGAGGGACGTACCGGATTGTGAACGTGGAGTTGAACGTGGATCCTTCCGCGACGCGGCTATTGGTGTTCCCTTCAGTGGCGATCTTGCCTCCAGGTTTGTCGAGAAACAAGCTCAAGCCGTCGGGTCCAAAAGCATAGGAGTTGGGTGAGTCTAGTGGTTGCCAAGCTCCAAGGAAGTCGTGAGTCGGAGTTGAGTCGGAGAAGAACCAAGACGTCGGCATGCAGGAGGATCCAGAAGCGCGAGAGTGGTGAACGGAGTCTGGGGCCACTCCTTGACTGATGAAAGAAGAACTTGCAGGTAAGAACATGGCGAGGAAGACGATTGCCAGAGATTTCCAGAAAGACATTGTGAGAGGGTGGCTCGAGTGGACAGATATGGATCAGAGAGCGTGCTGCCAAGTAGATGTAGCTCAAAGTACTATGTAGTAGAGGAGGAGGTTGAGGACGCAAGTAGTACATACTTGGGTCTCATTCTCAACACCAAGTCGTCGAACAACATTCTCACGCAGACGCGATCCCGTGACTGAACGTGAACCTCTAAGCTCTAACGTTCCCTCCCTTTGTCGCGCACCTTCTTTGGCGCAGTTAAGCTCGCTCTTCCCGATGACTTTCTCCGCGACCCCCTCACCTTCCTCGTCTCCCTCCTTGGCGCCAGTCGATTCCTCTCCTCCATCCTCGCCCTCTCTTACAGCTCTCCAAACACCGCCAACTTCCCCAGGAGCAAGAGATCCGTTCGCGGGATCCAATAAGTCTGTGAAGCACCCCCGCATATACGAGAGATCCACATTTCCAAAGGCATCCGGATCATGGGACACGCTTGACGGCACACGACCAGACGCGACGCCGAAGCCGACGCGTCCAACACGCGTCGTGGACCCGTTCTCCGGTTCCGCGAAGAGAGAATGGCGTCCGCCCACGTACGAAAGGAGACACAGAGAAGGAGATGATACACCTCACGCCAAAGCGGGTCCCTTGTCCTCTCCTCCATTTGTCAGCCAGTCAACACATCACTACGCTTCTCCGACTCCTGCCGCTCGTACACTTGGTGCAGGCCTGGACAGCTCCGACTTCGAGCTTTCAGAAGATGAGGGCGATGACGAAGATATCAAACGTTCCACCAAGGCCGCACCACCAGCCAAGTCGGAGGAGGAAATGTGGGAGGAGGCGATCGCCGAGGCAATTGAAAAGCTTCATGGCGTTATATATCTCAGGTGCGTGGCAACTGTATACGTTTAACCTCCCCAGTCGTTAACGGCGTGCGCAGTGGGAGTAGTGTCCTTGGCCCGCAAGTGTCGCACATACCCGCATCTATTGAAGAGCTGGCCATCCGCACCATCCTCCCTCTAGCAACCGGTTCGTCCAGTGCTCCCCCTTCTCCACCGCGATCCCCTCCTCCGCGTCTTGCCCATCTTCCAGTTCCATCCCCGTTTGCAACTGGGCGTCGGTTTGGTCGTGCGTCAACAGTTGCTGCCGCAGCATTCGAGCCGACTTTCTTCAAGAGCAAAGATGGTGAACGACTTCGATGTACCCCGGCTGCTCGGGCAGCGTCTCTCCAGTCCGTCATCCAACAGCCAGCCGGTTCACTGAGAAAATGCGAACTGCATCTCTTTCTGGCTCACAACACTATCTCTCTACTTCCACCCGAGTTGTTTCGCGTTACATCGTTGACTGTCCTCAGTTTACGTGCGTGCATATAGTCGCTCGAGAGCAAGGATTTATACTGATTGTCACTTGTCTTCTTCAGGGTCAAACTGCCTCACATCAATTCCACCCCAAATCGCCTGTCTAGTCGCTCTGCAAGATCTCAACCTCGCCCAAAATAAGCTGCACTGGCTTCCCGGGGAGATGCTAACGATGCATCTGAAAACGTTGGTCATCTCCGGGAATCCGTGGATCGAACCCCCTCCTCCACCATCAGGTCACCCAGTAGGCTGGAAACCCACGACGCCGACAGCATCACTATTCGGTTTCCCCTCCCTGACAGAACTATGTCTCCGTGCACTTGTTGCGCATCCGAAGCCTTCTCCACCGGTTGTTACAACAGATGCAGCCAGTCAGGCCCCCGCGTTGACCTTCCTGGAATCTTCATACGACCTTCCCCTCACCACCGACCTCATTATCAACCCCTCCATCCTCTCCGTCCTCCGCGTATGCGTGCCAGCCGCAGTCGCACGTCCTGCCGAGCACCTCACCCGCACCAAACGAAGAAGGGAGGACTCGCATTCCAGCATCTCGGACGACGTTTTCGGCACCCTCTCAGCCTCATCCTCTGCCCGACTTGAAGATACACCGAGCTGCTCGGAGGACACAACAGGGTCTGGTGTCTGCCCCTCCCCTCGACATAGGGACGGGGATTTGTGGCTCGACGGTCGCGAGCCCGTCTTCGTGCATCCCTCGGAGGAGAGGTTCACGTGGGAGGACATGGTGGCGGGTGTCAGTGTAGGCGGGGAGGGTGTTGTCGGGGCTGGCGTTCCCTTGCGATGGCGTGGATGCTCGCGCGGATGCCTGGCATTCCTCGACCCCCCAGAACCTTCGCCACCAGTGACGACCCAGGTCCCAGAGCAAGCTGCGGATGCGGATGCTATTGATGATGAAGACGTCCTCGACCTCGTGCTGAGCGGAGACGACGTGGAGATGGAGGACCTGCGATATACCGGGTCGTTCGCTGACCTAGGGGACTTTGAAGACGAGAACGCATTCTGAGGACACGCATGCATGTGTACTATTTGATCTACCATCGTCATCGCTCCATGTATCTCGCATATATACCTGTACGACCATATGTACCACACCACTATTGGGAAGTGAACTGTTGTCAATCAGTACACTTGCGGCTCAACTCTTTCGGATTCCCGTCTATTGTACTCGAAGGCATCGCGGTAAGCATAACCTACGTCCACTACAGCCCCATCTAGGTTGCGGTCTGAGATGTCTGTGCTCCCTCTTTGTGTCCACGGGAATCCAGTTGCGTTCCTCAGCATGCCAGTGTGAGCCATGTCATTCAAGTTTTGCCACCCCAATATGTACACCAACCGTGCCGTCCGCGCGAACATCTAAACCGCAGCCGTAGTGTTCGCCCACACGCTCTCGAGCGCAAACACCTCCACGCTCACCACCACACCCTCCGGAACGCCGCTCGCGTTCACTGCCAGCGTCGTCAACGGTTCCGTCGGGAAGAACAGCATCGTCGCGCTCTTCGAGCCCCCGTTGACGAACACCTCCAGCATGCTCCGGTCCATCACCACCTCCAGGCTCGCGCCGCCGCCCGCCTGTGGGACCACCTCCGCCGCAAACGTCTCGTTGAAGCCCATACCCGGGTTCACGAACCCGTGCGTCTGCGAGCGATCGAGGTGCACGACCCCTCCCGCGCCCGCCCTGTCGAAGTTGAGGCTCCCGCCGACACGCTCGCCCGAGGCCGCGCTCGCGAACGCGAAGTCGAAGCTCATCCCCGGAGCGGCCGCGCCGATCTCCGCGTGGAGGACGACCGCGCCCGATGGGGACCCCCTCGCGAAGTCGACGAGCAGCTCCCCGTGCCCGAGGTTCGCGTTGCGCGCAAGGAGAGGGCCGAGCACGGGCGCGAGCGCGCGCGCGGGGCGCGAGACGAGCGCGAAGCCCCCGCGTGTGGGGGCGAGGTGCACCGCGCGCGGGAGGGACATCGCGCTGCGCCAGCCCTCCTGCGCGGTGGGCGTGCTCGCGGCGTACGCGCCGTTCGCCGCCCAGGCGATGAACACCGGGTCGCCGTCCCCGCGCGGGGTGTCAAAGAAGAACTGCCCCGCGTAGTTGTCCTGCGCGAAGTCGATGGGCGCCGCGGGCGCGAGCGCGACGAACGTCGTGCCGTCGAACGTGCCGGGGATGTAGTGTGTGAGCGAGCCGCCGGGCGCGCCGTTCGTGCTGATCTGGAGGAGGTACATGTTTGCGTGGCCTGGGAGGAGCGCGCCCGAGCTGGGGTCGCGCACGGGGATGGGGACCAGGTTTGGGCACTCGTATTCGGGCCGGGGATCGCCGGGTCGGTGAAGTTGGAGGCGTGAGTCCAGGATTTGAGGTTGGGGGAGGTGTAGAAGCCGATGGTGAAGTCGTTCGCGTATGCGACGGCCATGACCCAGAGGTTCGTGGAGGCGTGCCAGATCACCTTGGGATCGCGGAACGCGCCAGAGTTGACGTCGATGACTGGGTTCCCGGAGAAGGGCGTGAAGGTGAAGCCACCGTCGGTCGAGTATGCGATCTCTTGGACTTCCTTTGTGGGTGTGTTGAGGGTGTAGATGGCGACGATACCGTTGGTCTGATTGGGGAAGAATCCAGAGGTGTTGTTGACGTCGATGACGGCGGATCCGCTGAAGATCTGTACGTCTGAAGTAGGAGGGGAAATCGCAATGGCTTGGTTCTCCCAATGGTACAAATCTTTGCTCGTCGCATGGCCCCAGTGCTGGTTAGCCGGTGTGAGCCCTATCGGGTTATCTGATCAAATGGTAGTCAGCCGAAAAGGTGGAGTGCTCTGAAAAGATACCGCTTGGCTTACATTGGTAGTAAAGATGATACGTTCCATTTGCGTCCACTAAAAGTCCATTCGGGTCATTCATCCACTCCTGACCGCACAGACATCAGAGAATGAGTGAGGTTGATGATGGAAGATGGGCGATTGAACATACCGCAGGAGGCGAAAAGTGAACTTGCGGTCGCAAAGGACCAGTATAGTTCCCCGTTGAAACATCTGCGAATACCCTCGACATGATTGTGCAGAGGAATGGCAACAAAGCCATGACTCGTTGAACCAGCTTCATGTCGGCGCTTAGAACCACGTGGTGCAGGGGCGAGGGGCCTGGAGTAGTCCTCCTCCGTTTGCGCTGGAGCTTCTTATGTATACGAGTCGCCATGCATCACGAGTTCAATCGGCGCTATATTGGCCCGCCTCATCATCTATCAAGTAGTGACAGTCATCGCTGACCGCAGGCAGGCACAACAGCAACGCTCTTGCAGAGCTTCAGCAGCGTCAAATAACTTGAACAAAGTCTAGTCAAGTAGTCACAATGCGACTCACGACGCGGTCGAAAAGGAGGAAAGACCCCTATGGTCTCGGTCACGTTGACTTGCGGATGGACGGGTGCCGTTTCCAGCGTAGGGGCACTTCTGGAGAAGCAGCGTCGGCTGACCTGTCCCAATACCAAAATACTTCAGCCTTGGTGCACTGTAGGGAAGGCGATGGGAACAATAACGGCACCTTAGCATGTCGTTTGCACAGGGAAGGGGCGAATTGAATACTCCGCAAGCCTTGCGAAGACCGGGGAAGACGATTTCTCCTGTGTCATGAGGCTGGGCGGCATTGACGAGATAGGACATATGGCTCCAGCGCGGACGGATCGACGCCCCGCCACGACGCAGAACCAGTTGACCGCGTGCAGACGGCAGCCTGCGGCGGCCCGTCGGAGCAGCACGGCGAGGGAGCTGCCGAGGAGGGAGGCGAGGCGGTGTAGTCGGTGGAGCGGGACGTCGAAGGTTCTTAGTGGCGAAGACATATCCGAAGTGCGGTCTGCCGACGAGGCGGCCGTTACTGCATATGACGGAAAGCATGTGGGCATCGCTGTGTTAGTCGTGATACGTGGAATCGAACTCGGCGTGGTGGATGGATGGGAAGAGCGGCTGAGCAGCTTCAACCACGGCGAGCTCAGCCTGAGGTCAAGCGGGACACTTCAAACATATGTCCGCAATCATTGACCAGTGATCTGCGATGTGCCTGTCAATACGAAGAAGTCAGTGTTGAACTCAGTTGACGATATAACGACAGATCACAAACATTCGTCAGGGCCCTGGCAAGGCCACGCAAGAAACTCGCACATGTGCTCCGTAGTATGAAGGATGATTATACCGGTGCGTCCCTGCGCTGAGGGGCTTAAGTGCCGCGCGACATGCTGTGTGTGTGAACCAGCATCCGAAGCCTTCAAATTTTCAAACTGCGCCGTGGGGTGTTCCTGTGCGCGGACCCACCACACGGAGACAGCAGCAATGATATCTCTACTCGCGGCCAGGTGTAGATCTGCAGGTTGCTGCGGCGTCCAGTCCAAATCTACAGAGCCAAGAGAGACCCAAGGGAGACCGACGACAGGCGCAGCGGATCAGCGCAGCAAGCAGCGCCGTCGCCGTCCGCGTGCGTGCACAGCTTCTCCCGTTCACACCCTCTTGTACCTACCGCCACCATGCATAACGGCACCGTCATCCACCTCTCCGCCGCCATCCCTCTCCGCTGTCCCGCCATCCCTCCGTGCTGCCCGCTGTCAATCTTCGCCTCTTCTCCCGGATGAGCCTGGACCAGAACCTCTTCACCCTCAACGTTAGCCCCCGTCAAGATGACCGCAGCATAGTCGACCTAGTGGATGCGAAGGGCGTGGTGCATTACACGAAGAGGCGTCTGCCGACGAACGAATACAGAATCGAGGTATACGGTACGTATATGCTACTGTATGCGTGTACCAGTTATCATAACTTGCTCCAGATGGCCTGTCCGAGGCTTTGATCGCGTCTGTTACTGCCCGAGCCCAACGAACAAGCACAAAACGGTCCAGCTCTACAATCCAGACATTGTAGTTGAGCTCAAATTTTCCGGCATGATCTCGTTTAAGTGGAGCTTCAAGTGGGAAGAGTACGTGCTTCACTTTCACCCCGAGACATTCATACTCAGGCGCATACAGTAACGAATTCGAATGGAGACGAGAAGAGTGTTACATCATTCGTAAACCTGACCCTGCCGTCCTCGTCGCCGTCACGAAGGAACCCCCAGGCAAGCTCCAGACACGGGCCGTCCAGATCTTGGACTACAACCTCAATCGTTTCGACATCGACGACCGGAAGGGCCTCGAGATCGTCATCCTCACCGCGCTCCTGACGTTCCAAGACTCGAACGAGACCTACCACACCCCTAAAGACGGTACTCCTTCCGTCCAAACACCTTCCCAACCAGTCACTCCTTCCGGCCCTCCCCCGTTGGTCCCTCCCAGACCCGAACCGCGCCAAGGTGTTGATCGGGTCGCGGAGTTGCACGCGCTGCGCACAGCACAAGGCGACGGTGATGCGAACGAAGTCCACGTCTCTGAGGAGTGTAGCATTGAGGACTATGCGAGGTACGCGGAGCAGTTGTTGAACGTGAGTCCTTCTGTGCTGCTGCGATCCTGTTTCCGCTCGCTGAGCCCTCCCCGCAGGACGGGGCGATGCTCTTGGTCTCTGTGCGCTCCGCGTCTGCTGCGGAGGTTCCCAAGGTACTCCGAGTCGTCGAGGAAACGAAGCGGTTGCGTCATAAGTCAGGTGCGTTGTTTGTGCATTTCTTGCGCTGTTGAGCAAGGAGTTGAATTGCGTTGCAGGTATCGCTGAGGATGTGGAGTTACATCAATATGTCATCTACGAGACGGAGCAGTCTCGCAAAGGTCCTCGGCGGATCAATCTCAACGACCCCGACCCCAAGAGGGATCAGTACGCTCCGCCGACGAGCCTGACGATCCATCTCAGCAAGATTGACATGCCTGAGCTACGTCCACGAGTCACCGTCCATCGTCCCTCCGGGTCTATCGAGCTTCCCTCTCCTCCGCCGCCGGAAGTGCAGCTCTCGGACAAGGAGCGAAAGAAACTAGAAAGGGAGCGAGAGAAAGAGCGCAAGAAGACGGAGAAGGATGGCAAGAAGAAACCCAAGAGTAAGGCGCAAGAAGACCCGGCATTGAGACTTTCTACGTCCCCTTCGCCTCCTCAAGGCCACGCGTCTGCACCTGTCTCCCGCGCGCATTCACCATCGCGACCACCCAAGGGGAAACTTGCCAAATCGTCCCATACCCCGGCCCATCAGGTACATGTGTACCAGCCATCGCCCTCGCCCTCGCAGCTGGGCAACCCTATGATCTACGCCGCCCCTCCGCCCCCTCACACTTCGCAAGCATCGCGCCCACGGCCGGGCTCGATGGCGTATCCTGCGCCCAACCACGTACAATCACCCATATCACCGACGACTCAACAAGGTCCCGCGTTCGGAAACTGGGGCTCAATGGACCGTCAGTCGTCAGGACGCCCGACGTCGTTCTTCCAGCCTGCAGGCAAGGGCCCGGTTACCTCGCTCCTCAGCATGTGGTCGAAGCAGTAGAAGTTCAAGATGCGTCTCGGGGATGGTGTACGTGTACAGGGCCGGATGCAGAGGTGTTCGACTGGTGCGTTCGCATCTCCCCCACTCTGACCGCGGAACTGGGAGGGGAGATTTGGCATGTTGTCGCAGTCTTCCTTCGCTGCCATCGTCGCGAAGGCCGCGCAAGGGGCGAAGCTCGCATGGTTTACTTTTGGACTGCAGTGCGATGATGTGTAGATCTTTTCTCCTGGGCTCTATTTATGGGTAGACATCAGCCGTATGCTGATAGCGGCTTATAGCATGCTAGGACTTGGAATCTGTATGGAATACGCACATCATCTCATTCTCTCTTCTCGGAAGGTTTCCGCGCACTCGTCGTTCGGTGAGGCTTCATCTGAGCATCGAGGTAGTGGCAAAGTGGGCGTGGGTTGGTCGTGCAATGAACTGATCGCGCATTCCTAATACCAGCGCTGACGCATACACTGGACGCTGGCGCCACGTCTAAAAGCACTCACCATCAAGACATCGGCTTCGCTCGTTGCTGTGTCCAACGCGTAGCCATCAGCGGCCCCCAACCTGCACATGGTCCCTCAAGGCCTCAAGGCCTCACACCTCATCCCGGACGCACTACTCGCCTGCGCCCGCCAAAGGAACAGCGCGCAACGCCTCGATCGCAACGACGACTACGATGTGAGTGGTTGCAGATGCCTGGAAGCGCCCATGCGGTATGGCCGCAAGGCGCGTCGGGCAGCGCCTCAGCGCCGCCCACCGGATGCTGTCACGTCGAGGACGATGGCGCGCGGTCATCCACCCCCGAGCGACGTTGCGCGCGGATGAGGAGTTGAGGATTGTTCTGCCTTCTAGGGCGTGGCGACGTCCGTTGTTTCGTGTGGACGTCCCCAAAAATACAGATCAGGCGCGTACAAAGAGTATGAGACTGAGCTGCATCAGATCTTGAGGCCTCGTATGGAGATTCAGACTCGGGTCCCGGGAGCGGGTGTGAGGTATTTCAGTCTTCACAGCGTTCCTCGCGCGCGGTCTGAGGTCGTCCACCGCACAGGTCGTTGGGGATGTCGAAGATGGCAGTCGGCGCGGGTCGAACTCATTTGCGATTGGAATCCGCGCTCGGTCGTTGTGCGGCGCCGCAGTGCCAGCATGCGCCTGTACGTCATCCAGGTGCGCGCTTTGCGCAGGCCATAGCCTCTGCCAAGCCATCGAGAAGGTGGGCATTCGTGTGCTCCGAACGACTCCGTACTTACTTACTGCAGGCTTCAAAGCCACCCCCGGCTGCGTGCGGGAGCAACCAAACACAGCTGATCGTGGGCCTTGGCGGCTGCTGACACTCAGTTCTCAGCCATTGACGTCAAGGACTGGATGAGGCACCATACCCTCTACCGATTATGCCGAGTTTTTGGGCGCAGCTCGCACTGCGCTCCGCGGTGTGCGGCGGGTCGGCACGAACACGCCGCCCGCCGAACGCATCTTGTTGCGACGCCCATCGCCATGCGGTACGGTGGATTCTGTGGGAGTGTGCCCGACACAATCGCTCATCTTCTTTAGCAGTTTTTACAACTCAGGCCTCAGGCCTCTGTCTCGCGCGCACCACAACGTCAACTGTTGAAGATCGTGCTCGCTGTACAGGGCCTGCCGAGGAGTCTTCGAAGGTGGTGCCTCCCCGGAAGTAGAGATGGCAGTGCGGCATCTACGTATCATCATGTCTCCAATCAGGTGGGAGTGATCCGGGACGGTTGGCGCCTATATGTCGCTCTCGCCGCTGAAACGCCTCTCCAAGGTCGCTGCCGCTCATGGTCCAGACGGCATCACCTCTCGCCGAGGCATATCGGCCGGGCCAAGCATCGCCTTCCCGCCCAGCCGATCACAGGCCGGGCGCGGCACGCGGGCGACTGCAGATGGGGCAACCGATATATAACCTCAGCCTGGACAGGGCTCGTTCCTCGTTCGGTTTCTTCACCGCAACGTCTACGACCCCCTTTTGCGATCCGCGATCGCCCCCCACAGTCCTCTCGACTTCGTCTCTCCTTTGTGACCTAGTGTCCTCGCCACTCCTCTCCTTTAAGCGTAGAACGCCTACTTACGACCAACCAACATGAAGTATTCCCTCATCACCCTCGCCCTCGCCCTCGGTGCCTCCGCCGCTCCTGGCTTCAAGCCGAGCTTCACCACCCGCAAGCGCGCTGCTTTCACCCTCCAGAACGGTCAGGATGCCATTGCCCTCAAGTGAGTTTGGACGTAACATGTCGGCTTGGCACGATGATCCTGACGTCCTTGTTCCCTTTTTTCAGCCAGAAGTTCGCCGGTCTGACTGCGGACTCCGCCTGCACGGCTGGCGAGAACGCTTGCGTTAAAGACCAGTTCGCGCAGTGTGTCAACGGCAAGTTCGTGCTCCAGTCCTGTGGTGCCACCCTTGTGTACGTTCTCCGTTCATATGACGCATTCTACGCAAACTCACACTTCGATGAAGCTGTGCTGCCCTCCCGCTCGTCAACTCTGCGGGTACCTCGATCACCTGCACGACCGCCGCCGACCGTGACGCTCGTATTGCTGCCACTGGTGCGACCGCTGCGTCCACCGGTGCGGCGACGACCTCTGCTGCGGCCGCTGCTTCCTCGTCCGTCGCCGCCGGTAACAACGCTGCCAACGGCAACGCCGCGTCCTCTGCGGCTCCCCCTGCTGGCACCGCCGCGGCGAACGCCCAGACCGCCCTCACCATCGACCCCTCGAACGTGTTCGACTACTCGACCACTGGCGAGCCGCTCAACGACGGCCAGGAGGCGTCCACCACGTCGACGAACAACTTCATCAACTTCTGCCTCCAGTTCCCCCAGAAGCAGAAGACGAACGGCAAGCAGATCGTCGAGGGCTCCTGCAACCAGACTCCGATGGGCGTGATCGCGGCCAAGGCCCTGATGCCCGCCGCCGCGTTCGTCGAGCCCGCCAACCTTGCGACTGTCCCGGCGAACCAGAACTTCACCATCAAGATCGCGATCCAGAACATCGAGACCGGCCACTTCACGAACCCGGACACGACCTTCCACATGGCGCCCCAGACCGTGAACGACGCCGGGCTGATCAAGGGCCACTCGCACGTCACGATCCAGCAGATCGAGTCCCTCACGTCGACCAAGATCGTCGACGCGACGTCGTTCCAGTTCTTCAAGGGCCTCAACGGCGTCGCGCAGAACGGCATCCTCAGCACCGTCGTCGGCGGCGGCCTCAAGCCCGGTGTGTACCGCATCGGCACCATCAACTCGTCCTCGAACCACCAGCCCGCGCTTGTCGCGGTCGCGCAGCGTGGTATCCTCGACGCCGTCGCCTAGTGAGTGTCCTCATCAGGATCGTCGCCGCGCAGTGTGCTGACATGTCCCTTTCCTCCCTCGCAGCTTCACCGTCCAGTAAACGACCTCCGCTTACTACTCGCTCTCTACCCTCGCTTTACTATCACCCTCGCTCTACTTCATTCCCGGTCGTATTTATATTGAGGTGTGGCGCCTCGGATACCATAACTTATTTATTGTCACATTGGAGAAAGTGTTGTTGTACCCCTTGACACACGTAATGATATCGATGACTGTGGTTATGACTTGCTTTACCTGGTGTGCCTGCAAGCGACTGAGTGCCAGAAGCCCCAGTAATACGTGGGAGGCAGTAGATGTGGACGGGCCTGCCTGGGCGACTTGCATAGGATGAGCGCGATCGCGCCGCCCGGGCCGGACAGACTACCGACTCGTGCCGGTAAAAGTCGCGGCTTGCCACTTGACTTACGCCTTCCACCGCGGCGTCCCCACCCTTTTTCGGGTTCCTCGTTGTTCTAACCTCCCACGGATTATTTACAAGCACGACGGAACCCTCACACAAGAATTCAACCTCGACGTAGGCTTTCTAGTCATGAACTGCACGCTACACACACACACCTTCTCATCCTTCCACGATCATAACGCCGCTGACGAGACAGGCTGGGCTTGATGCATTCGGTGAACTTTCGTCCAACGTGCGCAGTATCCGACCCGGCGATCCTGTCTGCAGTGACGTGGGCGAACTGCGCGACGTCGTCCTTGAAGGCCATCCTCGAGCATGTTTCCTCCGATTGTCCCGCAGGTTAAACTTCTTACAGGTCCCGTCGAGCACTGCGCACCGAGGGGTAGACATGCCCGCAGTAGGAGGCCGTCGCAGCTGCGAGCGTGCCAGGATGCGCGCGTCGCCGACGGAGCCGAACCAACGCGTATATATACGCTGGGGTTGGAGCGTGATATGCAACAGCTCGCCACACAAGATGTTTCTCACCTCGCTGAACCTCACCCTTGTCACCGCAGCGATAGTACTCGCATCGCCAACTCACGCTCACACGGGCAACACTAACAACGTACGCTCATTATACGCGTCTGGTGTCCAAACTGCAAGCTGACCACTTTTCTCTACCGACAGATTGAATGGTTCACCTGCGATCCAGCTACGATCGGCAATGCGAGCATCTCGTGCGGTTTCTTCCAAGTCCCACTTGATTACCAAGACCCCTCCGCAGGCAAAGGACGTATCGCGTTCGGAATACTGAATGCGACCGTCCCCGCGTCGGAGAAGCTGGGAACGGTGTTCTTCAACCCGGGTGAGATCCGCACACGAGACCTGGCCTTCGCAGAGGCGACTGACTTGCGGTGTCGCAGGTGGCCCGGCGTTGTCGGGGATCCTTAGCATTGCGCTCAACGCCGACCTCCTACAGACGCTCACCGCCGGGCTTTACGACATCGTCGGCCTCGACACACGGGGCACCGGGAATCTGACTATGTGCGCCTCCGGGTCTGGTCCCTCTCGCTGAGACGCGCGCTGACGACGATGCCGACGCAGCCCTGGGGACGTGTTCTGCTTCGACAACCCAGAAGAGCAGGACGACTTCTTCGCCGGCACGATTCAGGACACAGGCATCGCATACACGGGACGGTTTACAGACCCCGAGGACGTCTCGGTGCTCCTCGCGCAGGCCCCGCTCATGCAGCACAAGTACAAGACGCTTGGGCAGCGCTGCCTCGAGCACTCAAGTGGGCACCTCCTCAAGTACGTCGGCTCCGCGGCGACCGCACGGGACGTGGCTGGCCTTGCGGACGCGCTCGACGGTGAGGGCAGCGCGATCAATTTTGTTTCGGTCTCGTACGGGACCTTGGTCGCGATGTGGCTGGCGAACAGTACGTACATCGTCGTCTGCAGAGCGCGGCCAGGAGCTGATACGTTTTGGCACGCGGACTAGTGTTTCCCGAAGTACGTTCTTCGATGTGCGCTCGCTTCGATTTACGCATCTGACCGCGCCGATCTCTTGCAGCGCGTGGGCCGCTTCGTCCTCGACGGCGTTCTCGACCCCGTCTTCGTCGCCACTCAAAGCCTCTCCCTTGTGCGTCTTCCCTCCCCTCCCTTGTGCGTCCCTCGCGCTCACCGACCTCTCCCCAGCATTGGTCCCATCAGCTCGTCGATGTCGACAGCGCATACACCGCCTTCCTCACCGGCTGCTCGCTCGCCGGACCCGCCGGCTGCTCGATCGCACCCCATGTCAACTCCTCCGCCTCAGACGTCGACAGCGCAGTCAACGCGCTCCTTCAGACCGCGCACGACGCGGAGCGCGCGAACTCGTCAGTACCCGTGACTTCGGGCGACATCCGCAGTGAGTCATGACACTCTCCATACTGTTACACGCGGTTTCTCAAGGATGCGCAGTGGAGCTATATGGGATGCTGTTCAACCCGACCGATTGGGCATCGTTCGCGAACGACGAGTGGCCCCAGTTCGTGGCCGCTGTGGGAGGCGAGACGGGAGCAAACACATCGACGAGGACGGAAGTGCGCCGAGGGTGCGTCCGACCCTCGTCTTCCTAGAGCCCCCGTCTGAGATCTGACCCTCCGTGCTCTCCTCGTACGATCAGTATGCACGTGCGCCGTGGGCACGGCTCTCAAGAAGATGCCACTACGCCCTTGAGCGGGACCGCAATCCAGTGCGGGGACAGCGTCGACGTCCGTGACCCCAGCATGCGCGCCGTGTTCAACAACCTGATCGCCGCCGCGCGCAACGTTTCCCGCATCGGTATGCACATGTCTCTCGTCCTCGCGCGCGCGAATCTCATGTATGCGCACACACAGCTGGGGCCGCGTGGCCCGCACAGGAGTACATGTGCGACTTCTGGCCGGTGCGCGCGGTCGAACGATACGAAGGCCCGTTCAACAAGACGCTCGCGAGCCCGGTTCTGGTGCTTTCGAACGTGGTAATGTCCCTCGTTTTCTCTGAACGTACGACGGGCTCACGCCCCAGCAGTTTGACCCCATCACCCCACTGGCGGGCGCTCGAGAGATAATAACTCTGCTGGGAAGCCAAGCGCGGCTTGTCACTCAGCGAGGCATTGGGGTAGTCGTCGTTGGTCCACGTGATGTTCCGTACGTTCACGCGACCCCTTAGCACACCACCAACTCGGAGCCCCCTTCGGCATGTTTATCGAGACCGTGGTTGGGTACATTGTCAACGGCACGGTAGCCAACCACCCTCCTGTCCGTGGGCGGATGTGCTGATGGACATACGAACAGCTGCCCGCCGACAATAGCGTAGTGTGTCCAGTCGCCGAGGACTTTGAGCCGTTCGCAGGGGTAAACACGGAAATGATCTTTGCGGCCATGAGTCTGTGAATTTCTCGCGATGATCTACGTCGGTTTACAGCACTTTTGTCGATGGCACTGGTTGTAATTGACATGGACCTGTGTCGGGGCGCCGACACCAACAGTGACTCAATCAGCGCCGGCGAGAGGACATGGCGAGGACGGCGCACGGACTCTGCTTCGGATGTATTCCAGCTCATTCTGTTCGGTTTCTCGGTGCCCCAGCTGAGAGGACGGCTGTGGGGAGACCAGCCATCATATATATATGGGTCTGAGGCCCCCACACAATCTAGTTCCCCTTCTCTCTCTCTCTTCGTCCGTTCGCCGGTCCGCGCAGCCGCCTGCGCCAGTCCGATAGCCGCCCGATATCCAACGCTCGTCTGTCTCGTCTCGTCTGTCTGTCTCTCGCTTTCTCACTCTTCCTCTCTTCTCTCATACCACTGGCCGACATCCCGCGACTTGAGCAATAGCGACCTCAATGAGCAGCAATGAGCACCCCGCCGCCGATGAACCCCGCGACCTCGAAAACGGCACGGCGGACAACAATGCGCCCCGGCAGCCCCGGAGCTCTGTCCCTTCCTTCCTCTTCATCTCCTTCGTCCTCTTCATGCTCATGGGCGGCCGCGGCGACGAGTTCGCGTCCTCGCGCGACCTGTACGTCAACGGCCTCCAGTCGCTCAACCACCAGCTCTCGAACTACACCGCGTGGCTGAACGGCACCGCGACCAACTTCACCCTCGTCAGTCCTCCCGTTCCGCCGTACGCAGACGGTGCTCATGCGGTTCCCGATGCGTGTCTGTGGGGGGACAGCCCGCGCAAGACCCGAACACTATGCCGCTCGTGTCCTCGTTCATCGCCCACGGCCGCACCCTCGACCCCCGCCGCGGCTCGTACTACGCGAACATGACCGGGTACTGGCACGCCGCCATCCAGGCGCACAACCTCACGGCACTAAACGCGACCGAGCGGCGCGCGCCGTGGCGGCCGCTGTCGGAGCAGTGGATGCTGCCCACGAACCTCACGCTCGTGCCGGCGAGGCTCGGGGCGTGGAACTGGACGCGGTCGAACAAGGTGACGATCAACATCGGGGACAAGCTCGTGCCGTTCGCGCGGAACGCCAGCGCGGGGAATGCGGACGGAGAGGAGAAGGAGAGGGTGGCGGCGAAGGATGGAGAGGAGGGTGTGGTGAAGGACATTGCGATCATACATGTGAGTGCCCGTCGGGACTCGTGTCGTCGAGGTGCTCGTTTGACCGCGTTGGATGCAGGGCAAGATCGAGTTCTCGGACCCTATGAGCTCGGACGAGCTCCATCTGGACTTCGAGGGCGTCCATGTGGTGTCGACAGGCACGGTGTATGCGTTCGCGGAGGGTCCAGGGTGAGTGTGACCGTTCGTGGGGTCTATCTCGTCGTTAACTAGACCCGATGGATGTCCCCAGACGAGGCAACGATATTCGTGCACTACCAGCCCTTGTCCCCGAAGGCCTCCGGAATGATACCGCTCGAGCAGCGGAGAAGGAACTTCGTGCCCGGATCAACAGACTGCAGGACAGGATCAACACGGGAGTATTTGAGCAGGATACATCTTCCACCGGTGCGTGTGTTCGCGCCTCAGCGTGAGCAACCCGAACCAACAATTCGCAGATGACAGCCTCAAGACCAACTGCTCCTTCCAGTTCTATGCTCAACTCGACCCCACCAATGTTCCCGAAGAACAAATGAGGGAACTCGAGAGAGAGTTTGAAGAGCCTACAGGTATTACCACTGTGCGAGCACCGGAGCTGGCGCTTGAAGCAGTGCTGCTCAGTCAAGACTGCGGACTTTTGTACGAAGTGCAGCATGCGACTGGCGTACAGTGCGTAAATCCTTTTTGATGTCCTAGCGGGAGCTAATGCACCAGTTACAGAACGAAGAGACTCTACGGCAAGATCACCACTTGTAAGTCCTTCTTTGACATGCGCTTGCATCTGAAGGTTCATCTCCCGCCCATGCAGACTCTGGCATCTCCACGATTGTCAGCTTTATCCTCCTCGCTCTCTTCCGGAAGCAGGCGACAGAGAGCAGCTCCGCTGCTGGGTTGTCCAAAGTCTCTCGTTACACATTCCTCATCCAAAGCTTGATCGATGCTATATCTTTCGTGGGGGTGCGTTCAGATGCATATATGCGTCAACTCTTCGACCGTTGCTGACTGCACGTCACAGCACGTCACGGTCGCCATTCTTGCAGATGGTCAACCTTCACTATCAGTCCTCGCTCCAGCCGGTCTCTCATGTCTGCTGTTCATCTACGAGGCAGTGCGTATTTTGGTATGAACTTCCATATCTATAAGCTGACGGCATGGTACAGCAATTTGCCGTCCTAATAGGCCAGATGCAAGCACACGAGGACGTGCCGTCGCCCGCTCCAGCACCACCGACGCCAGCACCACCGCCTTCTACACCTCCAGCCTCTCAGCCTCCGACTGAAGGCTCAGCTCCTGCGGGGGAAGCGACGCCACCTACCACTGCCCCGCCAACAACAACGCCCACACCCGCCCCTGCCCCTGCGCCCACACCCGCGCCCGCACAGCCTAATGAACCCGGTCGTCCCGGCTTCCTTCCGTTCTTGTGGAACCACATCCGCACAGACCCTGCTGCGCGACTGTGGACAATCATGTCGCTGTGCCTAATCATCCTCTTTCGGGTGGTGATCATGCTCTCGCTCCCCCTCTTCTTCATCAGCATGCTTTACCTGAGCATGTGGGCCATCCAGATCTACCGGGGCGCCCGGCGCTCGCGGAGCAGCGGGCTCTCGACGACCTACCTCGTCGGGACGACGCTCGGCCGGCTCTTCTACGCTTGCTGTACGTTTCCTCGCACCCTCTCTGTCCTCCTCTTCAGTTGACTGACTGACGCCTCCCGCGGCAGACTTCCTCGGCTGCCCGAAGAACATCTTCGACGTCGAACCCCGGCCGTGGATCTTCCTCCTCGCGCTCCTCATGCTCGCCCAAGCCGGCACCCTCGACTTCCAGACACGGTTCGGCCCCACCTTCTTCCTCCCGCGCCGCGTGGCCCGCGCGGAGACGTACGACTACCACCCGCCGCTGCCGCTGCCCGACCCGGAGGCGCCCGAGCAGTCGCTCGGCGACTGCGCGATCTGCATGGACGCGATCGAGGTGGACGACGGGATGCGGCGCCGGAGGAGCAAGTCGCGCGACGGGCTGCTGGGCGGGGGCGGGAGCGGGGCGGAGGAGCGCGCGGGCTTCTTCCGGAGCGTCGCGGGGAAGGGCGCGGCGAGGAAGAGCTACAGTCTGGCGCCGTGCCACCATCTGTTCGTGAGTCGCCGGTTTGGATTTGTGGCTTGGGGGCGGTTTGCTGATCGGTTGCGGGTCCCCTTCGGCAGCACACTGCGTGCCTTGAGCGTGTGAGTGCCGTTCACTTGGTTGGAACGCATGCTGCAGTACTGATGTGCACCTCTGGACTTCTTGCGGTGGCGTGTGCAGTGGTTGGCGATCAAGGTGAGCTGGCTTCCGTGCGTTCGGGGTGCTACGAGCCGTCGCTGACGAGGACGGGATAGAACATCTGCCCGCAATGTCGTCGGCCGTTGCCGCCTCTGTAATCTACGGATACACTAATCGGACGCTAATGTCACCCCTGTACTCGTGCAATGCAATACACCCTCGGACTTTTGGATCTATCTCACGCCGGGGAGCATTGGCTGCGCACTCCACTGAGACTTCGATATCAAAGCACAGCTGATCTGGGCGACGCGCGACATCGGAGGCTTTCGGGTGTTTCCTACGGGGCATCAGCGTCCTGATCATAAATAACGCCGCAGCCGCAGGAGACGGGCACCATGGGAGCGCTGCTTTTCTGCCCCGCCGTCTCTGCTTACGTCTTGCGTCCGTGAGACCGCGTGCGACACACTGTGAGTTTGTGGGAAGGCATGAGGCTGCATGGGCTGTGTCGCAGAGGAGCTCAGGACTTTGTTGCGAGCGCAGCGAGCCATTCAGAGGCTAAGGTAGTCCCGGCGCAAACACGACTACGTCAGGTGACCTTGGCGCCGTCACGCTCGTCTGACGCCGGGGCCGTTTGGCACAGGGAGCACAATGTAAATCGATAGGATACTCAGGGTGCACTTTATCCGTTAAAGCGTTCTACGGAAGTTGTGAAACAGGATGTAATTCATATATTCCGTAAAGCAGAAGTGCAGAAATGCGAATGTTCAGAGAGGAGATAGTTCTGCACTGAGAAGGAGTATAGGTAAGTCAATTTCCATGGCACCTACAGGAACGCAGGCAAATCCTGTCGCCGAATGCTGTGGCGCAAACTGGACTTCTACAGCTCTTCCAATATCGTTAGGCCGTTCTCGCGCAGGAGCGCGAGTGGGGTCGCGTTTAGTTTTGGAGCAGGCCATAGCGCGTAGCACCCTCGCGCACCACCGCGAGCGCGAGTCCGAGCGCACCGCCGCGAGCACTGCTCGCACGCGGCGATATCTCTGTGTGCACCCCCGTGCGCATAGACTTGTGCTCGCGCGCGAGGGCTCACGTCCAAACTTCCATCAGGACTTGAACGTAGGGCATAAGTGCCCTTGCACCAGGTGGAGAGGCCATTCCACAATGTGATGTGTCTATCCGGTGATCATGCTATTGCCCCACCTCGCCAGGCTTATTCGCGAGGAGTCTGCGGCGCACTTAGAGATATCGCCACATGCGTGCGGTGCTCGCGGCGGTGCGCTCGGACTCGCGCTGCCCGTCGCGCGTGGTGCGCGAGGGCGTTAGGCGCCGTGGCCTGCTTCATTTAAAACTAAACACGCGGCCCCAGTAGTACTCGCGCTCCCGCGCGAGAAAGGCCTATCGATATTGGAACGGCTGTAATATTTAATCCTACACGCATCCTTTTCCTTATGGTCTCCCGCACTGTACTGACTCCGATACACTTTACCCACTGTGCGCCTTTAGTTGAGCGCGCCAATGATATCTTCAGCCGCCGAACAGATAACTCCTCCTCACGTGCTCGAGTCACGGATTGTGACGCCCATCACACGTAGTCGTGTTTGCGCCGGGACCACCTTAGGTGAACGGCGATGCAAACAATGACAAACAGACGGTTTAGCGCCCTACTCTGAAACGCTCACTTCGCCTCTGTTTGATGTAATTCTCATGTATATCTAGCTCTTGTCATGTTACAGCTGGTAACAAATCGATAGATTTCCGCACACGCGGTGGAGCTCGAAAAAAGCGACGCTTGCGCGAGGCGGCCAGGGTCGCTCCCGCTTCGCTCTGTTCCGCTGCTCCTGTGCGCGCGCGCGGTCGCTGCACTGACTTTGCAGGTATGAGTGCCACTGCATTTTAGAATATGTAGCACACGTTGCTGGCACTGCATAGCGAGCGATGCCGTGTCCCACAAAGGCTAGTTATGACTACGAGCTTAGCACGCTCAGGAAAAAAGAGTTCAAGAGAAACCTGCTCCTGGCGGTCTATCCGCGGCTTACGAGATCGCGAGCGAGCAGTCTTGACGACACAGCTCGATGACCACCGCTCGTACCGACTGGCTCGGTGGACAAGAAACGGTGCGGGCGAAGATGCAGGGGACGGACGGGACGATCATGAGTGCAGTGGTAAAGGTGGTGTGCGAAAGAAATGGAGGTGCTCGAATATATATACAAAATCGGGTCGTTCCCGAAGCACGCGAGAGAGAGAACAAAGGCGGTGAGTCAGAAAGAATCCATGCGCGAGCCTTGAAGAAATCCGAGCGAGGTCAGTCTGGCGTAGCGCTGGGCCAGAGCGCCGGCCCGTCCCATGACAGTTATTCCTCTCTGCTCGGACCGTTTCAGTGGAGATTGTGCAGGCTGAAGGTTGCACCGTGACGCCAGCTACTTATCCGGGGAAACCGGTGTCGGGAGCCAGATGTCCGCCAAGCCCGGTGCGCCCTCGATACAGCTGAAGAGGCTGAGAGCGAGGAGGTAGTGTCGATGCCCAGACGAAGCCCGGAGCCGAGAGGGACGTACGGGGGCCCACAGGGACGGTAGAAGCCCATAGAGGGGACCACGCACGTCGATCTGGACAGCCAAGTGGATTGAAGCGTCTCCGCATGGCTGGAGAGCAGGGGACCTACAACTTGCGAGCCCGGGCCCGCGGGAGTGGTAAACGGTGGCCCTTGCGCGCGCTTTCGGCCCCGGCACCTTTCCTCTCGACCACCACGTTGCCCGCCCTCGTCCGCTCGCCGTCGACGTTCAGGCTCACACCGTCGCCGTGCGGAAGCGTGCAGACCAATATGCCCCTCCTTAATGGACGTCCTTGTTTCAATATTGCCGGTGAGAGAACGGCTGGGATCGCGCCGAGACTAAGCGGTCAGGTGTGTTCGGGCGCCTTGAAGGTTGATGCTGCTTGAATGCGCCCGGTAACATAGCGACACCGCCCACGATCAAGGGCAGCCGTTGGGAGCGTCGAGGGCAGCCCCCAATCGCGCAGCGTGCGCCGTTTGTCGTCCAATGGTGTGGCGCGGTCCAGGATCGCGGTACGCCCCTCCTCATCTTCGCTTGTTCACGTCTGCCAGGTGCTGATCTGTGCTGATTCGCCCGTTCCCCAGGGACTGCGCCCGATTGGCCTGCGCGCTGGCAACCACATGTTGCGCGAGATGTACGCGTTCTCGCTAGAACGCCTAGATAGATCCGTCGCTCACAAGCAGTCACAAGCGTGCCCACCGGCAGCCAGTCGGCGTGAAGTTGCTCCGCGTCTCCAGCGAGGAACCCGGGGCCGCAAGCGCTGCCGCATCCGAGGGGAGACGTACAAAAGCCCCGCCCAGGCTCACGATAGCTCTCCACCCCCCGTCTTTCTCTCCTGCAACGCACCGAGGCCGGATCCTCTTCACAGCCCCAGTCTGCTGGTCACCGCTTGTTCTCCTCCAACTTCACGTTCAGTTCAAGCTCTCCGGTCTTCGCCTCTAGCCTCCGCCGTTCCTTCCTTTGACTTTTGCCACCTTTAAGACCCAAACTCTCTTTATCTTCCACCCGAAGTCTGGCACTATGTTCTTCTCCTTCAAGCCCATCCTCGCCACCGCCCTCGTCGCCCTGACCCTCTCCCTCGAGGTCAGCGCGCACGCGCTCATCTCGCCCGCTCTCGGCGTGAACGGCAACGGCGCGCGCGCGAACGTCCAGCGTCCGTCGACCAAGTCCCCCTGCGGGAACGCCAACATCGCGTCGGCGTTCGCGACCTCCAAGGCGGCGACCCTTAACGCGGACGGCTCCTTCACCGCGTCGATCACGAACTTCAACGGGTAAGCATCGGCTCCTATCGATTGCGCGCACGGAGCTGAGTATAGCCGCAGCGGTGTTGACGGCTCCCGTGAAATCACCTCTGCCAAGGTCGACGCGTCTGGCACGGGCAAATCTTTCGTCGCTGCTACAGTGACACAGAACGGCGACAAGGTGCGCTTTCCGTCCTGGCTCATCTCTTCTCCGACCTGGGCACGCCGTTGACACGGCCCCTTCGCTCAGGCTCCTTCGACCACCGGCACCCAGCAGCTCACCATCAAGCTCCCCGCAGGCACCAGCTGCAAGGGCGCGGGCGGCAAGTGCCTCGTCTCCTCACCACCGCCGGCGGCTTCGGCAACTGCGTCGTCGTCCAGCAAGCGGCGCCGCCGGCGCCAACACTGGGGCCGCCACCGGGGCCGCTGCCACCACCGGAAAGAAGGCTGGCGGCAAGAAGGGCAGCGGCAAGAAGAACAAGGGGGCGAAGAAGGCTCGCGCTTTCGAGGCCATCCGCTCGTTCTTCGAGTCGCAGCGCACCGCGCGCGCCGCCGTGCGTCCTGCTTCCCGTGTCTCTCGCTCCGAGCGTCGATGGCTGACTCGGGGTTGCGTGTCGTTCACAGGGCTCGCGCGCTGCTTCGATCGCCCGTCGCGCCGCCGAGGCCCCCGCCGTCGAGGCCCTCGCGTAAACGGTGGTGGTGTGGTGTCCGCCCCGCTCGTGGGCGGACGGATTCCCGATGACGATGGCACGCCGCGGACGCGGCGGTGCTCGGTGGGACTGTGGTTGTGTATGAGCGCGTGCGTTGCGCTCGGATGTCCTTTGAGTTGTGCAATGCGAACTCTTTGGCGTCCTCCCTCTCGAACTGATCGCGCGTGATTGGGGTGCTCGCGAGTCCGTCGTCTACTGTACGGCATATGGAGTAGCCTCGACCGCGCGACGTAGTGGTCGTCGCGCGCGAGACGCGAGGTTCGCACCGTCACGATGCGCCTGTCCGGTCGCTGCCTTCGCCATTCCCGTCGCCGTCGACAGTCGAACTGGAACGTGTCAAACACGTCCTCGAGGCCCGTGCGCAATCTCCGCGCCCTCCAGCCCGCGGAGTGCTGCTCGTAATAAGTACCTCCGCGACGCCGTCCGGCGGCGAGTCGTCCCGCGCATGTCGGTGCGCAGCGCGGCGGCTGCCGGCAAAGCGTGAGCGCGTCGAAGCCCGCGCTCGGCGTTTGTGGTCCAGCGCAGGCGACCTTAGGTGCGCGTCGACCGCGAAGGACTCTTCTAGCCAGGTGGAAGGGAAAGCCTAGAGGGGCGGCGAACCCGCGTGGCCAGATTGGCTCTGGGGAGCACTGGAGCACTGGAGGAGAATGCGGAGGCGGGGCTTGCGGACGATGATGGCGACCCGGGGAGATGATGAGAGGGAGGAAGCCGCCGAGCTCGAGGCAGCTAGCGGAGGTAAGCCCACGGCCGATCGCTGTGGTGCAGCGTCGGGAGGGGGTGGTCTCCACGGGGAGATCCAGCGTGTGGAGGGTCGCGCAGAGAGATGGGATCATTCGATCGTGTGGTACGTGTTTGGAGGCGGACGCGGTTGGTGATGCACATCGTCGAGGGGTGCAGTTTGATACGGTCATGGTCCGTGGGGGCGTGGCTGCGGCGGTTGTAGAGGTTCTTGTGTGTACCGGGTCCGGGTCTGGGGAGGACAGCGAGAATAATGGGCAGACAGACAAGATAAGATAAGATGGGGAAATTGGCGCGCGCATCTCCAGACCCAGCGGCGTTCCGCCGTAAGTACGCCTCGCTTCGACACAAATCCATCTGCTCCGATCATGGCGTTCTTTGAGGACGTAAACTTGGTCTCTCTTTCTGGCCGTTCGAAAACGTCTTCGTGAGTTCTGCGTCTCACTCTTACATTACAGGCAGAAAACTGGGATGACGTGTCCACTGTCCAACTCGATCCGCGAGAACGTTACAGCAGCGGCGACGGAAACAAGTTGAATGTATTATTCACCCCTTCGCGCAACTCTGCTCTTGTACCGCTGCATCTTTTAGCCCTACTCTTTCGCCGTGATTATTGGTGCACGCAACAGTCATATTGACAGGCATGTTGACCGGTCAACGCTACACAACAGCAGTGTCGGCCTTCAAGTCGCTCCGCTGTATGCTGTACAAGGCAGAGTATAGCGGAGTGTTTGAGACATTCTGCTCTGTTTTCGACGGGCACGACCAAGGGTATGTGGCCTCCGATGCAAAATGATGCGCTCATCTCAGTGATAGATTTGGACAGTTACCTGAAGACCATCACAGCATCTGGATTGACATCTCCTACAGCAATGGAGCAGTGACCACAAGATCTACTCTGCAACCTCGCAACCACCGCCCCGGAGCATATGCACACGTGCTGCAGATTCCAAATATGTGTGACGAGAATAGACTGTCCTGACAGCCACCTTGTTGATATTGATTATTGACGATCGGCGACCAGATGTATTCATAGTCATGCCCTCAAAGCGGCATCAACTGCGATCATCCTTACGACACATGATATTTATATCGGTGCAGTGTGCTGTAGTGGGTTTCAACCATCTCGGTACGCCCCCACTTATTTTCGCATGTCTGTCTACACCGTTCGACACTGATCCGCCGCTTTGACAGGCAGGCACTCCCCCACCCAATAACCCCTGCGACGCCTTCTGGCCAGGCTGACCAGAAATAGCTCTGGTTTTTTTTGGCGCAATCACTCAGTCGTCGCAAGCGTCCCACATGCCCTAGCAAGCATGTACAGCAACTTCAACGGGTGGAGATGACAATGCACCCAGACGAGATGTATAAAAGACGCGCGCGGACTCCCCATAGGTCTCCATTCCCCTCCCATCCTTCTGCTCTCTCATTCACCGAGGCCGGACCCTCTTCGCAGCCACAGTCTGCTTGTTCTCCTCCGACTACACGTTTTACACCTCACGCTCGCCACTCCCTCCTTCGCCGTTCCTTCAGTTCAAACCCGCCTTCCATTCCACCTGAAGCAAGCCCAGCACAATGCGTCTCTCCTTCAAGTCCCTCCTCGCCACCACCACCGTTGCCCTCAGCGTTTCGCTCAATGCGCACGCACACGCCATCATCACCCCCGCTCTCGGGGTGAGCGGCACGGCCGTCCGCGCGGACGTCCAACGGCCATCGACCAGCGCACCGTGCGGCGAAGTCGACGTCGCCTCGGCGTTCGCCACTTCCAATGCGGCCACCCTCGGCGCGGACGGCTCGTTCACGGTCGCCGTCACCGATTTTGAGGCGTAAGCTTTGTTCTCGTTGACATCCACACCAAGAGCCTGACTGAACACATGTGCAGGGCGAGGACGGCTCCCGCCATGTGACCGCCGAGGTCGACCCGACGGGCACGGGCGAGTCCTTCGTCGCTGCGACCGTGACGAGAACGGCGACAACGTACGTCGTCCCTCTCGTCTGCCACGCACCCCCCCGCTCCCCGCTCACGACGGCCCGACTCGCGTAGGTCTCCTCCTCCGCCGGCACCCAGCAGGTCACCGTCAAGCTCCCGGCGGGCACCATCTGCTCGGGCACTGGCGGGAAGTGCCTCGTCTCGTTCACCACCGGGGCCGGCTTCGGCAACTGCGTCGTGGTCCAGCAGGGCGGCACGGCTGCTTCCACTGGTGTTACCGGTCGCGACGTGGCTTCCGACGCCGCGGCCGCCTCCACCGACGCTACCGACGCCGCGGCTACCACCACCGACGCTTCCGACACCGCGGCGGCCACCACCGACGCTTCCGACACTGCGGCTGCCTCTTCCACCGCGGCTGCGACTGCCGATGCGAAGAAGGCCGCTAAGAAGGCCGCAAAGGACAAGAAGAAGGCTGCAAAGGCCGCAAAGAAGAAGGCGGCCGCCGCGAAGAAGAAGGCCGGCAAGAAGGCTGGCAAGAAGGCGAACAAGAAGAAGACGAAGGCCGCCGCTACCTCCGCGGCGGCAAGCACCGCAGCGGCGAGCGATGCAGCGGCGAGCGACTCGGCGGCGAGCGCCACGGCTGCGAGTGACACGGCTGCGAGCACCGCAGCGGCAACTGGCGCGGCGGTGAAGAGGAGCGCGTTCCTTGAGTCGCAGCGGTCGACCCGTGCAGTCGTACGTCGTGTTTTTTTCGCTTCGGCAACGAGAGGTCGTACTGACTGGGTGTGTAGGGCTCACGCGCTCCTGCCGTTGCTCGTCGGGCGGCCGAGGGTGCTGCGGTGGA